AATGAATACCGAGAGCAGCATGTGTTTGATATTTTGTTTTGTTGATTGCGTTTTAGACCGGAAAGGCAACCTCGGATTTTTCTTCTCACCTTTTTTTTTTGACGCAGTCGCTCTGCATTTCTCATCTCGAGGCTGCCCGCACCATTTATTTCTCCCTTTTCACCTTCACTTTTCCCCGTTTAATACCTGAATATGGTTTTGATCTCTAATCCGGGTCAGCTTTTCCATCATATTATCGTTTGCTCATTTTCCCGCTGTGTACAATGAAGCGCAAATACCACATGTTTATTGTTTCCGTCATGGTTTCCTTCTCTTCCCTCCCTCTACTACAGTACCTTTTTGTAAGTGCTCCTTTTCTTTTCATCTCTGTTCTCATCTGTCGTATAATTGTCCTTCTGGTTGTGCTCGTCACAGCCATTTTGTACGTTTTTCTTTTAAAACCTGCGCTTTTGCATCTTACTTTATAATGACGCTGGGTGAGAGCTGGCGCTGAACCCAACCAACCCATTTGTTATCTAAGGATCTCTTGTCCTCTCCGCTCTTCATAGAAACATCCATATCTCTCTATTGTAAGGTAAGATGAAGTCACGTAGATTAGACCTGGTATTTCAGGACTAGATTAGTCTTGTTTAACGGTAGGACTTAGTAAGATCTGTTAACTCGTCCGCCCATTCAAAGTACCTTGGTATGTACATGCTTGACGCCAAGCATTCCGCTGTTTGCCTCCCCCTCCCAATCGGTTATGCAACAGACAACGTAAAGCTTTCTGTCCGTTATTAATTGATGAATATAATTGAATACCTTACTTACCTGTCTAGACATGTAAATCGTTCAGTTATCCGATCATATTGGCCATCGCGGTGGTTTTCTCGCAGCAGGGACCTAGCTTCTACAGGGGTGTTTGATCATGGTAACTCATTTGCCAGACGGCGTCAATCCAACCCACTCGAATGTTTAAACCAAATCGTGCAAATCTCAGACAAAACAAGGGTATAAATAGGGACTTATCTGTACTGCGAACAGAGCACTACAGAGTACAGACCGACATTTGTCTCCTGGACATTTATCGATAGGTTTACTTACGTATTGATTTAGATTAAGTTTTCCTCAGAACTACCATTCAAGCTAACGATATAGACTGAACAATAGAACAACAAATAACAAACATAAACACAAAAATTGAACAAAAGCAAAAACAAAGACCTCGAGAGTTGAACAGAAAGAAAAAAAAAAGGCAAAAGAGGGAATCTTGCTGCGCTGCTTGAGAAGGGGTGTGAAGGGAAGGGGGACAGTCAGTCATTCGAGAGATATTGTCAAAGATAGAGAAGCAGGTAAAGAAAGGAGACAAGATCGAAGGATAGTAAAAGGCAAATGATAAAAAAAAAGTTAGAGATTGCCAGTGACAAACTGTCAAACGATTAAAACGATGCTATCTTTGACCCCTCGAGCAATTCACAACACAGGCATTGCGAAAGGAGGAGAGGTAAATAATCTTCAGTCGAATTAAATGGAAGACATGGAAGAAGTCAAGAAGAAAAAAGGAGAAGAAGAGAGAGATGGGAGGCGGCAGCCAAGATTCCAATCCTCCTTTTATGTCCGAATCTTCCTGTCTCATGAAGGGGAAGAAAAAGAAGATGGTGCCAGTTTCATCGAAAATCAAGGGAAACGCTGTCATTGGAACTTCCCTCCCTTTCACATGAAAAGCTATTAACGTGAATAAACTGTCAATATTATCCCCATAAAACAATTACAACCGCCATGCCGCTAATTCCATTACGTTGACACCGATCGGGTGCCGCCGCGCAACAAGACAGGTTTCCTTTGGTTAAAAAAAGAACCGTTTAAGCATCCCCGTTGGCGCCTTCAGGCTGGCTGGATTCGCGCGCCATGCGGGCCTCGATCTCCCTCAGCTGGCTCTCGCGAGCCAACAGTTCCTGGCGTTTCTCGGCGATTTCACGCTGCACCTTGAGCTCAATCTCGCGAAGCTTCTCTTCCTCACGGCGGAGCTGTTCCTCCTTCAGTCTGACGGATTGGTTTGCTAGGTCTTCGGGGTTCATCGACGAATCTTGGGTGCTACTATCAGGGGGGTTAGCATGCCATTTCATGCGACAACTTGACCGGGGGAATACGTACGGAGCAGCTCCGTCCACGCTCTTGCTAAGCTTCTCGGTACGGTAGTTCTCGTAGAGGAAGTCATGTGTGATTTCCTTCAAATCGGCCAGGTGGCTGTGGAGAAGAGCGCTGCGGATGGCCAAGAAATCCGAGTGCCGGGGGTTTTCAACGTCGACCACACCCCAGGGATATTGCCGGGCTCGTACTTGCCGACCGTCGATTTCCACAAAGTCTTCGGAGCCAACGATGGCGAAGGGCATCAGCCCACGTAGTTCGGCATTTTCCTCCACGGTGTCCTCATCATCCTCCTCGATGTCGTAGGGGAAGTTGTAGACAGGGATACGGTAGTGCTCGATGTCTTCCATGATCAGCTTCTTCGATTCGGCCAATTCGGCGGGAGTGAGGGAGTCGGCCTTTCCGATGACGGGAATAACGTTGACACGAGGGGAGAGGCGCTTCATCAATTCGATGTCCAATTCACGCAGGCCGTGACCGGTTGGTGTGATGAAATACAGGAGAACGTGGACACGGTTGTCCCTGAAGCGAGGGTTTCGCTTGATTCGTGATTCTTCAGCAAGGATATCGTCGTACTGGCGTTCAAGGTATCCAACAATCTCGCCAAAGCTGCAAGAAAATCGGTCAGTCTCAGGATGGTGGGAAATGCTGGCGGGACCACCTGCCTGGCTTCATTGTCAATCTGGTCACCGAAGCCCGGGGTATCAACGATGGTGAGGGAGATTCGAGTGCCTTCGTCGTCCAATTCCAACTCTGAGCATCACCACCACCCCGCGTTAGTCTTGTTCGAACCCCGAATTGTGCAACCCATGGATGTTTGGCACCAACTTACCGACCGTGACCGGCTTAATGCGGACACCCTCCTCAATGTGAGCGTTGGCGGCGTCGTCGGCATCCTTGCCCTCGAGGACGGTCTTTCCGCAAAGGGTGTTGACAAAGGTGGTACGTCCTGTTCGGAAAAGGGGAACCTAGTCAGTTTGCCTGCGGCCGTCAGGGGCAACACCGAGATTCCAATACGTACCGGTTCCGCTGGCACCACAGACCATCAGACAGAATTGGATACCCTTCTTGACATTCTTCTTGCGACGGAGCTTTATCTGGAGTATGAGATAGGATTTATCTTTGTAAGAAACTGGGCCCCGACGAAAAGTGGTGATTCGGTCCCAAATCGAACCCATACGGGAACGATTGGGACTGGCGACGAGTCGGAGGGGAAGTTTCTCATGTCGGAGGAGCAAATATAGAAAGGGGAAGTGAGGAACATACCGCGTTGAGAGCCGACGACATGGTGGGCTAAATAAGGGGAGAGGAAGGAGAGGGAGGGGGGAGAGGAAGAAAGAAAACAACGACGGAGCGAGAATTGATGAAGTGAAGAAAAAGAGAAGAGAAAGCGAGCGGCAGGCGGATCAAAGAACCTGGAGGAAGAAGGTTGAAGGAAGGGAATGAGAGAGGGAGGGAGGTGAAAGAGATAGGAAGGATGGATGGAGGTGGATGCTCTCTCCTGAGGTGCGTTAGAGGGAGAGAGAGAGCGAGAGAGCGTTAATCTGATCTGGCAGTTAGGGGGTCTCCCCGTTACCGTCTGGTCACGTATGGTCAGAGGCAGTCCCGTATGGTCAGAACGAATACCAGAAGGGGGTAACGTGACCTATCCCCTTTCCCTTGGGCGGCATTCATGGAGGCTCGGCCAATCACAGCGGCTCCTTTGCGTACGGTACCTGGGAGCCTGAGGTATCAGCAACGTTCCACAGTGGTATCTATGGTACCGAAACAGTATCGGTGTAAATTACCTGTCCAATCCGGGGCATTGGATCCCTCAGGCCGCCATTATGGTGTTTCCCAAAGAAGAGAAAGATCAATAGTGGAACTATTGTATGATATGCGCAGACAGACAATATCCTTCTGGACCTGTCTGCTATGATTCTCCGTTGGGAAATCCGCTACGTATGATCCCGCCTTGCCACGACAGGAGTGCTGCATTGTTTAGTGGCCCTTGGGAGTAGCTTGGCTCAACTCTGGTCCCCCGGTCCGATTCCCTCTTTGCTTTTCAGGGGTTGGGGGCAGCTGTAGGCGTTTCCTCCGCCACCGTGGGTCGCTGCGGGCCGCCGTAGCCCGTATTGGTTACCACCGTACGGTACCCTCAGTTATGTAAGACATAAGGGCCTGAGGCAGCACATCCCTGTGGTCTACGGAGTATGTCTTAATGGTATGTACTCCATGGACTTGGTAGAATAGGTGGACTTGACAAGAAACGGGGTGTACGATAGAACGTCGAGAATATTCAAATAGAGTGGAAACAGAGATAAGTGACTGTCGCGCATTCAGACCCTTTACCTATACTGAGTTGCTTGAAACAGCTCGAAAGTAGATGTTGGAATCGAGTCACTCTGGCCAAGATGAAGGCGTTGCAGGCCCCACGCTGGTAGCAAACGGCCTTACTTAGCCAACGTCTTTCGGAAAAGCCCTGTAGTTCTGCACCGAGTATACAGTGTACTATAGTTAGTTTAACGGTGAAGAGCAGCCAGGCAATGCCAAGACCATTCACCTGACCCTCCTCCCAGACCGGCCTAGCGCCTGGCCGCTGCCTTGTCGATCTCCGTTGATGGGCCTTCCATGCTTTCTGGACCGCGGATGATCAAGCTTCCAACTGCATCTGCCTGGTCTCTTAAACTGATGGCAGTCCTAGCACTCCGTCAATATGAACACTCGCCAGGTTATCGATGAGTCGGTCGGGCCTTACTCCCTCTCGGCAACCTTCAATAATGAAAATAGTTGTTTCTCGGTTGGCTTAGATACTGGGTTCTGCGGTAAGGCCTCTATTGTTGCCTCTATATGGATGGCTGCCCGCTGTTGGAAACCACCAAGCTGAGAAGAGAATGTCGTCTGTAGTCTTTAATGCCGACCCATGCGAACTCAAGGTATCAAGGGGTATGTACATAGCGTACTCCGCTGCTCATGCAAGTATTCCTACGCCGTGCGCATTGCTAATCGGTCTGCCATATCCCTTTAGATTTCAACGCTGGCATCGGCGTCGCAGTGATGCTGGGTCAGTCAAACTATCTGGCTATCGTCGGTGGAGGAAGGCAGCCTAAGTTCCCGCAAAATAAGGTGTGTAGGCGATTTCATTTTTCTCTAACACTCGTGCACCTCGACTGACACAGCCTCCCCGTATAGCTGGTTATCTGGGATGATGCGAAACAGAAAGTCGTCATCACGCTAGAATTCCGCACTTCCGTCCTCGGTGTCCGCCTGTCCAAGTCGCGCATTGTCGTCGCTTTGCTGAATAGTATCCATATCTTCGCCTTTTCGAACCCGCCTAAGAAACTTTCGGTCTTCGAGACGACGGATAACCCGGTAGGCCTGGCCTGCCTGGGACAGAAGTTGCTGGCTTTCCCGGGGCGCTCCCCCGGGCAAGTGCAAATCGTGGAGCTGGAGACCGGGAACGTGAGCATTATTCCAGCGCACAGTTCGCCTCTTCGCGCGATGGCACTGAGTCCTGATGGGGAGGTATTGGCCACGGCGAGCGAAATGGTAGGCCCCCAGTCGTGTTTATTTTCTGAACATAGCGTCGGAATGTTGACCGGATGATTCTGTAGGGGACTCTGGTCAGGGTGTTCTCGACCAGTAACTGTACGAAGATGGCTGAACTTCGACGTGGAGTTGACCAAGCGGTCATCTTCTCACTCGCCATCTCGCCGTCGAATGACATGCTGGCTGTTACATCTGACAAGTCCACTTTACATGTCTTCGACCTCCCTCATCCACGGAACCCTGCCAACCATCCCCCGGCCACTTCCTCACCGCCTGAAGAAGGGACCAGCCTGAAATGGGGCATTCTGGGGAAGATTCCTTTGCTGCCTCGGGTGTTCTCTGATATCTACTCATTCGCAAGCGCCTCATTTGAGATTGGCGACGAAGGAGCTCCGGGTTCGCTCTATGTCCCACCTCTCGGAACATCGTTCGGTCGACCCTTGAAAGGTGTCATAGGCTGGGCTGATGACCGCACGATCCTAGTGCTTGGCTCGGGACGCGACGGGCGTTGGGAGAAATTCGCTCTCCGCGAAGCAGATGATGGAAAACGCATTTGTGTAAGAGAAGGTTGGAAACGATACTTAGGGGGAGGCTAAAGAGGGAAGGGAGAACTCAGCCACGACTTCTGAGGATATGAATTATGATTTTTTAGAGTGCTATTTTAGGTGCTCTCTCTATTTTGATTAGCGATGGTGGTTCCTGACACGGGTTGCTTGAACCTAGTGAAGGTGATTGGTGACATCGCGGCGCGAGGTCTGGCAGAATAGCTGTGCTTTTCTTTCGTCAGACACAGAGGTCAGGGCCCAGAAGCATGTTCCTTGATGGCTAATGTTTCTCGACTTGGGTGACCGTCGCTGGTCGTCCTTCCTTGACGGACTAGAGTCTTATTCTTAAACGACCGATAGATGCCATGGTTATACTTGGCAATAATTAATAATTTACCCAATTCTTGACACTTATCGATGCCGATCATGCCTATCTCGAGTCCTCCGTGGTTCCGGTGACCGGGATCCCACTGGCGTTCTGTCTCTGTAGGATCTCTCTCTGCGGGATGGCGACCGGGTCCTATGCGACCGCTCCTCCCTTGACGGCGACCTGTAGTCCCGCCGGCTCTTCTCTCGAGAACGCGAGCGATCGTCGTCATGCCGGCGGCGATGGTGACGGTGGTGACGATGATGGCGACGTGATCTGTCGCGGCTGGAGTCTCGTTTCCGCGACGATTTACTTTCCCTCTCCAACGCTCGTGCAACCTCTTCTTTCTTTTCTTCGATCAAGTATTCTTTCATGGGATCCTCTTCGTCGTGGGTTCTGATCAACTCCTCCAATTCCTTCTCCTCCTTGAGCAAAGGTCGTCGTCGAGGCTCGTCGTCTTCCTCACTGCCCCGTCTCTTCCGGCGTCTTCGTCGCTCATGGTCCGAATCATTTCCCCGGTCATTCGTCGTCTCCGCATCACCCATTAATTTGGCGACATTGTCGCCTTCCTCCTCGTCATCTCGCCGCTTGTATCTGGCATGGTCGACACGCAGCATGCGACCCATGACCGTCGCACCGCCCATATTGTCCACGGCCAGGTCTGTACTGCGCTGATCTTCGTATTTCAGCCACGCAAATCCTCGACTCTTGCCGGTTTCCTTGTCGCGCGCTAGGTTCACGTGTACGGGTTCGCCGTATTGCGAAAAGATGGTCACGATGTCGCCTTCGGACAGATCGAAGGGGAGACCACCGATGAAGATGTAGGCCGTATCTCGGTAATCGGCGTGCCATGATGCTTCTGGGGGTCTTGAATTGGACAGTCCAATAGTCAGTAAAAAGCTGTTCTTTCTTGTTGTCGCAGAGCTGTACCTTGTGACGGCGACAAGAGGGACAGGGACAGACAGAGCCTACTCACATGGCATTTTCAAGCTCGCGCTTGTTGAGGGCCTGAATCTGACGGATCGTATTCATTGTCACGATGCAGCCACAGGGCGACAGGCCGGCTGTATTATCTCCCAAGGGCGAAGTGGTGGTGGTGGTGGAGGTCAGGTCGGTACGGGCGGGAATCGACTAAGCTGCAAAAAGCGCCTCCGCGGGAGGTCCCACCCGCACTCTTAATACTCTCTCTACTCTACTATTGTTTACAGGGAGACCGACTTTCCCCTCTACAAACTGTCCGTTTCATTCAACCCTCCGCCTCGCAATCGAGCTCTCTCCCACCCCCTTACGTCTCGTCGAAATCACCGACTGGACTTGTCGGAAATACTTCCTTTGTTGGGAGGGGACGTTTGTGTGTCTATCGGCCATCGGCGCCGTATATCCCCTGACCCTGTCCGCCCCATAACCACGATAGTCGGAAACGAAGAACAAGCAGCTACAAAGAGAGACCCTCCGTGCTCAACGCGTCAAATCGGTCGGAGCGTGAACTTCATCCTCTGGCAGGCACCTGGAATGGTTTGCGCCGGCTGAGAACTAGTCGAATTTCAGAGACAGACAATGTCTACGTCCAGTCAATTTCACGGGTCGAAACTCAGCACGGGGAACAACAGCCGACCGTCGAGTAAAGATGGACCGAAGAAGAATATCTGGTCGTCGATGCTGGACAGCGTCGCGAATGGAAAGCGCTTGCCGGAGAAGAACCTCCTGATTCTCGGTTCGTCGTCACCCTGTTCTTCACCCTGATTGATCATTTTTTCCCACTGCGACATGTCCGAGCCGATGCGCTCTTTGTCGATAGTCTAGCGTTGCTAACGGTGTCTGCTTGGACTCTAGGAGGTACGCCGGAAAGCCAGAGAGAGTTTCTAGAGACCTTTGCGGCCGACACGTCGGATCCTAACCTGTCAAACGAGAAACGGAAGGGCAGAGTTCCGCCTGTCGCCAACCAGTTCGCGTTGGGATACACATATCAGGATGTGCTGGACGCCGACCAGGAAGGTAGGCAATTTTGGGTGTCCGCGTGAATCATTTGCCCCCGGTGGAGCTAATTGCCTCTAGATACGTTGGCACGCGTGTCCGCATATCTGCTTTCCGAACCTTCGCTGTCCTTCGCGCCCCTCCTTAAACCCCTCCTCACCCCCAATTCTGTCCCGGAAACACTGGTGGTAATTCTCCTCGATTGGTCGGAACCGTGGATTTGGATCCGGCAATTGAGGGAATGGGTCCGTCTCCTGCGACACGTGCTCATTTCTCTCGACGACGAGACGAAGATCGTGATGGAGGAGACCATGACAGACTGGCGAGACCGGAAGAGGGGGATGGACGCCAATTCGGCGGGCGCGCAGGGACTGACCAGCTCTGGCGGACCGGTGACGATACCTTTAGGCCCCGGTGAATGGGATGAGGGACTAGGCATTCCCATGTGTGTGGTTTGCCAGGGGGTATGTGATCTTTTCCTCAAAGAACGGAAGATTAGGCAAAATATTGACCCTTTGGTTTTCGACCTCTACAGGCGGATAAGATCGAAAAGCTGGAGAAAGACCACGGCTGGCACGAGGAAGAGTTTGACTTCATTCTTCAGTTCCTACGAACCATTCTTCTCAAACGTGAGGACCTGTCTCCTTCCTTTGCCGAGATGCTATTGCGAACGGCGCTCTAATCGTTGACAGATGGCGCTTCTCTTATCTACACCACACCATTCCTCGCCAACTCCCTTCAGAGCCTCCTACATTCGTCCTTGGGGATACATTCACTGCTGAAGAGACAATCACTCAAACATAACGTGATCGACCGGGATAAGATCCTGGTGCCATCGAACTGGGACTCCTGGGGAAAGATCCGGATCATCCGAGATGGATTCGACATGGAAGGAATCTCGACTGCGTGGTCGATCGAGATCCAAGAACCCCCGGAGCCACTAACCTACGGACCTGTCGAGGAGGAAGAGCCCAAAGACGAGGCATCCGCCGGACTAGAGGAAGGGACCAGCGCCGTGGCCATCTTCGAGCAGACGATCAAGGATCCCAAGCGTGACACTTCGCTGGCGCTCGCTAGCCAACAAAACAAGAAGAAGATCGAGGTCGAGACCACTGACATGCAGACGTTCTTCAGCAAACAGCAGGAACTCCTGGAGCAACTCAAGATCGAAGACGAGAAGGACCGCGCGGTCAACAAGATGCCGCCTCAGCTGGAAATGTCGCCTCTGGAGGACAGCGGCCGCGTGAACGAGCACATCGGTCCCGTGCAATTCAACATGGGTGGAATCCAGGTCGACGCCGATGATATGTTACGAAAACTTAAGGTCCGTACCCTTGCCAACCGACAAATCCTAATTCTTTCATTCTTTCAGACCAGAAAAATTAATCATATTTCTATAAAATCCAGGAGAGAGAGGCCAGTCGCGCTCAAACTCAAAGGAAGGAAACAGTCTCGTCGCCCCCGGCCCCCGGCAACGAAAAGGCTCACAATCAAGCCCTGGCGAACTTCTTCGCCGGCTTGGTTAAGAAACCATCCGGAAGTCCACGAGGTAGTCCGTCGGCGTAGTATCAGTCGGAGTAGGAGTCCTATTCGGACTAGGAAGAGGAGAAGAGATATTGTATGGACTGTGGCGGACTTCTTTTATCCAACTTTCATCTTCCATTTCTATTTTCTTTTTCAACCCTTTTTTTTGGATTGTACTTTTATTTTTTCATTTTTTATGCCCCTACCTTGCGCACAGTACATATTTGAAATACTGGCTTGGCGAGACGCTCTTTTTTGTTTTTGATACCAGAATGGATTTGTGGCTGGATCAGGAGTCGAGAAAGAGGGATAGCATATGTGAATCAATCGATTTCTTATAAATCATCGGATTGTTGTGGTAGAGTGTTCCAGCACTGCATACCTAGCATTTTTGTTTGTATCCTGCTATATCCAACTATCTCCTACACGATGTCCCAATTATATGTGTCCGAAAAGTAGGGGACCTAACTGGATCTCCGACTCAGTCTCACTCTCCCTAAGGAGTTTGGTGTTGGATAGGGGGTGCTAGCCCAGTTCGCTAACTTTTGAAATAGTGAAATGACCAGCCAAAACTAGATATCTCACATCCCACCAAACAAAGCAATTCCAACTCTATAATACAATATATCAACCTTTTCTATATGTCTCCCTATCATGAACCCGTCTAGACCAATAAGAGAATCTCGGTAATCAAAACAAAAACGAGATTACCAGTTCTCCCAAACGGCAGCGGGCAACACCTTCCTCATAATCTCCCAGTGCTGCAACGCGCCCTGATCCTGCCACCTGTGCAGCTTACCAGTCTCCTTGGCCCTCAGGACCGCGCGACCGCCCTCACTAACAGACATGAACGCGGACGGATCGACCTCGTGCTTGGGCATCAGGTAGGTCTCGCGGAACTTGCTGCGCAGATAGTCGCCCGGCACGGGGTCGCGGAAGGTCAGCGGGGAGGAGGATTTCTTGCAGAAGATCACCATGTTGGTGAAGTCGGCGGTTTCGTCGTTGCCGACTTCTTCGCGGAAGATGCGGCACGAGGGGAAGACGGCTTCGATGGTGCGGACGGTAAGCGCGGCGGGGTATTGGGAGACGTCGCCGGCGTAGTTCTGGAGGGAGTTGGTTAGTGGTGGATTCCTTGGGGGGTGGGATGGGAAGGGAAGTGTGAGAAGGAGGGGGAAGGGGAACGTACGATGGCAATCACGCCGTCATCTTTCAGAAGGGCATTCAGACCCTGCAGGAACTCGATAGTGAAGAGGTCGACGGGCTCGGCGCCGCCGGTGAAGACGTCATGCACGATGTAGTCGTACTGGGCGGTTGACGATTCTTGGGCACGACGCACGAAGACAGTGGCATCTTCGATGGCGGCGATGTGGTTGGCCGGAAGGTCGAAGTACTCCAGAGCGAACTTGTGCACAATGGGGTCGATCTCCACGACGGTGGTTTCGATGCCGTGCGTGATGAGGGCAGCGGGAGTGGTGCCGACACCGAGACCGCTAGTATCAGTTAGCAGGATGATCAAAGGATTTGAACGATAATCTGAAGGACTAGGAGACAAGGTGACGGAACATACATAACCAGAGCTTTGCTGCCCGCGTCAACGCGAGGCACGCCGTTGTCGGGCTCTACGAGCCGAACGGCCTCCAGCATGGTGAAAACGGCGTAGATGGGGTCCTTGACGTCGGGCTTGTAGTTACGGTAGACCTTATTCCACTGGCCACCAAGAAGGCTGTGATCGCAGCGCATCACGCGGAAGCCGTCATCCAGGTTATCCAGGACGGAGATGTATCCGGTGGAGGAGTCCTGACGAGCGACAAGGGCGAAACCTTCGGTGCGAATGGCCGCGTCCATGGCCGCAGTGGTGCTGCCAAGCGGCAGATGGACATTGGAGGTGAAGGAGAAGATGATGGACGGGATGGCCAGGACTAGCAGCTTGGAGGGCACGACGGCAGAATACAAGCCCGCAATGAGAAGTTGCAGGCCAGTTCGCGAGAGAAAGAACGTCACTCCCAGGGTAACGGAGGTGAATGCTTTGGCAAGGTGCTCGCCGACGGAGTAAACGACATACGAGGCCAGAAGAGGAGCATGTTCCATGACGAGATCACCGTGACGGTCGAGGTTCAGACCGGACTGCATCAACTTTCCGGCGCAGGCCACGGAGAGCAGCAGGAATGGATAGAAGGCGACGGCCGTGGTGACAATAGGTCCCGTCGGGTTGCCGAGCTCGGAGCTCTGCTGAAACAAGAGATATTGAATAGTAGGAATCCAGAAGGCCATGACGGGCAGCAGGTAAACGGCGCGGCGAGCCGACAGCTGCTGGACACGGTCCTTCAGGAACCAACCGGCAGCGGCAACTATGGCGACCCCATAGCCGTGGAAGATATGGGACGGGCCAGAGCCGTAGACGGGGGCCAGGTTCAACAAGAACACATATGAGGAAAAGGCAGTGAGGGCCAGCAAAGCGGCGGCCGTCGACAACTGCTTCCTGTTGCGCCGCTGCAGCATATCTGCGAAAGCCATGGCGTCACAACTGGAGATCTCCCAGACGTGATGGGAGCTTTGTTTCTGGCTGGAAGGGTTGGTCAATATAGAGTAATTATCTCAAGCAAAGGTGTTTGTTTTTTATTTGTTTGATAGGGAGGAGAGGGATATGACAGGGTCAAAGGGAATTGTTTGAACTAAACTAGATTGGACATTAGCAGGACTCACCAGAAGACCTGGTGGGCAAAGGAAGTGAAACTGACTGTTTCACCCTCTGCTGCCAATAATATCAAACAGTTCGGGATGCTGATGGAAGGAAGTGGATTCATGCTGGAGAAGTAATTCTTAGTAACGGATGATGCCACTCCGCATTCTGCCGCTGCTTGCCGCTCGGTGCCTCCGCTTTCTTTCTGTTTCCCCCTCACTCCTGTTATTCCTTGTTCCTCATTATTATTGCATTGTCCGTCGCATATTGCACCATGCCACTATTCCCCGAAGGAACGGGGCTGCAACCGGAGATGAATGTCCCAACTGATTCAGCTGCGCCGACAACAACTGCGCCTCTCTCACGCGAGACGCAGGTGAAGAATCGGCGCAAACGATATTTAGACGCGCATCCCGAGTATTTCTCAGCTGATCTCGAGCTTGCTGGTCCGCTCGCTCTCTCCTAGTTTCATTCCTTTGCGACTGGTTGAATTGTCAGTTGCAAGGAAGCAGACTTTCCGAGCTAATCTTCCAGCCTTGCAGACCCGTTGCTGTACGATCGCCTAATCCGCCGTTTCCAGACTCCGGCCGAAAGAGAAGCCGAAGGACGCGCCAAAGGGTTCTCCGGCGTGCTCCAAGCGGATCTGTGTCGCTCGGAGGCCAAGTTCGATGCCCTTTCACATCCAGACCCTCAGGCCTTGTTCAGCTATACGCGCGGACCCAACGGAGAGATTCTTGCGGAAGAGCGGGACGAGATTCCGCCGAGTAAAGAAGAGGGGGAGAAACTGTGGCGATGGGAAATGACATTGCGCTTTATTCGCGGAGAAGATGAAGACTTTGACTATCCGAATGTCGACGACAATGACGAGTATGACGATTGGAATGAGGAGCAGGAGCGATACTTCGAGGACGAGGAACCGGATTGGATGGTGGACCAGGCCAATGGAGATGTCAGGTCCCAGCTGCAAGGAGAAACGGGCATCCAGGATTTCTAAAGACACTGGAAGCATGAAATACTGCTTTCTGCTTTGTATTCCTTCTACTACGGTTTTTGGGAGTGGTTACAGCCGGCGTTCCTCTGCAGCTCCTAATTACGGCCGTCTCACTTTGGGTATGTCGCTGCCGGCGGGTTCTGAAAATTAGACTCGACAGAGCATGGTGGCATAGGATGGATACCCAGTAATGTACTCAGGGCTCCCATCGTTGCTTCAACCACCTACTCACGAGACCAGAATCAACAGCCTACGCTGCATCCCTCGATGCTCGATAAAGCCGTGGTCAATTGGCCTACAAGGTGCCGGATACGTCCCCTCGTTGGCAATGGTGCCTGTGCAGTTAATGTCTGCCAGTCTACGTGGCGTGTTATTCACTCTCTCCAGAGAATGTTCCATCTTCTTTGCATCTCTTCCGATTTCATCTGGTCTTTACCCGAGATGATAGGTGACACTGGCCAACCGAGTCTCATCTACTACCATACCTTTGCCATATGAGCTTGCCGTTATGCTATGGCCTGAGAAAGACCAGAGATTTTGATCATTGGGTCTTTCTTACGTGCAAAGGCAATGGGGTATGGAGCTCTTGGATGGTGTATATCATTCTTGAAAGATTGGGTGCTTGTGTATAGTCTGAGAACTGTTGTGTCATAGCTATGAATAGAACATCGTTTCTTACAAGATACTCATAGATCTCTCTGCTTTTATATCATGGACTTTATTTAAAGATACATCATCATTATTACCACCGTTGTCGTACACATCAAGAAGACCCGACTCGGTGTCAATCCAGGTCTTCTTTGGCATCATGGCGGAATCTCTGTTCCGGGCTCTGCATTCCGCCATATTGCCAAGCATTGAACACTTGGGTTCTTAGTTCTTAGCAGGACATGTCAAGGCACCGGAAGGGGAAGCCGCTATAGATCAATTGCTCGCTACCGGCCTTCAGCCGTGACTCCCCCTGTTCCATGTCCATCACCCATTGACTCAATTCACAGACCCCGTGACTATGAAGCCGGGCGATGATGAATGATTTTGGCTATAGAGTTCTCGTGCCCTAAGTTGGCAGCTCTTCTCTCTCCCTGAGTCACTCTCTTTCCTCTCCATCTCTCTGACTGCGACTCGACAATCCACATAACCTCTTCTTTTTTTCGTCAAGATCAAAGCCAGATCTTGGCTGGAACTTGCGTTCGCTTACAAGAACATTTGTTATACCCTTTCATCCCCTTTTTATTCTCTTTTTCTCTCAAAATGCCTGCTGCAGCTATCCAGCCTAGAAGCTGCGCTTCCAAGAAGGCTCGCATGACTCCACTCAAGAGACTGCAAGTCTCAGCACCCAAGCCGGTGGTTCGTCTGCGACTAACTCCTCCAAAAAAAAAAAGTCCTTCTATTTGCAATACTCCCAGCCTCAAGGCTGAGTTCATCCACAGCCGTATTTCCTACTATGCCCCGAGAAAGCTCGGTAGTGGAAGCTGGGGCCAAGTCTATCTCATGCACGAGAGGGACAGCAACCGGCCCTACGCAGTAAAGGGGGTGCTTAAGGGCTCCGAGGAAGAGGAGGAAGACTACGCAGACAGAGTCTATCATGAGTTTGACGCCGCTAGCCGGCTAAACCATCCCAACGTGGACAAAACTCATCGGCTCCGTGCTCGTCACTGTCGCTGGTGCATCGTCATGGAGTACTGTGCCAATGGCGACGTTCTCGAACGCGCCGAGGACAACCATCTCACGTATAACGAGAAGCTGTGTCTCTTCGAACAGCTCCTCCACGGCGTGGAATACCTGCACAGCCAGGGCGTCGCTCACCGCGACATCAAGCTTGAGAATATGCTTCTCAACGAAGAGGGCCATCTCAAAATCGCCGATCTCGGCCTTGCGATGACCGGTGAACCCTTATGCAAATCCGACCCCCTGAGCACATGCTTTCTCGATTGCGGATCTCTGCCGATGAAGGCTCCCGAGGCAAGAGGGCGTAAGTCCAAGGCCATCCATTCATCCATCCAACCTAGCGATACCCCTTCTAACTTCCTTCCAGCAAATTTCTACGACGGCCGCGCATTCGACGCCTGGTCGTGCGCCATGTGCCTTCTTTTCATGCTGTACGATGGTTGAGGATATAGCACATCCGGCGACAAATTCAAACAAGAGCAAGAGTATATACGCAAGTGGGAGAGCGAAATATATCCCCATCAATACCCTGAGGCTCGAGTCTTCCGTGGCTTTTTCATTTTTCTCCTTTCTTTCGCGAAAATAAAAAGAAAGAAAGGTTTTTGTTTTATATGCCTAACTTGGGTGGATATGGTTTGATTTTTTATTTATGTTAAGAGCTTGGATAGATTATACCCTGCATGGATGGAGTTTTGGGATATGGCTTTTGGACTAGCATTCAACATCTAGGGTGGGAGGACGACTTTTTTTTGTATCGTGAATTCTGTTTGTATCATATCTTCAATCTTCGTTTTGTCTACTTGGAAATAAAATTATATTGGTTTCCACTGGTTGTCCGCTTTCTCTCGTAGCTAAGTATGGTTACTGCTATACAGTAAAAATGGTCTGCCGGGGCACCCTCAAGATCGCGCATCTCGCTCAGGTGCAGGGTGTTTCCATTTCCGTGACCTAATATTACATATTCCCGACGACGAACAAAGAAAACATGTCCAGAAGACGATACCATGGTGTTGTAGCTGCCTAGCAGAATGACTCACAAAGTACCTTTTGGATGACGTCTAAATAGATAAGCGAGACTTTGAACAAGATATACAATCGCTGAGTTCCGAAACATGTGATATTTTCCAATTAGCCCTGCGCATCTTAACCTAGCTTAGCTCAGCTCGTAGCATTCTTCTCCTTCAAGATTTTTATCGCGTCTTCTTTTAGTTTGAATTTCTGGATTTTGCCGCTCGCTGTTTTGGGGAATGTGTCGGGTGGGGAGAGGAAGAAAACGTATTTAGGCACTGGTATTGACGAGTTTAGTTGATGTTCGTGATTGATTTCAATGCAAATCCATCTAGTTTCCTTCCTTCTTTTTTTCCTTCTTGTTGTTGAGGGTCAGGGAAACTAAAAATGAGAGAAGAGACTTACCTAGATGATTGCTTAGACGCTCACTGACCCATTTTTTAATCATCTCGCTGGATCTATCCTCGTCGATTTCACTGCGGGGAATGATGAATGCTGCCACGGCTTCGCCGTATCGCTCATCTGGGATCCCCACGACCGAAACATCTAATACATCGGGGTACGTGAGCAGGCAATTCTCGACCTCCAGCGGGTGGATGTTTTCGCCGCCACGGATGATCAGGTCTTTGATTCGGCCTGTGATGGCGATGTAGCCGTCTTCTGAGAGGGTGGCTTCGTCGCCTGTCTTTAGGGGAGCGTTAGTTTATTGTTGTGGCCTTATATGTAGATCTGAGGGTGGGAAGACTCACCAACATCCATATCTTCCCTTGTTCGTCTGCAATCATCACCTCGGACGTCTTCTGCGGATCGTTCCAATACTCCTTCATCAGGAGGTATCCGCTGACTGCTAATTGGCCGGGTACATTGACGGGGAGGATCTGGCTTGGGTCGGCGGGGTGGGTGATTTTAGCTTCGACGTGCGGCATCAGTCGACCGACTGTATAAATGCGTTTGTCGATGGGGTCATCGGTCGTAGTCATAGCAGACACTGGACTGGTCTCCGTCATGCCGTAACAGATAGTAAGCTCGGTGAGATTGAGCACCCGATGTAGCTTCTTCATCAGCTCGGCTGGGATGCTACTCCCTGCGGCGATGCCTGTGCGGAGAAACTCGAACCCTTCGGATGAGATCTCGCCATCTTCGAGGAGTTTGAGCTCCTCGAGGAACATGGTCGGGACGCCGTAGAGGGCGGTGCATTTCTCCTCTTGCACGGCGGTTAGGGCGGCCTTTGCGTTGAATGATTCCGTGGGGAAGACGATAGCCGACCCGTGCGTCGCGGTGGCCATGTATCCGAGGACGGATCCGAAGCAGTGAAAGAGTGGTGGGGGGCAGCAGACGACGTCCTGGGAGGTCAGACGCATTCGGTCACCAATCTGGGATCCATTGTTGAGAATAGAGCGATGGCTGAGGCAGGCTGCTTTGGGCATGGCAGTGGTGCCGGATGTGAATTGTATGTTGACGATATCGTGGGGCGAGAGGTTCTGAGGCGGGAGGGGACTGATATCGGCGGTGACAGAGGATATTATCGATGAGTAGGGGGTAAGAGACTTATATTCGGAGCTGTTGACTCGGCCATTGGAGTTGTCCACAAATATGACTTGTTGGAGCGAGGGAATCAATTCGGACTCCAGCTTTGCCGTATCAAGGTCCTGAATTATATGTTTGAGGAGGGGGATGTTGCTCCGTGGTTGCTTTCTTGGGAGGTTGGACTCGGCGCTGACTATAAAATGACTTGTATCAAGGTGGTTCAACGCCGAAACTACTTGAGTTGAGTTGAACGAAGGATTTACGGGGACCTATACTAGAACATTAGGGATTTGCGTGAAAGGTTTACTCATGCACGAGACTTACGAGAATAGCTCCAAGTTTGAACAGCGCATAAGTTGCCTATATAAGACTGATTAGATCTAATTGGAATGAGGCAAGCTCGGGGGTTCATACAATAGCATGTTCCATAGAATTACCAAGCATTACTGCAACACGGTGCCCTTTGCGGACGCCGACAGACTCAAGGCCTCGCGCAAGGGCGTTGCTCTTAGCATCCAGGGCTGCATAGGTTACTCTGTCACTTTGATGCATTGAAATGACACTGGGCGAGGATATTAGCTCCGTGTTGAGTCTGATTGGAGAAGTGCAGTAACTAACGCTGCTCGATCACCATACGACTGGACGATCTTGGAGAAATGTTCGCCAATTGTGGATTCCAGCAAGGGGGGCTTATGTCACGGGAAAAATGTAAAGGTCAGCAGAGCTCACTAAATTTTAACTATCGCTAATATATACCTCCAGTGGTCCCCGGGCATAGCTCTGGGTCAATAAGCTCCTCCTGGTGGGAGCGAGTACCGGCCTCGCTAAGTGGCCTCCGACTTGGAATCGACTCAATTGGCGTTGTAGAGGACGCATCTCCGATTGGTATGCGAGGCGAATATGTCTTAAATGTTTGAGTTGGAAAGTCAGAGGGTCATAAGTTTAAGCAGAGCTGTTTCTTGTTGCACGAAGTTGAAAGGACTACCCCTTGCTTCCCCTGTATATACATCGGATGTCGTCAGAGGACAGTGATGGACGTAGGTCTAGATGCGCGGGAACCGTAGATGACGGGCACCACGCAGGAAGATTGGAGCTAGTGCAATTGGAATTGGACTGGACAGAGATCGAGAGAAAAGGAGACTGAAATTGGATTGGAATGCGAGAAACTAGAGGAACAGTAATGATTGCCTTCCCCGCACGTGCAGCGGTGCGGGGGTGGTTCGCATTGCCGAATCTCCCAAACCGACTTCATCTCCACGATATGCCCCTACTTCTTCTTCCCACTAGTCCCCCATTGAATCTCGATATCCCTGACAACCTAGCTGCCCCTTTTGGACATGCAGTTCGGCTCTCCGCATTTGCACTCTTTTGTTTCCCAGTACCAATCCCCATAGCCAATGGTGAGTTCCTCAAAGATGGAGATGTCCCGGCGCGCCTCTACTGTCATTCGCACCCGATTCCCAATGGACCGAAATTCGAACTCGGTATTGGGATCACAGGAGTGATTGATGAATCGAGTCCAGTTCCCCTTGAACTGGGACGATATACTTGCGAGCACGACGTCACCATCAGCATCGGTCTGAAGAGAAAGACCGTAAGTGCCATCGTCGTAATCCTCGGGTTTGATCTCCCCCACGTATTCCGCCAGAATCTCCCCTTTCTTGAAGTTCGTCAACGCCCGAATCCCGGCATATTTTACGGGATACTCGACCAGTTCCACCAGACCTGCTACCTGAAGACCCGGCTTGCATTCACAGAGCTCGCTTGACCCGCACAAGGCGCAGTCTCCGTGTCTCGCCTGACGGATTGTGGGGTCCTCTACCTGTTGGCCGTCTATAACCCAATCAGCTGGGTCGAATGTACACTCGTCCATGTGCTCCTGTTTTCGTTGATTATGGCGCTTCGTGCGCAGTCCGCCGCTAATGGTTCGCATAATATGGTGCGGATGATCCTTTCCAATCCGCTTGTAAAACCACTCCAGGTTTTTCCTGATTTTCGGGATGGGGTGGTGGTTGGAGTATCGGAGCAGCAGACCGCTCCAATCCAGGTTCCGCAATCGAGCGAAAAAGACCAGGCTCTCTGAGTTTTCTCGAATGAGGTTGAGCAATTTCTTCCAAACTCGGGGGTTCGTCTCTTCTAAGCATGCTCTGCGGAATCCTTCCGCCCACGCACAGATCGCCAGAGTCCTCCATCCGAAATTGTGGCAAAACTTTGCGATATTCCTCACCTCGCGTACTTTCTTCTCCTCTGGACTCAGAGCATTTAGCTTGAAGTCAACTGCCATGCGCACCACCTTTTGTGCCTCGTGGTACTGCGTCATAAATTCGGGGTGCTGTTGTTTCTGATTCTTCACCATGAAGTCCTGCATTACGCATACGTTGTTGATATCCCAGTAGATCGCAGCGATGATTTCGGTAGCCCGCTGGGAAGGCTTGATTTTGGGCTTTTCAAACTTCAAACTGTGATAGATCTTGGGCTTACTTTCGACGGGTTCTTGAATGATCAGGTCTCCCGCTTCACTGGTCGTTCGTTTCCTGCTGGCTGTCTGGTCCTTTGTCTTCTGCTCAGTCGCCCGGTTGTTTGGCTCGTTCTGGGTCTCCTGAGCCTCTACCTCCTGAGTTTCTGAATCGGTGTTGAGGTTTGTGGCCTTCGACTTCTTGCCAGCTGGTCGGCTCCTTGGGCTCTTTTTGGCCTTCTTCTCGACGGGTTCTTGAAGGATCAGATCTCCCGCTTCACTGGCCTTTCGTTTCCTGCTGGCTGTCTGTTCCTTTGTCTCCTTTTCAGCCACCTGGTTGTTTGACTCGTTCTGGGTCTCCTGGGCCTCTGTCTCCTGGGCCTCTGAATCTGTGTCGGGAGTTGAGGTCTTTGACTTCTTGCGAGCTGGTCGACCCTTTGAGCTCTTTTTGGTCTTCTTGACTTTTGAGATCTTGCCAGCCGTCTGCGCTCTTGACATCTTCGCGGTAGCTTGTCCCTTTTTCTTCTTGTCGGCTACCTTGACCTTCGAGCTCTTGTTAGCTTTCTGGCTCTTTGCCTTTTTTGGAGCCATGATCAGTGTAGTGGAGTATAAGAAATCTAGATTGCGAGGGTATTAACGAGCAATGGCAGATAGGTGTGGTTTAGTACAAGGTTTTGAGACATCCTATATTATATATTCCGGGTCTTCGTTTGCTATGTACTGCGTTCACGGAATCTTCCGTATGTGGGTTTGGTGGATTCATTGTTTTGAGCACAATACAATTTGCTTGTCTTTTTTGTGTACTTTTGATTACAAAGAAGGACAGTCACTGTGAGATGCTATGAATATTATAGAACAAGGAGTTTAGTTATATGAATCCATCAATGGAAGGCTCTAATATTTTCTTTGTTTTTTGAAGGGTCGTGCAGCTATGATAAAATGGCTTTGATATGCACCACGGTTGAACACAACAAGGTCTTTTTATTATGCTACCGAAAAAAAAGAGTAAGGTGACAAAGTGATATTCGAGTGAATGGTCCTTTGAATTATCTGTTTGATGAAGCAAATAGTTGCTGAACTAGAGTCATGCGGTTTCCTGATCATATGAAAATATTATGTTCATCAGGTAAGATACAAACGGAGTACGTTTATATATCAGGGAAATTCATGGGTTGATAAGCACTAATAAGCTTGGGCTCAACACAGACTGATGGCACAGTCCTATAGGGATTGTGATGTCTCGATACTCTAAGAAGATCAACTGGAGGATCCCGACATGTACATATACCTACTACCTATACAGGACATAGCCTACTACTGGTTAGAGCTTGTCGAGAGCCTGACAGCCAAGGCAGCAACCGCGGCAGCCTGTTCGTTGAGGCCTCGTGTTGGGTCCACCCATGTGACTCGACGGCGGGCGTCGGGGACCCAAAGAGGCTTAGCGGCCCTCGTCGGGATCCGAAAGGGGGAAAGCGCGGCGGCGGGCGGGTTTGACCCCGTCAGATTCAGGCATCCCTCGATCTATCGTCGTCGACGTTGTCTCTCTTCCTTCTTCTTATTCCCACGGACTGCCAGTTCTCGTCGCTTTCCTTAGTCATTTCTTTGCCTTAGAACGTCTGGCCTCGAGCTCAACGCTTGTCAAGATACTCGCGCTCCTTTACGGCTGGACTTGACCAGATTGTCTTACAGAAGAAAAAAGACCCCTCGACTTTGACTCTACTAGTCCCTGATCCGGAATAGCACCGTTGGCTCCAGATCAGTTCCCCTGGATACTCTCAACTCCTCTGCTATATATTTGATTTTATATTGTGAATTTCAATCGCTCTTTTATATATCATGTCGGCCAATCAATTGCTGTGTCAAATGGATTCTCCGTCGCACCAGAACGAATGGTATGACTTTGACAGCTTTTTCGAGTTTCCCTCGGGCGATTTCGACAGCAATTCCACCTCGGTAGATTCAATCTCCCCCAAGGACTTGGATCTGAGCTACACCGAGGCGGATGCGTCCAACTGGAATTCCAACATCGGCGCCTGCTCCCAGGCGCCATTCCCGGAATTGGTGGACTGCGAGAACCTGTTCGGAGAGTATGCTCTCGGCACCGAATCCATCTCGAACCCTAACGAGACCCTGCAACTTCCCTCGACATCCGAGGCCGAAGGGTCCATAGGTTCCACCTACGATGGCACGTGGTCGCCTGAATTCTCAGGCCACAATGATCAGTTCTACTCGACCATTCGCCAGATGGTAGAGTCCCAAGCAGCGACGGGTGCGGGCTACGCCTCCAAAAAGGAGAAGCGTATCGAGGCATCCATTGCGCTGCATATGCAGCGGCTCCAGGATGTGTCTCTGCCTGATATCGAACTGTTCTCGGACTCAAATACCTCGTTTCCTTCGCCCTGCTGGTCGGAGACTGCCCGACCAAATGCTTCTCTTGACGGGAGCCCGGCTACCACCCTCCTGTCCGAGCCTACTAGCAAATCCCCTACACCTCCCTCCACGCTTGATGCCTCCTCCGGAGGGATGGAGCTCGTATTGGACTTGAACATGAACACGACTTCCAACGTTCCGAAGAAGCAAAAGCCCCGATCGCGGGCCCAGAAAGAGAACTACATCAAGGTTCGCAAGCACGGGGCTTGCGAGAAACATAGAAAGCAACACAAAAGAGTATGTCTCCCGTTTGAGTCAGGTTTACCTGGCAACATGTTCGCTAACCTGGACCTAGTGCAACTGCCTCGAAGCTACCATTTCTCGTGTCGACATGGCTGGGTCGCTTCTTTCTACCACGAATGAAGTACTTAGACCGATGAAGCACGCTCCACAGCTTCACGTTCGCGGCCAGGACCACGACAGACTTCTCCTACAAACGAAACTGAGACAGAACAACACGCAACAGTGTGTGAAGTCGGCAGCTCTTGTGGATCGCAACAGTCCTACCCCCGGCGCCTCGTCGCCCGAGTCGGGCACTACGAGACACTCGCCTTGCCATGTGCAGCGCCCGATTAGCTCTCCAGACCAAGGAGTAATGCTACAGGTACGGTCGCCCATCAGGGAATACATACCTAGGGGCGGCGTTAACCATGTTTCTTCGTCGACGGGACTACTTGCAAGCCAAACAGTACAAGAATCGTCCACGGCCAACCCCGCTCAACGACCGAGCACGAACGCGGTCCAGGCGACGCGGCGTCCACCGCTTTCCAATCGCGGGTCTCCAGAGCTATGCACGATTGTGCATGGACGCGACCACGACCAGGTTCTCGGCCAAGGACTTCTCCAGAGATGGCGTCTACGACCCACAAGCCGGACGGGACAAGAATGCGTGCAACTACAGACTGTACAGCGCACGACGGGCTCGAATGGTCTTGGCAACGAGGGAATCGTTGTCCAACAGCAACTGCCCCTTCTATCTGTTTGTACAGGACTGTACAATACTGCACTTGCATTCTCCCGCTTCTGGCAAAAGTCGGCATCAGTCACCTCATGGGCAGGAAATCTTCTAGAAAGGTTCCTGATCGTCTCTTCTAAACGTTTTTCGTTTGTTCGGAGGGGATGGGGACTGAATCAGTCCGGCGTTGTGGTTTGATTTTGGTCTGTCTGTTCATTGAGCGTGTTCTGTGCTGTGTTTTTGATTTGTCCTGTTATCTTAGCGGTGGTTTGAAAATTTTGCGCTGTTGATTCCCTGTTGTTAATATATCTGTCAAAAATAGTGTTTGGATTAGGTAGTAATGGATCATTTTGTATATACTTTGATTTAACTGATAGACTGGAGATCCTATGACTGCGGAAGACCTGGTAGTCCCGGCTGATGTTCGCCGCAAGCAGCAACCGCCGTCGGGACAACCACCACAACGCAAGATCTGTTACCTGTTCAATCTCTTCCCGTCATGGACCCGAGCTCTACTCGCTACATCTCTTGATGAGATCCGCGAGGTGTCTTCAACGATAGAAAACCGCTCTTCGATTCTCGCTTTCCTCCGGGCGACCCCACCCACCTTCCTCCGCCAATCAACGCCCAATCATGGCGGCCTTCTCCTTTTCCTCGGCGCCTCAACGACTTCGCTATCGTCCACTTCTCGAGCCTGACACGAGAGAGCCCTGGCGTCCTCACCCTGTAGTCCGCTACTGTAACCGATTCTTCCGAATCACCGTCGTCATGTAAGCATCTATGTCCGTCTTGGTTGGATAGAGGGACCCGATCATCCAACCGGAGAAACAAGTGAGCTAACACCCAGGCCGTCAAGCCCCGTCCTCCTCGTAATCACCCTTCTCGTGGCCGGTCTATTCATGATGGCGGAAGCTCGCTCAGACGAGTCTCATCTCGAGTTCTCCGCGGTCCCGGGGTTCTTCTTACAGGATGATCCGGAGACCGATCCGGATACGTTTGATTATGTGAGTTTCATCATCCCCTAACTAGTTCATTGAACTTGTGATAGACTGTACTATATAAACAATCGGACAATAACCCGGATGAATCTAGGTTTCGTCCAATTTTGGACTGATCTCTCGGTCCTACGACACAGACCAGGACTTTGACCCGGAGGGCAAGAAGACGCAATGGCAGCGTCTAGCTCACCACATTGATGTGCTCAATGAGAACAGCGGGTCCGACATCAGTTATAAACTTCTCTTTCTCGGACGCCACGGCGAGGGATTCCATAACGTCGCCGAGCAGAAGTACGGCACGGAATTGTGGGATGTACGTGTTCTAACCTTCTCCCTTTCTACCCCCCTCTGTTCCTCCCCCCTCCCGCGGCGTATGGCATATGTGTATACTAACAATCCAAAAGTGCTACTGGTCGCTCCAAGATGGGGATGAGAACGGCACCTGGGTCGACTCCCGACTCACCAAGCTGGGTGAGTCGCAAGCAGGGACCGCCCACCGCGCCTGGCTCTCGCAGATCGAGACCGGCATCCCGGCACCGCAATCATATTACGCGAGTCCGTTGAATCGATGCCTCGCCACGGCGAGCATCACATTCAAGGGGACCGGTCTGCCACTTACGGAGCCGTTCAGGCCGCTTCTTAAAGAGGTACCCTCACCACTGCCTCCCTTCCTCCTTCCTCCCCTCAAAACTAATCCTAACCAACCCAGCTCCTCCGCGAAACCATCGGCCTACACACCTGCGACTCCCGATCCTCCAAACCCGCCATACAGGCCGAATACCCACTCGTTCGGTTCGAGGAGGGCTTCGCCGAGGAAGACCCCCTGTATGACCCCGATCTCCGGGAGAGCGATACCGCGCGGGACGTCCGCTTCCGGGATCTCTTCCAGGACATCTTCGGGCACGACGACAACACGTATCTGTCGTTGACGGCGCACTCGGGCGCGATTACGAGTATGTTGCAAGTTGTCGGGCATCGGAAGTTTGCGCTGGCGACGGGCGGCGTCATTCCGGTGCTTGTGAGGGCTGAGAGGATCAAGGGGCCGTTGCCGGTTTGGCCGGTGGATGACTGGACGGGAAAGCCGGAGTGTAAGGGGGATCCGATGGATAGGGGATTATGGGCCCACGGGGCTTGAGTTCATTACTTCCTGCCTGTTTATATAATATACAATGAACCAAGAGGTGTATGTGATGTATATTCCAATATTGTACACTTGAATTTTTCACCGGTGCCGAGGTACGGTTGCTCTACTACATACCACCCCAGAGCCCAGCAACCGACTCGAACCGACTTATCGAGGGCTTCACTCCAGACCAAAGCCAATCAGATGCAAAGAAAGCTGAATGTCACAGACGCTGATATTCGCCAGATGGAGAATTTCCGAACGGTCTAAAAGACGGGGAAAATGGAGAAAACAAGAGATAATACATGATAAACGCCGAACGAAAATGAAATGGAAAAAAGGGAAAATTAACCGTTACTTCTTTCTGACCTTATTCGTTAAAAGTCTGAGGAAGGAGAAGGAGGGAGAAAATCCGAAGAAGAGGGAAAAGAATACATAGAAGGTCTTTTTTTTACCAGCTATAGTACTGGTTCTGGGCACTGATCTTCCGGTCCGGAAGCTGAGTCCAGAGTTGAGTCTTGCGCTTACGCTGCGACTCGGCCTCGCGGACCTGCCATTCCCGGATACGCGTCTTCTCCTCCTTCAGCACCACAGACAGAGAGGTGTACGGGGGACGCAACATGTTGATCTGACCGCGAGCGCGGTGGTCGTAGTCGTATCCGTACGGACCGCGGTTCACCCAGGCCTGTTCGATGAAGATGGCGCTGGGGTCGGTGATGGTCTTGCGCTGGCCCGACTTCAGAGTGATGGTGACGCCCTTCTTGGCGGCGTCGCCCTCGACAGCGCCCAGACCCATACCGGAGCGAACGACGGCGACGTTCTTCGCCTGCTTCAGGTGCTCCAAAACGTCCTTGGCGGCCTTCTTCTTGCTGAACCGCATCTGCAGCATGGCCTCGTCGATGTTCTTGCCGGCGATCTGTCTCGCCAGAGGACCCAGCTTCTTGACGGAGGTCTTGAACCAATGCGACTTGGAGGTGGACTCGCGCTCCGTGCGCAGGATCTGCTCCGTCTTGCTGATCCGACCACGACGACGGACCTCGCGGATCACCATCTTGCGTTCCCAGCGGACACGGGCGTTCGGACGGGGGTCCAATGCCGTCTGCATCGTCTCGCGGTTACGGCCGTCCACGGCGTACGTGTACTCCGCTTCCTCCTCGCCCTCGGCGGGCTGAGCAGCGGTCCTGCGACTGGGCGTGCGGCCGGTGGCAATGAGTTTCGGGGAGGCCTCGTCCTCGGCGAAGATGGAGTCGGCGCTCAGCGAGCCCTCACGTTTAAGGGGGGCGTTGGCACGGCGGGTGATTTTGGGCTTCTCCGCGGCGGATTTCCCGCCGAAGAAGAAGTTCTTGATGGAGGAGAGGGCTCCACCCTTGGGTTGCGGCGAGTCGGACGAGTTGTTGGAGCCATTTGGACCGTCTTCTTGGGCGAAACGAGGGACGGTATACGTGAGGGTGCGGCGAGGGAGGTAGGTGACGCCGGTGCGGGCTTTTGATGGTCAGGATTTCCAATCGACGGTACGGTTTCTTTCCGGGGGGAAGGACAGGGTAATTGGAACTTACCGGACCGGATCAGGTGCCCGTATGGGTTAAGAGCAGCCATTGAGGCCATGGTGAAGATGGCAGAGAACTCAGGGACGGGCAAAACCGAGTTGTCTGCAACGGGGACGCACTCGGAGGTTCTTCTGGTGAGGGAAGGAAAAAAGTGTCGGGAAGGGGACTTGGCTCTGCGCAGGTGGTGTCTGCCGGTCGCCGGAGAGGACCGAACAAGGCACCAGCCACAGGGTCAGCCACAGCCAGAGACACGAGCCACGACTGGGGAGACATCACATGCCTAGGCATCCCGTGACCATCTCATGTACGATTACCTCATTGTCGCCCGGGATGGTCACCCGCAGAGCTGCACGCCTAAACCCCTTCCAGCCTGCCCTACCGTTTTCTACTTACTACCTAGGGACTGCCTGAGGGAACAGACAGAACGACAGGGAGGCAGGATCATGTTTGGTAGATAAAGATGGGATATCTTCCCTCGTGGACGCCAACCGAGTACCTTACCGAACCAGTCCGGACGACGTCCCTGGAAGAGTGAGTGACCCGCACCCAAGGCACGGATCGCAGGCACTCGGGTACCAGGGCGAACAATAATATCATAATAATAATATGTGTTAAATATTATTGTTAGCTTAGCATCAACTGCGTCATCGGTGAGCCTCGGACAGTTTGACCTTCTCGGGGGGGACTTCGTAGGAAGGGAAATAACTAATGGATAAAAACAAAAGAAAACCGATCGAATGGAAATAATCCAAAGATAGCCTCTTCCATTCCCCGGAGTGGAAAGTGCTCCCTCGTCTCTCTTGCTCTCCTGCTCATCCTCGTCTTCCTCTGCCAAAATCTCCACCGTCGATCCACTGCCCTCATCGTCAGTTCTTCTCGGTCTCGCTCTCCTCGCTCTCTCGTCTTCTCTTCTCCCTCACCTTTTCTTTCCCTTTTTTTTTATTTAAATATTTTTTTACCTAACACCCTCCCCCCCCCCCTCTCCCAGCCTTTCTGGGAGTCCCGCGTGTCACTTTCGCGCTTCTCTCCTTCTTCCTCTTTTTTTTTCCCTTTCCTGGTTTTCCCATTCCGGTAGGTCAGCTTTCTTTCTTCTGCCGCCTTTCTGAGGCTTTTGGGGATTGCCGTCTAACGAGCTTCGTAAGGGTAGCTCCCACCCCGGTTTAACTGGGATAGCTTGTTTCCTGTCTCCCCCCTCATTCTTCTCTTCTCTCTTCCTCTTCACTCTCCGCTTGTCTCCATCTCCAGCCTCACTTCCTTTCTCCAACACCCGATTCTCAAACTGAGTTGGTTGAATTAATTTAAGAGAAAAAAAAAAAAAAAAAAAGACAAAAGAAAAATTCGGAAAAAAAATCTTCTCAATTTAGTAGAAGAAATTTTTTCTGTTATAACCCGATTAACAGCTGTTGATCTCTTCTACGTTTTTTTTTTTCTTCCCTTGTGCCCTTTTCACCCGCAAGTTGTCAGTTGTGACCTTCTCTAGTCGGAGGCGTTCCTCTTCCCAGGAACAAGCGACAGAACAGAATCAAGAACTTCCCCGGTTCCAGAGTCTAGATAGACTTGCGCAGCCCGGGGCAGGAATGGACTCGTTGATGAGGCAATCTACGGCTGTTCTATAATTGGGACCTCTTTTCCACTTTTCTTTCTTCTTTCAATCCATTATCCCCTTTAGCATTCCTCTCGACTCATTCTCGGGACGAGCGCCTCGTTCGCCGTCTTAGATCGATCATTTTTCACCCAATCTCCCCCCTTGTTATACTCGCGCAAAATCAGTCTCAATGATGGACATCAATTCCCTACTTTCGCCGCAGGATTCAAATTCGCAATCCGGGCGCTCCACCCCCTCCGTTGCTCCTGCTCCCGCTGGCAACGCATCTGCTCCCTCCGCCGCCGCCGCTCCTAAACCCTTACGCAAGAATCGCACGAAACAGGGCATGACGTCCTCGCCGCTGGCGCAGCACGTTTACGCCCCGACAAATATCCCCGAACCCTCGCCGCCCTCCGTCAGTCCCTCCGTCGGTCCCAATATGGGCGGTGGAAATGGAACCCCTCCGGCCGCAGACCTGCCTCCTTCCAGACAACCGTCGACCCCCGGCATGGATACGCTGGCCGACCTGGCGTCGATGCAGCATCATCAGCCCCAACGATCGAACGCCCCCATCCTGCGAAGCACCGAGTCATACATAAGTCAACTCTCGCCGTCGACGATGTATCCGAATGTCGGCTCTATCAACCACAATACCCCGACGCCCCGCTCGTCGTTCGATATCGCCATGTCCGATGGTCCTAGGGAAAGCGCCCGGAGGAATTACGTCGATACGTCCTTGGTGCCGAATGCGCAGCGTCTGGCGACCGAGTTATTCGTCCAGATTCAAGAGAACCCCCAGTCCTACGAGGCGCACGTCAACTTCGTGCGACTCCTGCACGCCGGGTTCGTCAACCACGTCTATCCGCCCAACAACCCGGATATTCATGGCGACCCCCGGAAGTATGACCTCCTAAAGGATATGAGAACGGCTCGGGAGGAGATGGATAAGCTCTTTGCGATGGGCGAGGATCTGTGGGCCGAGTGGATCCAGGACGAGAGCATGTTGGCCCACAACGTGGAAGAGCGCATCGCGGTCATGGAGCTCTGTATGCGATCCATCGAGGAAGAGTATGGCAGCACAAAACTGTGGAGTATATACGGGGAGTGGGTGCTGTATCTGTACAACTCCGCCCACGGCGACGCCAGCCAAAGTCATTGGACGGACGAGGATCGGCTCGTCGGGCGCGAGGTATTCTCCTGGCAGTCCGTCCTCGAAGTGTTTCAGAGAGGCGCCGAGGCCACGCTGTGGAGAATCAACGACAGCCACCTGGTCTGGGATCGGTTGTTGGAACTGCGCGTGCAGGATCTGGCGCGCAACCCCTCCCAGGAGAAACTGGCACACGTGCGACACCTGTTTGACATCCGATTGCAGACGCCGCACGCCACCTGGGACCAGACGTTCCAGGCTTTCTCTGGGTTCGTTTCGACCTACTACAACGCAAGCTACGAAGGTATCATGGCCGAAACCGCCGAGCGATATGCCACGCCCAGCAAGGAGACGTACGCCGCACGTGAGGACTTTGAAATCAAGCTGCGCAACGCCGCCGAGTCGGGCAACATGGGCATCGAGTGGACTATTTATACCGAATACATCGACTGGGAGCTCAGTCGCAACCGTCGGAAACGCCACTCGAATTTTGATCTGGTGAATGCCATCTACCAGCGCGCGGTGCTGCGATTCCCCACCGACGCCAGCATGTGGGAGGACTTTGTCATGTTCCTCATTGACGAAGCCATGCATGGGAACACGAATACCACCACTATCTCCACCCTCGATCGAGCCACTCGCCATTGCCCTTCCTCCGGCACGCTCTGGTCGCAGTACCTGATCAGCTCGGAGCGAGAGGGCCAGTCATTCTCCAAGATTGCGGACATCAAACACAAGGCCACCAGCACCGGTCTTCTCGACGTGGGCGGCATGGAGGAGGTACTCAAGGTACATACCGCTTGGTGCAGCTACCTGCGCCGACGGGCCTTCATGTCGGACTCCACCGACGAGGATCTGGACGTGGCCGAGGTCGGAATCCGCTCCGCCATCGAGAGCGTTCAGGAGCTTGGGGAAAAGAAATACGGGCGCTCCTACCAAGGCGATCCGCTCTTCCGACTGGAACGCATCTACATCCGGTATCTAAGCGAGAGTGGCAGCTGGGATAGCGCTCGGGAGACGTTCAAGGGTCTGGTTGGACGCCGGGGCAACAGCTACGAATTCTGGCTGACCTACTACGAATGGGAGCTGATCTCCTGGAGCAAGTTTGTCCAGGGTGAGGCGACCGTCGATGCCGCTCGCCGCACTCCCAACCCGAGCTACGCGACGGCGGTGTTGAAGCAGGCGATCAAGCGAACGGATCTCGACTGGCCGGAAAAGATCATGCAGACATACATCGCCCACTGCGAAGACTACGAAGATTCGGACGAATTGCAGCTGGCCATCCTGGAGGCCCGCAAGGCGATGCGAGCCACAACCGCACGACGCGAACGAGAGGCCCGAGAGGCCGCCCAGCAACAACAAGCGCAGCAGACGGCAGCGGCAGAGATGGCTACGCACGCCGAAAAGCGCAAGCGTGACGACGAAGCCAATATTAACGGGCTTCCAACCAAGAAGCCCCGGGCGGACGAGCCCCCGGTTGCTGTCGTTCCCACCACCGAGGTAGAACCTGCCGCAGCCCCTCCTCGGGATCGCGAGAATGCCACCGTGGTGGTCAAGAACCTACCTCGGGGAATTACGGAGCATAAAGTCCGCCAATTCTTCCGTCACGTCAGTTCCGCTCTTTCCCCCTCGTCGCCTTTCCCTGCTATTTATTGTCAATTTGCTAATGCGTACAATAGTGCGGAACGATCAACGGGCTGCAAATGTTCCCCGGCGAAGGAAACTCGGAGGTTGCCATCATCGAGTTCAATTCCAAGGACGAGGCTGCCGTTGCTCAAACCCGGGATCAAAAGTTGATCGATGAAAACACCATAGAAGTGCATATTGGATCCGGCTCTACGCTCTTTGTCACCAACTTCCCCCCAACCGCCGACGAGAAATACATACGCGATCTGTTCTGTGAGGTGGGTCCCTTTAGTCTTCCTGGGTAACGGCTGGTTAACTTGTAGACAGTTCGGCGAGATCATCGATATCCGGTTCCCGTCGCTCAAATATAACACGCATCGCCGGTTCTGCTACGTGCAGTTTCGCGAGTCCGACCAGGCGTACCACGCCACGAGACTGGACGGGACGACGGTGGGCAAGAACCTCCAGCTGGTGGCTAAGATCTCCGATCCCTCGCGCAAACAGGACCGATCCGGCCCGATGTACGAGGGACGGGAGGTGCACGTCTCGAATGTGGACTGGAAAGCCAGCGAAGACGACTTGAAGGAGCTATTCTCGAAGTACGGGACTGTGGAGTTGGTGCGGATTCCGCGCAAGGTTGACGGCGGAAGCAAGGGATTCGGCTATGTCATATTCCCCTCTCAGGTAAGGCATCCTCTCTGCAGAGAGAACCTGTGGTGGCAGCAATACTAACCTGATGGGGTTCTTATAGGAAGAAGCCCGTGCGGCGCTTGCGCTAGACGAACAGGAGTTTCGATCGCGACCTCTCCATGTGAAGCTTTCCGCGCCCCAGGGTCCCAAGCGAAGTGCAACGACCATTGTCTCCCGCGTGGAGAAATCCCAGTCACCGGCAGCCTCCGAGGCAAACGGCACGAAGCAAGGGTCTGGCGACGGCGACGGCGCCAGCGGCGAACGGGCAGCCCGGACGCTCGGTCTGATGAATGTTCCGGATACAGTCAATGATGCACGCATCCGCAGTCTGGCCGAGCCGTACGGAAAACTGGTCAAAATCATTCTTCGACCGGACCACCAAGGAGCTATCGTCGAGTTTGTCGACGTGCACCATGCTGGCAAGGCCTCCTTGGAGCTCGAGGGCCGCGAGATCGCGCCAGGTCGGAAACTACACGTGGGGACGGTGGCCGAGATGCTTCGACAGTCGGCGGACAAAAAGCACAGCGGGGCTCCCAGCAGTCAGCCGAAAGGAAACAAGCCCCAGGGCTTTCTCCCAGCCAGTAGACCCGTCAGCCGACCGCCGCAGCCCGGAGCGCGCGGCGGGAAGCGTGGAGGACTAGGCGTGAAGCGAGGCGAGAAAATGACGACGACGACAACCACGACGACGACGATGACGACCGAAAGCGCATCCCCGGGCCCGGGGCAAAGCACGAAAAAGAGCAACGATGACTTCCGAGCGATGATCCAGCGGAGTCAAGCTGAGTGAAGAGCATCCGGCGCAAAAATTGGAATGCATGCATGGCAGATATACTGGCGTTTCCCTCCGCGATCGCTTTCTTTCATCTTGATTTGTTTTCTCATTCCCCTTTGTATCTCGATCTCTGGCGGGTGCCGTGATTTTTTCTTTTCTTTTCTTTTTTTTTTTTTAATCTTTTGCTTCTGATGGTTTATGCCCGACCCCAAGTGTATTATCAAGTTCGTTGATTATCCGTTGCATTCCGAGTTTGCGGGATTGAAGTGTAGATTATATTGTGTATTTCTGATCTTTCTCATTCGACTGACTATGATTCCATTCTATGATTCAAATCTATGCCTATTCAAGTATACCGAGACGCTTCCGGTAGATCAGGTGGGGTGACGTCAGAGTCAGGATATCGTTGATAAAATTGAATTGAATTCAAGGGGATGGAATGAAATAAATTCCCTGCTCGACGGAGTATACACCTACATCGCAGACGAGCGATGGGATGCCTCCCCGCCGACGCTTTGACCGTGGAGATCCTCGAGTCCGCTTGGCCTGGGGTTCCCAATGCGACCAGGAGAGAGCGATTAATCGACAGCCCGTCAGGAGCAACCTCAGGCCACCACCTCCCAGGAATGATCGGCCGGGGCTTCCCTCCTTCTCTCATTCTTCTTCCTCCCTCCTCCTGATCCTGTTCCTCCTCTCCCTCTTCTCTCGTCGACCGTATTTCTCGACCCTGATCTCACCCGTCCCATCCATGGTTTCTCAGCCCCTCGACCGATTGAACGGCCGACTGTTAGTGTAAGATTGATTGGTTTTGATTGACTGATCAACTGGCTTTTGTCCCCTTCTTCCCTCACGACCCCGTCGATTTTATCGGTCGGACTTTTATTCATCTCTTTTCGACTCTTGGGAGGGTCCTGCTTCTCCGTCACACTTGATTCTTTGCTGGTTCCCTTCATACCTCGCTCTCGCCCCGACCGCCTCGCCCACCGCAAGGGCGCTGTCGTCATCACTGCCAACAACCAACAACCAACAACAACATGGATTTCCATCTGGTGCCTCGTGGGGAGGATCGCAATTACACGGGCTTCTTGACCAAGACCATAGTCTACACAGCTACCCTGATTGTTTTCATCGCCTGTAAGCGCCGGCTAGAGCCAGCCCTCCAGCTCCACTTCCGTTATCTGCCCCGTCGCATGTCATGCGCTAATAGAAGCTCCTCTGTCGCCAGCCTTCGGTTTGTCGATCTCCTCGATTGTCGTTCCTAAATGGGTCAGCTATCATAGCGAACATGTACATTTCCTCTCGATTCCGACCATCTCAGCGTCCATGGCCTAACCCCGTGCAGCCCTCCTTCCACTACTCCTACGGCCTCCACCGTCGCTGCTCCTCCCTCTCCGATACCTGCGAGAGCTTCCCGCAGCGCGAAGACTGTCATGGCGAGGACCGCTACTTCTGTTCTATGTGGCGCTCCGTCGGCTTCCTCATGTCCTTTGCCATCGTGCTCGAGGGCATGAGTATCGTTGCCTACGTCATCGTGCTGGCCGGCGGGAAACGACTGCGCGAATCGGGGTGGAAGATTCTCAGCTTGCTGATCGTGCTGTCGGCGGTGGTGCAGGCTGCGAGTATGTCCATCGTGGTGCGTTGCCTTCCCATTCTCTCCCTTAGTTTTCCTTTCCTTCTCAATGTGGCTGATAAGTGTAGGCATATTTGTTGGACAACGAGAGCCGGTTCTTCGTCGGCTGGCGACTCGATGAATCGTGGATTTATTGCACTGTTAGCTGGATCGTTAGTCTGCTTTGTGCCGGCGCTTTGGTGATTGCCGCGCGAGTGCTTCCGTCGGAGGGCGGATATGAGTTGATCCCGGATCACTTGTAGTCAGTTTGGGACTGTTGTATGATGTGGACGAATATACGCAGGAGGATGGATGGTGGATTTATGGTGTTAGTCGGACTGTTTTGATATTGCACGCAAGGTATTTGATTTCCGCTCCTATTGATCGATGTGCTGGTTTGTTGTTACTGGTTTGATTGATTCTCACTCGGGCGTGTATATAGCGTCTTCTTCTCGTCTAGAGTTATGATTAATGGTAATGAATGACATATGTGGATTATGATCAGATTGATTGCTAAATACACCATCCCCTTCCGCCCTCTTCCTCTCAGAATCAGGGCTCAACCGCAACTTCATCTCTCCCACCAGCTCCAACCCACTCCTTGAAGACCGGCAAGATTTCAATATCCGGAAACCGCAGTTGTGTCTTCTTCGTCGCCTTTGAACTCCCCTGCCGTCGCCTTTCTTGTTCTTTGAGATACGTCCTCAGCTGCTCCAGCATCGTCCGCACCTCCGCGAAAGACTTATTCGGACCCAGATGCTCGCGTAACCACGACGGCACCGAACCCTTGGGGATGGTAGGTTTCTTGCGCTTGGGGATACCTCTCCCTCCCACCTTCCCTTGACCCCTAGAAGCCACGGCAGTTTGACGTTTGCGTTTGCGTCGCATCTCTCCAGCATCGACATCATCATCGTCTTCATGATCCTGATCGCCTCCTTCTCCTTCCTCCAATCCCTCCTCCTCTCCCTCGTCAGCCCACAAATCCATGGCCCTCTTCCTCAACACGACCTCAAACACCCTCACCCCGCCCCAAACCCCCATCCTCTCCAACGACACGAATACCAAATCGACCTGCGCGACGGCCCAGTTCGGGGCCCGGTACCGTGCCCGCTGGTAGTGTTTGCGACAGTAGTGTACCCAGACGGATGGCGGGAAGAGACGCGTCGACAGCTTGTTGCGGCCGAAGATGTGTGTTATGAGTTTTCTCGCTGGTCGGGGTGGTGGGCTTGGTGTTGGTAAGGGTTCTGGGGAGGAGGAGGGGGAGTTGGGGATAGTGTCTAGGTGGGTGGTGCAGGGGGTGGTGAATTCGCAGGGTTGCGTCGTCGCGGATGCCGTCGGGGACGCCGTCGCGGATGGGTTTGCGTATGGATCTGGATATGGGTTGTAGTGGTGAGTAGATTCGTAGTTGCTGTCAATGTCTGGGGCGTTGGAGTTGGGTTGAGAAGGCATGTGGGAAGGAGGTCGAAGAGGATGCCGTGACTTGGAGCTGGTGATGTTGGTGCCAGGTGGAATTGGGAGTGGGATGGGGATGGGGATGGGTATGGGGTGCATTTGATTGTGTATTTGATGTCGAGGTCGATACGGCATTTCGTCGTTGGGGTCTTGCTCGTCTGGACGGGAGGTCTTATTAAGATCGAGATCCAGAGAAGGGATAACAAGGTGATGGTAAATATGGAGGATGAAGAGAAGATGGAAATAAGATGAAGGTAGGGAGACAAAGTCATATTTGTACCAAGATTTCTCTCTAGAGAGGGATAAGAGAAGTCTACGAATAGGTTATACGTGCCGGATAACAATGCCAGATAACAAAGGGATGGCGAACGCTGTATCTCGCTGCTTTCTTTGAAGTAGGTACGTATAGTAGGTAGAAAGGAAAGGGGGAGGGGGAGGGGGAGGGGGTGTGCGATTCTCAGCCATCTCACCAAGAAGACCAAACAGAGTCAACAGGATGTGGATATCTAGCTTTTCAGGCGCACGCTATACAATGGCGACAAACAACTCCATTGTGCTAGTGCGATCATCCACTCTCAGCCAAGGGGGATGAACCCAATCAGAAGATCAGGAGATGGATAGTTATAGTTCAAGACAGATAACCAGTTCCAACACGAACAACTACCCTTCGAAAATCCAAGACCCCAAAAAAGCAACGTTATCGAAAAACCCAGACAGAAAAGCTAAATGCATTCAATTCATTTCACCATAGCATGGCATAACAGAACATAACATAGCATGGCATGTAGCATGCATAGCATAGCGTATTCACTTCCATCAGTATTCATCCATCCATCCAACCATCCATCCAACCATCCATCCAACCATCCAAACCCGAAAAGGAAAACCATTTTTATATCCATTTATCCATAATATCCCGGTCGATCAATCATTCTGTTTTACAACCTGACCGTACCAGATCCATGTTCATGTCCATCCAATAAACGCCATATCCACATGCACAAAAAAAGGAGCTCGTATAGACAGAAAGAAAGGGACAAAGACAGAAAGTAAAGGAGATCAATGAGCAAGTGAGCAAACAAGAAGAGAAGAGAAGAGAAGTAGTGACGGACAAGAAAAAAAAAAAAAAAAAAGAAGAAAAAAGCCCGAAAATAGATGATGCAAGAGAACGCATACCACGTCACCCATAATAAGATAAACAGCGCGAAAAAAAGGAGAAGTGGAAAAGGAAGCAATGTACTCCGCACAAATCAATCAAGACGTTGTCAGCCTCAGGCTCTCCCCTCATGTCTGTCTCACCGTCCATTTCCACCCGGAGGTCTAAGAAAGAGGACACTTAGATGATAGATCACATCGCGTACCCCGTCTGCGGCCTCGGCACGTACCGTCTCATCGCTCGGCCCGTGGTACAACCTACCGAGCCAATATCAATCGTGCCTAGTTCGCGACTCAACGCGTCCATGCCCGGTGGAGGCGCGCCTCCCCCGGTCGGCATCACCACACGCCCTCGCGACACGGGCATCGGTTGCGCAATGGGCACCTTCGCCGGGATCGGCGGACCGTGGTGCGCCGGCGCGTAGAAGCTCCCCGGTGAATGCGAGCCTGAATGGCCTGAATGACCCGAATGGCCGCTCGGCGCGGGGGACACGGAGTTGCGACTACGCACAGATCGGGGCGAGGGCGTGCTATACGTTCGAGCGTGTCCTGGTCCAGGCCCATGTGCGTAGGTATGCACGACGGGCACGGGCGCCGGAGCCCCGTATCCGGATCGGGGGCGGCTCATGTCGACGTCTGCGGCGCCGTAGGAGGAAGTCGGACGAGGCTGGGACTGAGGCGGAGGAAGTTGAGGTCTGATGGGGACCGCAGTGGCGGGACGAGGACTGGTGCGAGCGGCGCTGGCAGGCGACTTCTTGAACCGGACGACCACGCCGGTTTTCTTCGTCTTGCGCTCGGGCTCTGGCGCCCACGTGTCTGTCGGCAGGTGGTCCGAGGGATCGATCTCCCGGCCGTCGTCGCCGATGATGGGCCCTGAGTCTCTACCGAGGCGGGCGGCTTCGGCTTCACTACGTCGAGCGGCGTGCATGGCTTCTAAAGGGGTATCGTAGGCTGGAGCGAGATCGCGCGTCACGGCGGCGCGGGCAACGTTGGGGTTGAACTGGTCGTAGGAGTCGGGGGAGAAGGGGATCTGAGAGACCGCGGGAGCAACAGCAGCAGGGTGGTCGACGGGCATGGTTCCGGCGGGAGGTAGAGGCGAAGGATGAGGGCTAACAGAGGGGTGAGGGCTGACGGATTTGCGACGGGGCACGATGCGCGAGTCGGAGTGGAAGGATCTCCGAGTGGTGACGAGGGCTTGGTGAGGGTTGTCGATGGGAGCAGAGAGAGGAAGATGAGGAGCAGAAGCGGCCGGACCCTCGAAGGGATACGGCGGCATCATGGCCGGCGCCGGCGAGGGATCTCGCGACGGCGGACAGATGGGGTCGTCGTTGTCGAACATGGCGCTGCGACGACGCACGGCGACGCGTTCACTGGCGGCGCGATCGGACTCGGCGTCGGCGATGGCGGGATCAAAGCCCGCGACTAGACTGGGAGGCATGGAGGGCGTATTCGTAGGTGGGGGGAGGTGGTCCTGGATACGCGCCGCCACGTCGGCTGGTAGGTGGTGTTGGTGGTGGTTGTTGTTGTTGAGATCGAAGGAGTTCCGCGGGGACGGTGCATACTCTGGGGAGTAAGCTTGGTACGAAGGAGTTGGTGACGGTACTAACTGTTGAGCATAATTATTGGCATGATTAGGACTGGAATGCATCTGCGCCACGCCCGAGCGATGGACGGGCGGTGGCGGCGGAGGGCCGTCGTCGTCCTCGTCCTCGACTCGCGGCTGCATCGTTGCATATTCCGCATGACGCATGGCATTGCTACGGCCACCGTCGTGCACCAGCGAGTTGCTGTGACTCCGGCTGCGACGGCGGCCGCGGTAGTGGTCCACGGGCTCTAGGGCCATGCTGTTGGGCACGGCGGCGGGCATGTACTCCACGGCGCCGTGGTCATGCATGCTACTGCCGCCGGACGAGCGCGACGTGTATCTGGCCGGGGGAGCACCATGCACGACCATCATATCCCCGTTTGGAACATAGTGCTGTGGCTGCTCCGTCGGGAATGCGTAGTTGCTGTGGTGGCTGCTCGGACGAGGCGGTTCTGCAACGGAGGCATGCATCTCCGGGAACTGCTCCGGTCGACTGACAGGGATTTCTTGCCTCGACGAGCGGTAGTCCACCGGGGGCGGATTGCCGTAGCCAGACCGAGGCCGAGCGTAGGAGCGCGAGTCGTACGAATCCCGATATCCCGCGTACTGAGCTTCCTGCGGATGACGCTTGGGAGGCGCCTGCTGCAACGGAGGCGCAGAAGGATGGCTCCATTCACGGTGGAAGTCATCCGGGGTTTCGTAGGTTCTCATCGGCCGAGAAGCCGGGGGTGCTTGAACAGGCATCGGGGCAGAGTCATAGACAGGGTCGGAAACCATCGAGTGTCGCGGAGGAGCAGCGTGACGCATATACTCTGTCGGCGGTGTGGAATAGGAATGCGGGGGAGGTTGCTGTTCATGCATCGGCCGCGGCGGCGAAACCTGCGCCGGCAGAGGTGCAGGTGCAGATGGAGCCTTCTCAGGCGGACCAGGACGCGACGGCGCTGACCCCGTGGGATCTGTCGGGAGCGGACGGCGCTTGACGTTTTTGAGCTGTCGAGGACCCGACAGCGACGACGAGCCCACGGGCGTCGGCGCCGCAGCTGGGCTGTTGCTACTGATGCTGGATGAGGTCGCTGCGGAGGAAGGACTCTTGCCGTGGATCTTCTCGGCTGCCTGTGTGCGTCGCTCGATGACCGCCTCGTCCTCGGGTCTGGTGTCGTAGTAAGTCATCTCGATGCGAACGTCGCCTGCATACCGTCCGCGGTACTGTAGCGGATGCCACTGGTCGCTCTGGCTGCCTCCGGGGATGATCAGGTCTTTCAGATCGACCCACGTCTCGCCGATCAGGTCGGTTCGCTTATCGTCGTTGAACACGGTGACTTTCAGACGGAAGTAGTCGGGGGATTCGTGGACCGTGAATCGTAGCTCTTGGTCCCTGTGTCACGCGTTAGCAACCGGATCACAGCCCACAAGGGGAGTTGAAGTAACAGTATACCATTTTGGAGTCTGACCACCTCTTAGGTCAGTCTCTGTTTTCTTGGCCTCTTTGCCTAATCGCGCAGCGCAGTACGGATTCTGCTTTCCCATCGTCTTGCGATTGGGCAGGTTCTTGGCGCGGTCGATGACGGCGACCAGCGTGCCGATAGCTGGGCCATCGACAGACATATCGGCGAAGATGCCTGCGGCGTGGTTGATGGACATACGAGAGGCCTTGGACGCCATGGCTGAGGGAGGGAAGCCAAATAAAAACGATCACTAAAGGAGAGGAAGAGAAGCGAGAGAAGGAAAGAAAAAGGAGAGGGTCGGGAACAGGGTCAAGGCGCCGCGCTTAGGACCGCACGCGTTGCGTTGCAGGAGAGGGAGCGAAGCCAGTCAGACGAAGAGGCTAGACATGCGACTGACTAAATCAACGGGTGTAAGCCAGCATTGGGACAGGATGGATGAGAGGGGAGGGATTCGGGAACGAACAGGACAAGGATGTGGGGGATTGGAGTCTCTCCTCCTGCAGAAGTAACACGAGCACAAGTCGAGACGGGAATGTCGAGGGAGAAGGAAGCAGAGACAAAGACAAAGCGAGGAGAAGAAGAGAGTGTGAGAAACGAGAAACGAGCAGGGGAGGGGAAATCAATCAAAACAAATCGATAAGAGATCTTGTTCCCTGGGATCCCGCCTCATTGGTCGACTCGGTTCCGGTGGGGCGGACAGCCGATAATGGGGTGGCTGGGGGGTGGCTGGAGGGGGTGGGGTCCAGCCCGTGATTGGTTGTGGTGCGCGTTCCTGCATGGGCGAGGTGTGGCCGGCCCCACCTCCTGCCCTCCTTCCCGATCGTCATCGCTGCGTGACAATACCGTACCGCGGACCAGCCACGGCCATTTTTCTGATTTAGATTAACTGCTAACCGACCCCTCCACCCACTAGCGTTCCGGGGTCGCCGCCAACGGCGACCCTGCCAGCTCAACGAACAGGTCATCTCAACGAACACGAATTTTCATGAAATTATTCAAAAAATCATAACAATTTGGAAATTCAAGATATCGCAATAATTCCTATACTGTTGGAAAGCTAGAGGTCTCCTCTTTATTCCTGCTCTTTCGCTGGCGCTTTATGATAATCCCCCGGTCTATGGCGTAGTCGACAAGTTCGACCATAACCTGCTTCCATTTAGCACGTAGACGAGTACGCTCTTTTAAAGTATCCAATTCCTCTTCTTTCCGCTCTATATGAGCAAGACTAGTACTGGAGACGACTCCACCAACCGGGGCACGCCGTTTAGAGGCACGATCTCGCTCTGCTTTTTCTCGTTGAACCCTGGTCATCTCGTCTAACTGCCGCTGCAACCCTGCAGCAAGCCAACCCTGCGCTATACTGCCTTTTATGAATTTGGAGAGCCTCCTAGTGAATCCGTAGCCGTCCTGTACGGCGTCATATCCTAGATTTGTGGCGAATTTGGCAAGGCGTTGGATGTTCTTAGGCGTACTTAGTACTGAAGACCCTGCCTCGCTAGAGGTCGTAGATGAAGGTGTAGACGGCCGGATTTCTGGCAGATTAGCCAGTACGACTGCTGGTTTCCAGGGTACAAGCCCTGCTAGGCGAAAAGCATAGCGAATCGTAGTATTTTTGAAAGTTTTCTTGCGGATAGTCGATAGAGCGTGTAAGAAGTCGGTCTTAGTAAATTTCTTACATCCAGCGTACGTAGCGTTGGATACTGCCTCAGCATGATGATGCTTATAAGCATGAAATATGCCTATATCGAGCGGTTGAAGTAGGTGGGATAAATGAGAAAGTAAAAAGAATAATACAATCTTATGCTTCTCACAGTATTGGACGAATTCGTAGGTGAGATGGGATCCATACCCGTCACAGAGTAGGAGACGATAATCCCCCCTAGTTCGATGTTTTGTATAGAGGCTAAAGGCCTGAATCTACTGAAAAGCAAGGGAATCCGTCATATAGCCACTATCGGAGACTCCTATATGGGTCCCTTTCGACGCTTTATCGAACCAGCCACGGAAGATGCATTTACCAGGCATAATAATAAAGGGAGGGCATAGGTCCCCGGCTGCAGAGATTGCCTCTACAACCGTAACATATTCCCGGTTGGAGTTGAGGCCTAAGTAGGTCTTTGTATGATCTCTGGTGATGATCCACTGGTCTTTTCCAATACCAATTTGAAAGCCTGTTTCATCGAAATTCCAGATGTCGTTATCTAGGATCCCATGTACGGCAATAACGCTTTGAAGACGGCGATACCAATCCTCCAGGTCGTCCCGATTATGAGTACGACGTCGCTCTACCTCTATAGCCCTTGCCTTCTTCATGTTGTATTGTGGGTGACGTATAAGCCAGCGGGATAGCCACTTATCGCCAACAGTAGGAGGTAAGGTGTTGGGATCATCATGAGCCTCCTTCAGGATCGAATCGGCCGCTGTTCGTACCATCTTAGGCCTCGGGGGGAGACCAACTTTTGCCCAGCATTCAATATACTGTATTAGAGCAGAGTTCTGGGCCTCAGTAAGCTTTAAATTGCCTGGTAGCCGTGTTATTCGTGAATCACGACCTAAGAAGCGATTTCGAAGGCGCAGACGAGGAACATCAAAAAGACGAGCAGTTTTTGAGATATTAGGTTTTTCTTGGTGACTCAGAGCTTCTAGAGCCCTACTAATTCGAGACTCGATCTCATAATAATTGCTAGCCATCGTGGGGTTGAATAATGAGGCGTCAAAGTAGGGTGGTCAAATCATGAAAACTCTGTTCGTTGAGATGACCTGTTCGTTGAGCTGGCAGGGTCGCCGTTGGCGGCGACCCCGGAACGCTAGTGGGTGGAGGGGTCGGTTATCGTCATGACCGCCTTTCCTGGCAGGCGTTTCATCTCCGGCCACATTAACTTGTCAGTTGCAATCAGCCTGGCAAGCCCACCCTAGTTCCCCACCTGCAGAATAAGCTACGTAGCTCGTCGCCAATCGTCGCGTTACAAAACCGGCTGATGCTGCATCATCGGATGCGAGTCCGTAGTCCTTACGGAGCACTCCATTCGAGAATTGTAGTTGTAACTACTTCGTACATACTCCGGACGAGACAATACACCATGTTGCCCGCAAACTCTGTTGCCTGTCTGACCGTGTCAGCATCTCACCACAGCCCCATGGCGTTTGAACTCTGCCAAGTTTACCGTTCTATAATTATCAACTCTTCCAGAAGGCGGACGCATACCTCAGAATCAAGATCCAACAATCAAAATAGGCTTTCGGAATTTATTCGGCCTGGTTTCAAAATAACGGGGAAGAGTGGAAACATCGTAACATGGCGGCCTGATTCATGCTGCAACTGTGGGACTTCGCCTTGTTTTCTGGGCACTGACAGGTGATTAGGTAGAAGTATTCCGGTGCGTCTTTATTCTTTAGTGACGACATGTATATACGATGTAACGGCTTTTACTGAAGGAGAAGGAGCCTCAGCTAGCGCGTTAATCCCGTGTCTCCCGACTCCCGTGTCAGACCTGCATGCATGGTACACTTCTCCGGAGTACTACTCCTTATATCGCTCGGGATTTGCAGCTGTCTGGACTCTGGGGCTGTTGCTTTGTTTTCGGAACAATTGTCCGTGCATGTCTAGAGACACTTTAGCCTGTTCCGCCGCGCTAGCTCGTCTCTACCGACAACACGTAGCTCACTCTTTCCGAAGGGGCGTATAGTCGGTGTCCCTTTGAGATTTTTTTTTCCCGCGACTCTTTCATGTCAAAATCAAGATTCACCATGCCAGCAAAGGTAATTTTATTATGATGGTGATCTTCGATAATCGCCCAGCGCAACCGGGGTGGATTACTGGGTCGGCGGGACCTAGGGCAATGATCGACTCGTAGTAAGCACTGTGCCACCCCTGTCAGCCTGATGTAGAGCCCCTCTTTAGAACCTCGAGACAGGTCTCACGAATGTGGATATCATGAACATGGCATCTTCCGAAGTACACGATCGAACATTCAAGCTTGCCTTGATCGGCGATTCTGCCGTTGGAAAGGTAGGTCAGGGCGTGCAAAAGTACATATACACTATAGCAGACTATACTAATGAGCATGAATGTAAGACTAGTTATAAAGTCCGTCAATTCACCGGTGAAGAACCAACAGAGTATCGGTCTATCAACTACTGTGAGATATCGCATCCACTTACATTTACATTGGCGGTCTGTACTAGATGTGATCTACCCATTGTATCTAGCTAATAAGCTATCGTAGAACGGGCGCGGAAACGTTCACTTCGAGATATGGGATATCGCGGGCAACCAAGGCCTGACAAACCGGTTAGGAGAGTATCTGGAAGACAGCGATGCGGCTATCATCATGTTTGACGTATCCCGACGGAAAACATGGGAGAGCGTGGTCAAGTGGTACCGTATGAGTTACCTTCCACATGCTAGGTCTCGCTAATAGACGATCTAGAGGATCTTGTATCCGTAAACGATAAAGATATCCCTGTGGTGGTCTGCGCAAATAAAGTAGACGATCAATGCGAGCGTCAGGTCAAGCCGGAAGATATCTCATGGCCGGGCGAGATGAGTGGCGTCCTATACTGTGAGATATCCGTCAAGACCAACTTGAATTTTGATGAGCCCTTCTTATGGCTTACGAGGACTCTTTTGAATGATCGAACTCTGGTATGAGTTATGTTGTTAGCCTGTTGACCAGAGGTACATGTACTAACCTAGCTCTGGTTTAATAGGAGTGGGGATCGAACCTTTTATGCTCTGGTATTCCACCGCTACCCATTGAGCCTGAACAGTTGAGAGTGTTTGAGGAAGAGATAGCGAGGGCAGCCTGTATGCCGCTTCCTGACAATGATGAGTCTGATCTATGACTGATAGTCGTATATTGCTGAGTAGCAAGGTAGGACTGGATTCGTGGTATTCGATTTTGGAACGACTAGGATTTATTATCAAATACCATATAAAAATAGCGATGCTTTAGAGAAAGGTCGACTGATAGCCCACATTCAATCACCGAAAATATATTGCCTTCTCTTGCGCTGTGTCACTCAGTCATGGTATTCAAGACATGGTTTCAACATAAAGATATATCTCGGTGAACTGTGGCTTTTTGTGACTGCTTCTGCCTCAGTACGGACAGACAAGGGAGTACAATGTCTCAAAACACCACGTGGTGTCTTTGCCCCTTGCTGAATCCCCACTATCAAGAGATCCAGATGCCAGATAGATGTCATGATGATTCACATCATGGATCATGGCCATCGCACTGGAATGCGATCTGCAAGGGGTAGCAGTGTCTAGATGGGCTGGGCCAAACACTGTCTCATGCCATCATACCGGTTGCAGTCAACCCGTTTAACTTCCGACACCGGATAGAATAGTCCTGATGAATCGTTTACTTCATTGGCATGCTGAAGGTGGAAATGCACCTCGTGACCCAGGTCGGTTGTCGCCTGATTGCCTGACTGCCTGACATGCAGGGCACCAAGGCAGCAAGGCACTACTGTTATCTTATCATCACCTGACCTAGAATCTGGATGACTAAGCCTCTCACGGCTTGAACTTTTTGCATCAAAAAAACTTCTGGACGATCGTCAAATTTCTGCTGCATCGTCGCCGACGCCCACGCAGCTGGCCGGCCGAGTTTGATTTTCGCTTCTGTCGTCATCCAGGGACCGAGTCAACCTATATCTTTACAGACCTAATCGTCTATCTCAATTCCCTCCAGCCGCTATGGCTGCCCCCGTCCTCCCTCTGCAGCAGGTCAAGCTGCCTGCGCTGCCCTCCACGAAATTGACACCGGAGCAGCAATACTGGAAGACGTTCAAGAACCCGCTTCTGATCCCCTCTCCGGCCAATGGCCCCGTCAATCTCATCACGCAGCCCTCCGCGCCCTCGTCCGCCTCGGCCTTCCCCTCCCTGACCCAGCCTCCGGACGTTTTCACCGTCACCACCGGCGCCCGAGTCCAGATCTACTCCATCCGCACTCGCAAACTGCTGCGCACCATCACTCGCTTCGACGACACCGTCCGCGGCACCGATGTGCGACCCGACGGCCGCGTGCTCGTCACCGGTGACGACACCGGCACCGTGCAGGTGTTCGACGTGAGTTCGCGATCCATCCTCAAGACGTGGAAGGAACACAAGCAGCCCGTGTGGGTGGCCAAGTTCTCCCCGAGCGACGCAACCTCGCTGCTCAGCGCCAGCGACGACCGGACCGTGAGACTGTGGGACCTGCCGAGCGAGAGCAGCGCCAAGACCTTCGTTGGACACACCGACTACGTGCGCAGCGGTGCCTTCATGCCCGGCTCCCTAGCCTCCTCGGGCCTGGTCGTCTCGGGTAGTTATGATCGCACTGTCCGGCTGTGGGATCCTCGCGTGGAGGGTCGCTCGGCCATGACCTTCAAGATGGGCGCTCCCATCGAGAGCGTGCTGCCGATGCCGACGGGCACGACGGTGCTGGCGTCGGCGGATAACAAGATCGCGGTGCTGGATATCGTGGCGGGTAAGCCTTTGCATATGATCCAGAGCCACCAGAAGACGGTCACGGCGCTGTCCTTGGCGTCGAACGGCGAGCGACTGCTCAGTGGTGCGTTGGACGGTCACATGAAGGTGTTCGAAACGTCGGGGTGGAATGTCGTCTCCGGGTCGAAGTACCCGTCGCCGATTCTGTCGCTGCGCGCCATCACCTCGGGTCCGGCGCAGGAGGATAAGCACATTGCCGTGGGTATGCAGTCCGGTCTGCTGTCGATCAAGACCCGTTTGTCGGGACAGCAGAAGGTCCGCGAGCGTGAGAGGAGGAAGGAAATGCAGGCTCTGCTGGAAGGCAAGGTGGAGGAGCATGACAAGAAAGTGGCCAAGCAAAAGCGCGGAGCCGGTTGGGAGAAGCGACTACGCGGTCGGGATTTCATCGGCGAGGGCGTCGACATTGTGATCGAGGGACAGGATCGCAAGAAGCGGAAGAAGGAACAGAGCTGGGAGCACGACCTGCGCAAGGCTCGGTATTCCGCCGCCCTGGACCAAGTGCTGACCGGACACGACAAGACGGCGCAGCTCACTCTGCTGGCGGCGCTGCGACACCGGTCGGCGTTGCGAGCGGCGCTGCAGGGCCGGGACGAGGAGACGCTGCGGCCGGTGCTGCAGTGGGTGCACAAGAACATCCGCGAGCCGCGACTGGTGAAGACGTGCGTCGAGGTGGGCATGAACGTGCTGGACATCTACTCGGGCAACCTGGGACAGTCCGCGCAGATCGACAAGATGGTGGACCGATTACACCGACGGGTGCGCGACGAGGTGGAGATGGCGCATCAGGCGACGCAGACGCAGGGGATGCTGGATATGCTCCGTGCATCTTGACCTTGCTCTTTACTAAAAGAAAAAAAAATTGTTTGACTAGAAAATCTTTCGCATTCGGATACCGGGATGGAGTTTGGGGTTCGGGATCCAAAAGACCTTACATCTGTGTATATCAATCAACCAAGCTTAGCGCCACTGATGAAACATTGAATGAATCATTCTGCATATGTTCGTAGTTCGTAACTCTAGCATTCCTCCCTATATACATGCCTATTCCCATTCCCCTGATTCTGACCTCTCACTCCATCCTATTCAAAACTATTCAATCCCGATTCAACTTAGAGAACCCTCCCTCCGACGGCTGCAACCAATTCCTCTCATCGTACTCCCACCCCTCCGCGCCCTCAATGACATGGAACGTATACGCAAACCGACTCCGTTGGCTCGTATTCTTCTCGCTCTTATGCAGCACATTCCCATGAATCAAGACCAACGAGCCGGCCTTGATATCCAACACCTGCACATCCTCCTCCTTCGGCTCTTCACCCTCAACTTCCTCCTCCTCCATGCCCCTCGGCAAGCTCGCGCCCTCATTCACCACAAACTCCGTCCCCTTACTATCCGCCCTTCTCACAAACCGCCTCTTCACAGCCCCACCGGTCTTTCCCCGATGCGAACCAGGAAACATGCCCAGCGTCGCATTCCCCGGCCCGGCGTCCTGCAACGCAAACCACCACCCGACGGCCGACGGCGGACTCGTGTACAGAAACTCCGAGTCCCGATGCGGGGGCACCGCGCCCCCGATCCCGGGCTGTTTGCAAATGACCATACTCTGAAGGACGCGGGGATCGCGGAACCCAAGATCGCGCGCGATAGCGGCGTTCTTGGCGGAGAGCGAGACGGCCTCGAAAGGGCTGGAGAGGCTATGCAGGGAATGGCCGATCTTGTTGACGGCTTGTTGTTTGGGTTTGAGGAGGGAGGGGCGTCCCGTGGATGGGTCGGGAGTGGGCGAGATGGCATCGGGTTCGAAGAAGAAGCGGATTTTGTCGCCGGAGGTGAGGAAGTAGTCGTCGCCGACGTGGGGCTTGTCGTCTTTTGCGTCGTCGCCGGTCGTGAATTGTGTGAGGGGATGCGTGGAGAGGTCGAAGGTGTCCAGGAGGGTGTTGGTTTCTGTGAGGAGGGAGGTGATTTCCTCCGGTGAGAGGTACGAGGGGATCACGAGGTAGCCGTTTTCCTGGAAGGAGGCGAGTTGGGAGGGGGTTAGACCGGGCATTTTGATTGTTTTTTGGAGGGTTGATGGGATGAGAGAGAGGTTGTTGACCTGGAGAAGAAGAGGAAGAGGAGGGAAAAATGCGGGGGAAGAGAGACTTTTATATGGGCCAAACAGACAACGAGTGGGGCAGATCGGACCATGTTTTTTTGGTCGGGTTAAGTGAGCATCGGCGCTCTCCGAAGCAATGTAACCCTTTATCTTCAGATTAGATATGAAGATAAGTATATTATTAGGATGAGAGCAGTACGAGGGATGTCATAATCCTTTCAAACATGGATCAGCTTGCATTGACTGGCTAAATTTCTATAGTCCCAGCAATTCCTCTCTTTTATCTCCTCTCCTTATCCTCTCCGTTCCCTCAATTTCCCACCGATAGAGGCTGAAGAAAAATTGTCTTCTAGATCAACAGCTCCTCAACAGGGGCCAGAGTTCCGTTGGTCAACGCTCCGGCGTGGTGGCGGGCAGCCAATCCGTACGCGAACTGGTACTTGTCGAGGTAGGGCAGGATCTCGGTAAGACCGGGCTTAGAACGCCAGTCGCGCATGAGATCGCAAACGATGCCGAAAAAGCCCGTCAGGGTGACTCCAGCCTTCTCCATGCGACGGTTGGCATCTTCGGCCAGCTTCACGTCGAAGGTACCGCTGGCCTCGGTGTTGGCGAAGACCTCGTATCCCTCGTCGACGAGAGAGAGCGCCAGGAAGGCAGTGCCTGAGATGATTATTAGTATGTGATTTCAATCGCGGCTATCCCGAGTTGCTAGAAGCTCAGGTGAGGCAGGAGAAGAGGATAAACGTACAAACTTCGGTAACGATACCGCCAATAATCAACTGCTTCTTGCCAGTCGCCTTGACGGCTTCCCGGAACGCCTTGTTATCCCAGGCGTTGACCTCGCCCTGGCGCTGTACCAGGGTGGCGTTGGGGTGCATGTCAATGATCTCCTTGAGCATGAGACCGTTGGGGCCCGTGTCCGAAGAGGTGGTGAGGACGGTGGGCAGGTCGAAGATAGGGCCCAGAGCGGAGTGCGCCAGCATGTTGTTGCGGAAGTCGTTGGTGCCGTAGTCGCGCACGAGCTGGGTGAGGCCGACTTGGTGGTCGATGACCAGAAGGGCCTATAATAGTCAGTTCTGATTCAAGGGAGGCAAAGGAAGAACATACGGCATTGTCCTTGTCAAGTCGGTTCCATGCCTGGGCAGTAGAAGCCAGGATGGCGAGGGAGGGGAGAAGGGTCTTGAACTGCATATTGTCTTGTCTTGATATAAGAAAATGAAGAAGGGATAAATGTGCAGTGAGGCAATGGGAGCAGAAGAGAACTGGCTTGTGTTGCTTTGCTTGAGTCTGATCTGAGCTGATCTGGAGAAATGTCCAGGACGGACGTGTCCCTCTTTATACTTTTGGTCGAGCTCAATGAAGCCCGACAGACTTGACGCTGCGGACAGATTCCGCCTGGGTATTCACCACCATTGTCCAATCTTGTCTAGGTAATCGTCTGTCAGCTTCATCTCATCAACGCTCCGTACTCCATACTCCGTGCAACATATATCGTCCCGGCCGCTAGATAGATGCAACTATGCTATACGCACTCCACTCCATCCCTTCTTGGCTGTACAAACGAGAAACCTCACTACCTGAAACTGTACTAGTCGATATCCTAGAGGCGGAGAGTAATCGTATTTTACATGACAGAGATATTGCTGAGCATTATGCAATTCCGCCACGAGGGCTCTGCACACCGCTAGATGACACTTTCTTACCGTCTAGGCGTCTAGACTACATGGACGGTGGCAAAGAATTGTGCCCAAAGAATATGCGAAGTCCTAGATAAGAATCGGCATCCCGGTCCTGCAGTCTGCATGAGAGCAAAGCGTGGTGGCACTAGCCCGTCTGGCAGGATGAGCATAGATTGACTAAATGCTGACGGTGCAGTTCGTGTTCCGGGACGTTCGGTCAGTATCGGGTAGGTAGGAGGAGGTTCGGGAATTAGCAGATGCTAGGTCAGGATTTAGTGAGAGCGCTAGGCAGAGCACGGCCAGCATCCTTCCTCGCTCAATATATTTGCGCCAATGGGGGCAAAGTACCAATCTTAAGAATCCTCAGATTTGGGGCTCGCTTGAGTACTTTGTCACATTTGATGATTTGAGATGAGATATGGCACTAAAATAGTAAGGGTTTGAGGCTTTGAGCCGCTTGTCGGTCTTGGGCCGTTGGTTGAACTCGCTTGGAACGTTGGGTAAGTCTTGTGGGAACCCCGGAGAAAGTTGGAAGGTTTGGAGGATTTTCACGTTTGACTTTGCAACGTCAATTAAGCAGTGTCATGTGCCTTTATCCATCTTATCTCGGATCTTCATGACTCAACTCTGATCTTAATCTCTACCATACACACTATAAACAAGGCGCATACTGACATTCATCCCCTGCGGCAGCCATTAAGAGCCTCTACTCCAAATTGATTAATTCCTCGCCTCTTTTTTAGCCGACAAAACCGGCACATCCCGCTAACCCAAATAGGAAAATCGTCAAGACATAAGGACGATGCAATATAAACCACGAAGTGGCTGCTTACCACGCCAGAATCACCGGGCTTTAAAGTCCGGAATAGACTCCTATTGCTCAATCCGCGAGACAATGTACCGTGTGCACGTTCATCGGCAGGCTAGGGTTGCCAGATCCAGATCCAACGTTCGGTCAAATTGCCCTTGGTCCTGCAAGCGGTAAGATTAAGTCTCTGGCTAGGGGCTCATTGAGATATCGAGTCGGATATGGCACTTTGCGGCATTTATTGACAGGAGCTTATTATGGCGAATCGACTATTCCTAATTCTGCAAATACCGAGTCATGCAGAGAGGGTTATAATATCAATCACTTAATCACTTAGTCACTTAATAAGACTTTCTCCGACAAAAGGGTTTCGTTTTTAAGGAGTGCGGAATTGAGAGAAATGCAGACTTCAAATTGTGGATTGGTGTGATTTCGCTTGCTCATCTTTCTAGATAGTAACTGCTTATCTGAGATCCGTTGGTGGTTCAACATGCAAACACATTATGCAGCTTACGGTCATCCGCACAGTTGCGTAATTACTTAAGAGATACGATAGAGGAAATGTAAGGAATGTAGGCTCCGACAACCGAGAAAAATCCAACATAAAATTTAGGTCGTTTGAGATCTGGCTAAAGTATGATGGGGAGCAGACGAGCAATTCGAAGTTGGATAGTGGCATCTCATATCTCTCGGTATTCTATCGGAAGATTCATTAACGCTTTCAGTGTGAGTCACTTCTAGATTCCTATTTAAGCCGCGATAGCGCCATGATCCATAAATACTACAAAGGGCTTTATCTTGGAATCCAATACCCGCATTGTCTTCTCGCTCGTTGTGGAGCTAGAGACTATTTGTGGCCGCGGGAAATATGCACTATTTCATAGGTGACTGCAAGTGGGTTCCCAGAGATTCTATTAATTTCACCGATGGATACAATTATGGCGGCATCATCTTACCAGATAGCGCGCCCGCAGATGAATTTCGCCCTGTGGCTTCTGCAAGATCAGACAGAATCTACGACAACTATGTGACCCTGCACAGGATTCTGCAGCGACACGAGGAAAGAATCCGCAAGCTATGGCCCAAGAAAAACAGAGGGCAGAGGTTAGAAATCATTCTGGATGCTTGGCCAGATATGCCAGAAATCCATCGTCCCGACTTCGCCGCCTTCCGAGAGGTGATGGATTACCAAACCCACAAACACAAAGGCTGGTTCGTGTGGCCGTATACCAAACAGGAGGACCTTCGAGGCCCGAAGGCACTGCCGCTTCTCTTGAACTCCAGAGGCCGTCATGTCCCCTCTCATTTTGCGGCTGCTGACTGGGTAGCTATGCATCTGGGTGAGCGCGTCATTGCATTCAAAGTGGCTGCTTTGAACAGACGTGTCATGGTTTGAATGGTATGACCGAGAATAGTCGAGACTATGGTAAGCTCATGTCTTGGGATGATCACCCAGATGCTTTCCACTGGTTCCTTTCGTCAAAGAAATTTCTGCCAGGAGAAGGGCTATTAGTACTGGAGGCACAAGATGGGCTTCTGGATTTCCTGGTTAAGTGCTCTCTACGAATACTGCATGATATTGCGAGGTCTGCAATTATCAGTGACATCTTCCCAAATTTTCCAGAACCACAATTCCAGGATGAAGGTGAGATAACTGGTTTCGAGTCCCTGAGTGTGATGGCTGCAGAAGCCCCATATCGCGTTCCTGCAAAACTGAACATACTTCGCATTGAGTCGCTTCTCAGAGCGAGAGCATCAGCGGCAGAAGACCACCTTTGGGCATTGCGTGAAGGTCCCGAATATTTCGCCAACGTGCTGCTTGAGGAAAAAGAGCATCGCCCGGAGTGGTTGGAGGACGTCAACGGCAATAAACATCCACTGCTCAGAGAAGAAGAAATCATCTGGAGGCGCATCATGGGCTGGGTGGTTGGTGACGCATACATTATGGTAGAGATGTTCTCGGAACTCACAAGACAAGCCGGAGAATTGGCCGCTTTGCATGACAAATATGCTAGCTGTATATCCCCTGCAGAAGGTTTGCCGTGGGAGTATCTTGCAGGTTTATTGAGACTCTTGTATTCCGGGCGCCAGTTCCTTGAGTATAGGCTATTGATGCTCAAGATGGCTAAAGTCGCCTCGCCCGCCTTACGAAGATTGATTTCGTGCCGACACAGGTCGTCCGAGCCGTATTATGTTGATAGTTAATCTAACTAAATGTTTGTTGTTCTCGCATTAGTCCCAATTGCCGCAGTTATACCACCTGATATAGTCGATACTCAGGACACTTTGCTATTTAAAGACCTATAGAAATCTGCCTATAATTAACCAGATTTAGAGGAGCAAGATATCCTATCTACTCCGCAAGCCAGCACAGAAAAGGAGAAAAAGTTCTTCTAAATTAGAGCCATCGCCGAAGGCAGCCAGGCATCTGAGACAGTGCAACGAGGCGTACGCCTCGTTGAGCTGTTTCAAAAGCCTGCACCTCGCCTGCCCCTCCATCTCCTTTGGTTGATCATCTTGAGATAGAATCGTTGAATCCAAGCAGTCAATATCGTCAATTTAGTCCTATATCGTTGCCCTGAACCTACGTCTTCTACATATTGTACTGCGTATACTGGGCGGTCATTTAGGCGGTAAAAGGACTTCAATAAAATTCATACTATTTTATTTTTGTTGTGGAGCGGCTGCTATGGCCCGCCGTACCTGATATAATTGTTATTATTAGTTACACCAATGTAGGCATAGCTTATAGTCCCCACCTTGATATTCCTTCCACTTCAAGTGTTAATTATACATCTTTTTTTGCGAAAACAACTCTGCAGCTTATCGATGATATGATAACGAGCAAAGAACTCACAGCTTTCTTTTCATTCCCCAGGATTGCTAGATCAATGTGGACGGGATCCACAAGGTCCTGATAGCCACTGACGTTGTTCCTGCAATTCCGCGAGAATGGTTAGGAGCGTAAAACGTCGCACTGCCAGCTGTTTTGTGGGGCGAAAGACACCTATATTGGCCATTTGGGCGACTGCAAAGCTCAAGTTTCCAAGATACATTCTGGTCCCGCATATTATCTCCAGTGGGTTGGTGGGTAATAGCCTCTTCTATGATATGTGTTTCGATTTTCGGAGGATACTAAGGCCCTCATTGGCCCAGAGTATGAGCTCAGTAGCCAACAAAACTTGTTCTTGATTGCTGTCTTTATTGATCTGGTCATGGAAGTCTTGCACCAGGCACGATCCGGTGATCAGCGTGCGGGGAGAGGTGGAGATCCCCCGCCTTACGGTGCCGCGTTCCCCGCATCGATTGAGGGGTTGGCATCACGGACCTCATTCGGTGTTTCAGGAGCTGGCAATTAGATGACGTATCATTGTGGATGCTGGGTGGGCTCAGGGAGTGTGGTATGGAAAGAGATCTCGATTCATTCGAGTGGTGGGTTGGGGATGCAGGAGATACGATTTTGGCCTGGATTGTTGAGGAGGAGAGAATCCACTATGAGAACAGCTTCATCAAACGGGTTATGCATCTACAGGAGTGAAAGAAGTGGGTGAAAGGGATCGACGGTGAAGATTCTGTCTTGCATCTTCACTTGGATGGATGTTCTGGCCTACGTGATTATGGGAGGAATTTCCATAGCAATCAAACGAGACAAACGTGAATGAGACAAACTAGAGGAACAGGAATTATGGAATTAGGGACCGGAACTATTTGTCTTGGAGCTCCGTCATACTGTTCTTTGAGGGAAGATTCGTCTGCAGGGAGTAGACAAAGGTGGGAGATATCCAATTCCGTCCTCTTTCTGCCTGCGCCTTTGTATCGATCGTTGCTCCTTTCGTGTGGAAGCACACTCAGAGCTACAAACTTTTTACGTTTTTCAACATATGGAGAGTTCCGTGATATCTACCTGTTCCCTCCTTGAACGATGGCTCTTCGTAATTGCCCTTGGATATAAAAAGCACCCATCGCCCGCAATGCAGAGATCTATATCTTCCATAACGGTTATCAAATCAAGAGTAATACTCTGTCAGACTTCTCAAATCGAAATCCCACAACTGCATCAAGCTAAACATTTTTACCGTTCTCAGACTAAACGGTTATGTAGTTTTTCAAGACCAAGGCGGAGAAAGAGAAGGAGGAGGAGGAAGAAGAGGAGGAGCTCGAGAAAGCTGGAAAATGGCTCGAAGCCCAGCAGATGCGCTGGAACCACAATTGGACCGTATGCTGGCAAATTCGACTTATGATGAAGTAGATGGAGTTCGTCAAGCTGAATATCCGCCAACGGACCCTTGTCCAACGGGAAAGCGCTTTGCTTAGCCAGCTGAACCGGATGGGCAACGAGGAGCGACTCATGTCTCCTCGGGCGATGATCGAGAAGACCGAGAAGAAGCAGAAGATCGAAGGCGAGTTGGAGACAATCAACCGTGAATATTGGCAGTTCGAACGGGACGAATCCGAGAAGCCCAACGCGCTCTCCTAACCGAGGACATTGTACCGCGGCGTGCGAATGCTGCGAAGAGAGACGCGGGTTTCATGTAAATACCAACTATGGGAAAGATCCTAGTCAGCGTTTTGACACCCACGGCCCCATTAGAGAGTCGTACTACAAGTGGCTGATACAAGCATATCTCTTTGGGATTAACCCCTGGTGATTTGGTTAGTAAATTGCTGGGTGTTATATGAAATTATAGAGACAGGTGGCGTATACCTAGTGGGTTACAGAGTGGCAATTTGATTTATTTTGGGCATGTGGTTTGAATTTGCTGTAGTTAGGTTCTTTACTTTTCTAACGTAACAAACGGCATGATGATGCTTTATTGCGACATTGGTCGGTAGCTATAGCTACAAGTAGTAGTAAGTAGTAGGAGGAAGTGCTTGGGCCTTGGTTAGTTACCCCTGGATCGACAGCCGCGAATTCTCTGATTCCGGGGATCACGCCATCTGACCAGCAAGGGGCCATAAGGACATGACACGTAGACCGCCTTGTGCATCAATAAAAGCAGGATTATAACCAGGAAAAAGGGGACGGCGGTGAGTGATTTTTCAGTCGTATTTTTTCTCCGGCCCGTTGGACACTCCGGCAGAGGATGTGACATCACAGCGAATCCCCCGCAAAAAGAATTTGTCGGGGCAGGTGATGCACCGTCAGCCCCAACTGGCATCGAAATTTTCACGCTCTGAACCATTGAACCAAGGATGTCGTTCCCCGTGCAGACCGGTCCGGTCAATTGCAGCTCCTCCCCCACACAAAGGGCGGTGCCAATGGACCTAGACTGGTCCGCCACGGAGGAATTTTGCGTTCTTTTACCTAAGATTTACACCATTACCCCAGTTCTCGGCGCTGAGGGCCTATCAAAAATCACTCACCCTGTCAGACGAGTGATGCTCTGACAAACCGCCAAGGGCTTCACCAGATGAATCCCAATGACGAATCTCAAGCACGTTTGGTTGGGGCGGTCCTCTCCTTATTTAAGAAACGGTTACTGTCGGTCGCATCCAGAATAGCCTTTGGTATAAATATCAACAAAATCCTTCCAATTGACTACCATGGTGAATTGCCTTCATCACATACATCATTCCACTGCACATACTCAATCATGGCGTTCGAGAACTTACCAACGGAGCTGCGCATCCTCATCCTCAAGTCTCTCCCGGACCAACAAACATTAGACAATCTTATCCGTGCTTCTCCCTTATACCACGACACCTACTGCCTTGCCAAGAAGGGCATTCTCCATGAGCTAGTTCAACGGCAATATGGCCTAGTAGACCTCGAGGAGCCCCTGGCAGCTCTACAGTCCGAAGGCCTCCGTGCCGAGGCCTCCCAGCACAAGTCTCAAATAACCACGCTCCTAGACCGTCTTCGTTGCCATCGCGAATCGTCACTCCCCCCTTCCGCAGAGATCCGATCTATCCCGCAAAGCATGCGCCTGCTCCACCTCTCCCAGAAGCTGCGATACCTTGTGCGGGCCTATTGCGCGCGCGCCCCCTGTCCCCCGTGGGCCGATCCGGAGACCTGGCAGCAAAACCTTCCCCTGCGACCCTCGGCTAGCGAAAGAGCACGCATTCTGCGCGCTCTCTGCCGACTACAAACCTACTGCAACATCTTCGGGTCGCGCGAATGGACAGACCCCAGCACAGACGGCACGCTCGGTGCCGCCACGTCCCCGTCTTGCAAACAGACCTCGTCAACGTGGTACAGGAATTTCACGATCGACCAGATGTGGAGCCTGTTCTTCGGAGGGATGCCGACGTGGGAGGTGGAGGAGTTCGGGTCTGTCTGGGTGTTCATGCGCAACGAATACACCCACCTCTTCGACCAGATCACTCGGGAGTTTCCGCGGTCCGACCCTCGCTGGCGAGCGATGCGACCTGATTCACTGCCAGTGGACCCGTGGGAACTGTATCCGAGTCCAAATGGTAAAGCTTTCTCTTTTTTATCTTGCGTTCTGTTTTTTGTTCTGCGCTTCGTACGCTGCTGCTGTTGCTGCTGTTGCTGCTGTTGCTACTGTTGCTACTACTACTGCTCCTACCAGCTACCACACCACCCTCCCCAATTGCTCCTCCATTGCTCTCCATAACTTGACGCGCTAACTCCGTAAACAGCCGACAACGCTGATGACTGCAGTATCTACTGTAACCATCTGGTCTCGCTAGGCCCCGGTTTCCTCTACAAGGCGGTGCATCAGCCCTGCCGCGAGGAAAGCTGGCGTCTAGTGATCAGTAACTCCATCTCCTCGAAATCCTCCTTCCAGGATCTCGTGCAGGTCGTAACAAATTCTCACTCTCTGCCGATGGCGGACAATGAGGTCGGTGAAGACGGTCTTGATGCTGGTCCATCGAGACCCGGTTCCGTCGAACCCAGCCTGGGCTGGAAACAGCACTGGCAGGAAAAAGGCATTTTCCCGCGCGACGACATCTCGATGTCTTCTGCTTCGTCGTCATCGTCGTCGTCCTCGCCAGAACCCATAGCAGATGAACTATCTGTGCGGGACCTGGCGAATTTCCAGGGCTGGGAATGGGGATATGCGATTTGGGATTATCAGCCTATGCATCGTGGCGTTGAGGTTTATTGATTTGGCATGGGCATGCGTGCATGGAAAAAAAAGTTAGCGATTGCGGGATTTTCTTTGTTTATTTTGCATAATACCATTTATCATCTTTCCGGGCTGTTGCCCTGGGCATGGGGACCTTGTAGGCTGGATTGGGTGACCGATTGCATGGTCTAGTAAGTGAAGGATATAGTTGCAGGATAGGATACAGGTAAGGAAGCCTTGGTATGATACCTTCAATGCAAGGCTTGCAGATAGTTGAGCAATAGTGGAATTGAACACCGGATGTCCGATTTTATTGATATTTGTGTCGGCAAATAAATTCAGTAGTCATGTTGGAGTATTAATTCCCAGTATAGACATCAACAGAGGAAGGCCTTACCGAATTAAGCATGACTTTCCACGGAGACTCTCGGCGGTCAAGGTGGCTGATTAACGCGGATCAAGAAGCTAACCAATCACAGACAAGCTTTCTCAGTTTCCCGATCGGGTCAAAATGAAGCTATTCCTAGATTCTATACAAGATCTGGCTCTCTAAGAGCCAATAAGATGCCTCTTCACATGATTAAATGTCGACTCTCCAGGGCTTTCATGCCATCTTGAATCATGGTCAATGATCACCAACGGACCTACGCCCCCCAGCCTCAAGAAAGATCCTTTCCAAGAGCCCAGTCTCCTGAGAAACAGTATTATGATCCGTTCCCGGGACCACAGCCGTCTCAAAATCCACCGCATCATCAAACCCACCACTGTCGCTGTCGGTATAACTACTCCCATGACCCCTCCAGCACCCCTCTACATACCTTCTTCCTTTCTCCCCAATCATAGTATCACTCTCCGCAAAAAACCCTCTCACCACCAACCTCCCTCCCGCATGCCCTCTATTCCTCTCCCTCTCCACCACCTCCCTCACATAACGCTCATAATCCTCACAAACTCCCCACGACCCAGCGGGCCCCTTACAAAGACACTGCAACGCCTCGTCATTCGCCCCCTGTGTACTCTCCTCAAACATAAACCGCCACGTCAACGGCTCCAACTCCTTCTGCACCTCCTTCGACATGCCATGCTCGGATTCCAACCTATCCCGATTCCTCTCCACCTGTGCAGAACCACTACCACTCGGCGCGGTCCCACTCACCGAGGAGACTTTGTTCACGATCGTCCCGCTACTCTCTAGTACCGGGGTGGCGGTCAGGAGCAGGAACTTCGGGATCTGGTTCCAGATGCTGAAGACGCGGGTTGGTAGGAACTGGGCCATTTGCATGCTTGTGATGCGGCTGTGGGTTGGGTTTACCCAGGGGGCTATGTTTAGATTTCTCGTTAGTAAACGTATACCTCTAAGGAAATGTAATTCGGGATGGTCGGATCAATATATCCCAAGACCCCCCGGGGATCTCGGTAGACGCGCAAAACGGATCGGTACTTACCTAGAAACGCAACATACGGCCTCTCAGGGTGGAGAATCTCGCGGCAGTGGTACAGCGTGTTGAGGAGATATATCATGCCCGCGCTGTGCGATGCTAACGCGACGTGGGGAATGTTCAGATGCGCGAGGAGTCGGGGGACGAGGTCGATCCACACAGGAACTCGCCTTTCGAGCGGGACGGACGTTGAGGCACCCATTCCGAATCTTCAAACTATTGTTATTACATGCTCGGAATTTGATATCTAGATGAGATCTGGAAATGCAGTACAACCATTTCCCCGGGGAGGGAGGGAAAGGGGATTGAGGAGGAGAAATACCGATCAACAATTAGCACTCGCCCACCTAGACTTTCTGCGACCGCGTGCATCGATACAGCAAGATATCGCGATGCGAACATGCCAGGCATGAATAAGATCGTGGTGTCGGAGGGGACACCGATATCTGCGTAGCTTATGGTAAGATCGCCATATTTGAAAAGCCGGTGGAAATGAGACGCTGAGATGTATCGCAGGGCTTGCGAACGAGGGGATTCAAGATCGGAAGACATGTTACGGTGTTTGGAGAGCAAGATGGAAAGAATGGTGCTCGAGGTGAAGTGAGGGCAGAGTTACGAGGTCGCGGATAGCGTGAGCTGACTGATAATGAATACGAGCGTTGATTATAGGGTGCACAGCCACTGGGGCCATTCTATCCGGCAGCCTGGGACGGCTTTCTGGTGATAGGCAGCAAACCTCGTATTATTGTCGAAAGCGTAGAAAAAATATCTCAATGGATTATAAGCAGGGCTTGCCAGTTGTAATATCTTTTGAATGAATTAGGGGAAGGAAAAGAAGAGTAAATAAGCACTGGGGGTTGTATAAAACTTAACAAAAAAGCACTCGACATTAAATAAAAGTTTCCATAAAATGTAAATCATTGTTTACTCCGGCCATAATTAGATGCCAGAGTTTATTAACGGTGTATCGCATAGGCCGGCTACAGTATTGATGTTGCCAGGATTGTGAGAAGCCAAGGCCAACATAATCGTCAAGCCAATGCTCTCCAGCGAGTTGTTTACAGTTTAACCAATCTGTGCAATAAAGTAGAGCCCCTTCCTGAAACATAAAAAGATCCCTACATGGTGCTACGATAGAAAGAAAGTCCAGTTGAAATCTCATCGATTAAGTCATCATAATGGGTATATCACATCAAAGTAAAATACAGCATAGCCCAGTAATAATGGTATCGTACACTCATAACCTCATAAATCTAGTTGGAGATCTTGGACGGGACGTTGATTCTAAAATTGCCTATTAGCCCAGCTCAACCATGTCAGGATATACGAAGGTACTTACCCAGTAGCGCTCTCGAACTTGTGACGAGCGCCGTCGGTGATCTTCTCGTTGGTGGCACGAGTCTTGTGGTCTTGAGGGTTGATCTTGCCGTGGCCGTACTTGGTTTCGAGAGAGTCGAGACCTAGTTCATGCATATTAGTGGATTTGTTTGCGAACTGAGGATGGAAAGTTAAGTACCCTTGTCGACGTAGTCCTCCTTGGGACCACCGGCAGAGGAACCGTGGCTACCGTGGCTACCGTGGCTGCTGCCACCGGTGACCTTGGAAGTGAGTTCAGAGAGTTTGCCCATTTTGGATGAATTGAGAGGTGTGTGGAGTTTTGAGATAAAGTATGCAGTAGATTGTTTGATTGTATGCAAGTGGATTGATGAGTTGCAGATAAAGTGGGAGATGCAGGACAGTTAAATACCCTCCCCCTCGACCCCAGGAACCGGACCAAACGACAAGATGATGTAATTCAGGACAGGGCGAGGATTGCTATTTTGGAAAGGCCTTGCACTCCGTAAGGCGAATCGGTGGGGAGTTCCGGTGTTGAATAGGAAAGATCGTCGATATCGCTTGTCGATGCTAGTACACATTCCTCCCGATCCGGTATGGCAAGCGCCTCCGAACTGTGGGTGGCCAATTGTGACCGCAGGTGAAGTGGGACATGAGGTCACCGACATGATGTCATCCATCCGGGTGGAATTTGAGGGTCAGGGGTACAACCATGTGTTTGCTTAGGTTTGATGTAATATGCGTCATTCTCGATTGGTAGATATTGAAATTTGGGAATTCTTGAGTGTGCATGCACAAATGGTATGTGGCCTTGATTTCGTTTTTTATCCGCGATGTAATGGAATTCAATTGCGACTCCAGTCTTTTTCTTAAATCTGCGCCTGGTTTGAATTGAGGTTCACATGAAAATTGTTCGAAACAATATTTCTTCTCCTTTGGCTGTTGGATCCTGATAAAAAGTTTCCAAATATTCACGAGTATTACGTATGAATCCTTCATAGCTTGAGAGTAATTGGGCAAAAGAAATGAAACTGGGATCTACAATGCAAAGGAATGATCAGAATTGCAGATGTAGGCCAAGATGTCCCAGCACTGTCTGTGACCATGCATGCGCCCCAAGAAACTATTACATGGTCCCCGTCCGGGGTCAATAACTACCGGGATGATGCCCAAGGCAATCGTCTGCCCACCTGACCATGCAATGCCCTAACGACATCTATACCTCAACCACCCGAGCAATCCCTTTATTTAAAATGCTGCTCGAAGAAAGCAGCCAGTTGCTCGTACCTATTCATCGTTAGCCATCTTGGTCACTAAGCGTCGATATTGAGCATTGACTCACCCGCGTCGATACTCCTTCACACTCTCCTCTCCATCCAAGTCCGCTCTCGCTCCCATCCAGCCATGCCACATTTTCTCGTATGTCTCAACCAGTCCGCCTGTGCCATTTTGACCAATTATTTCAGTATATTGTTGCACAACATCGGCGGGCTCATCCTTGGATGCGAGCACAATGTGCGGGATTGTGATTTTCTCTGCGTCGGCCTTGTCCATGAGACTGTACCTCTAGTGTTAGTAAATAGGAGACAACATCAAGGGAAGCAGAGAGGGAAAGAGAGAGGGAGAGATGTATACCCAGGATGAACCTGTCCCGAAGCCACAAATGGAGTTCCTTCTCCGGACGACAGCGCCGTGACCTATGAAACATCCCCCATCAGCATCACCGCCGATATTATAGCGAGGAGAGAGAGAAATACCTTTCCGCCCCAACACAATCCAAAAATGCCCCACTTCTCAACTGCCGGAAAAGCCACCTTGTACTCTTCCAACGCGTTCTTCAAGACCCCTACATTGGGCTCAAACTGCGCATATTCCCGAAAGAACCCCATCATGGCCTTCGTTTTATCTTCCGTGTCCATGGGGTACCAATCATGCTGGGCACCTTTGCCTTTGAAGAAGTCCGGGACGAGAACGAGGGTGTTGAGCCGGGCTGCGAGAAGATCCGCGCCTTGGATGGTCTGCGGCGAGATGCCGAAAATGTCGTAGATGTCGATTATGGCGGTCGTAGAGCTGAGGTTGCCGGTTTTGTCTATTGTTTGATGAAATCCTTGTTAGAAACTTCGTTTCTCAATTAAATCTTTCTGAACATGCACAAGAGCAATTGAACGAATCGATAATTTAAAAAAAGGGAAAGTGGAGAAAGATCCAAATTGTGAACTTACAAGTATTCAATCCAGCAATGATGTTATACTCGCCCTTAGGCTCATAACCCTGGGAAATGACAGGCGGAATAGTGCGACAGGCTTCACAAGTCATGATTGCAGCGGATTGTTTCTGGCGTAGAGACTTACTTGTCAGCTTTAGTAGAATAGAGGGGAAGTGCAAATTTATATTATAGTCTATTCTAATACGGAGTAGACTACGGAGATAAATAGCCTAGACCGGCCGACGGCAACGGGATTTTTGCTGTGAAGGGGCCGTCTCTACAGTATCTCGTTGGCCGGTTCCGGGCGGAAACGGCATTGGAAGAACAGAGATATTATGCTGAAATCGACGCACAGATTGGGTTGAATTGTTTTCCCTTAGAGCCCCTCAAATTGGATAGATTCACATAGAGGTCGGTACGTGTTAGTTCCCTGGTCCACTAGCTTTACCATTAGACTAAAAAGGCACAATGAATGACCTGTCGGTCATTCAGCTAGTGTACTATTTAGGTCAGGTCCTTGACAGCACGAATACATATCCGCATTCGTATTCGTAGTCCAAAGACCTCCACGAATATTCGTACGAATATTGCCCCATTCCCAATACAAGCTACCACCCAATAAGAGAAGACGTATTACGTGCAGTTTGTTTATCCAGGTCGTGTCCGCATATGCTTTTATCTCAAGCCTCCGTCTTCGATGACGGTTCTGGGCCTCAACATGTCTAATGCTAAAATGCAGGCTTTAAACAATGATGCTTCCGGTAGCTCATCTATCGAACCGCCATTACGACTCCAACGGTCTCAGAGAATAGATTATCACCTCTTGAATGGCGGAAGTGATAAACACGATACTAAAGACCTTATTAGAAAGAAACTCAGGCTGAACCTGCCACTGGATCGCTTAGAATCAATTGGTCCAGAAGACTCCGCTAGTCAGCCGCATTTCAATCTACCTACTCCTTTAGAATCTGCTTCACCAGACAGTGTCACGGACTGTGACCAGCTTCCGAAGACCTTCCTTCGTGATACCCTATGACCTAACTACCCGATCGGGACTATTCTCGCGATTCCTTATCGCCTGCGTAGCCGTTCGTCACAAGAGTCAGATAAACTAGGAAAAGCAAAGAATGACTACGAATTCCGAAAGGCTTAACCTTTTGACGTACGTTGTGTTGTCGGACTCTCTCGGAAGGAAATACGGCACGGGGATCATTTGGATGAGTTTCGAAGACAGCCTCACGAGAGGGATAATGAGGTGGCCATATCACGCACAAAACGGGGATAATATGGCAGGACAGTGTGATGTAACACATAAAAAAAGCAGGAGGGCACAGCAAGGTAGTCATAGCATGAGATTGGACAGCTCAAATCATCAATCACTAGATCTATCCATGTGTTAAGGTTCCCGCGGCCCGGGTCAGGTCTTGGATACCCCTTGCTGCCTTTTTGTCGCCGAAATGACGGCCACGTACTTTGATAAAATTTTTATTCTGACTGCTTGATGTGGGATAGAACCATAAATTAACTATGATCACGGTAATAAACATTATCGAAGGGCCATTGTAGAGAATAATCCAGTATACAGACGCGCAAGCCAGATCTTACAGAGCCTTGTGGGACTGCTTCTGCAACGGAAGCACGGACGAAAAGGTCAAACGAGTTTTAATTGTATATAGTAATGACGTCCGCAAAGTTGTGTCGCCGCGGAGATTACCGGAGACTTACCCTAAGGATGGGTGAAAGCCCCTCTGCCAATAAAAAAGATGTAATAATTTATCAGCAAACTACCGAACTACAAAAGAGAACTGGAACCCCAGAGTAGATACGCATGATTGTTGAATCTAGAGGGAGCTTCTATACCTAAGCCATTGCGCTATATGATGCGTAATAAAGGGAGATTAGGCATGTTGCCTAGCATAGTAATTTTTTAACTGGATGATATAACTAAAATTTCTAATCCACCTTAACACTCAATTGGTAATATGATAATTATTTAGCGAATAGGATGCCGTTTGCATTGTATACGTTACTTTCCTGGCGTACAGTATCTAGGGTTTCAATCATCCAGTGGCAGAGCCATTCAAACAATAGAACCAGCATGATTGCAATTTGAGTAGTGGTATCCAGTGAATATCAGAGTACGAAGACAGTGAACATAGTTTCGGTAGCTGATACAACAAACTCTATATCTATGACCAGACAAGTCTACGGTATACGCAAGAACTAGGCTTACAGTAGTACATCAAATTCGCCACAACATAGCATGGCTATAAAACTATGATTCTCCTCATGGTAACATATTTCTGCGGTAGATGGTTGAGCATCTCCCATCGGTAGGTATCGGTTGACTAGATACAATGTGCTTCGAACCTCTACTCCAGAGACGAGGAGCATGGATAGTTCTTGATATACATCCATGTTAGCATAGCATAATACTTCTTAGGGCAGGGCAATGGAGAAATAACATACACAGCAAGTCGAGCCGTAAATCCCACGACCACATTGATATGGATAGCTATCCTTAGTTAGCCCTTTTATGTTTTATTCAAAAAGCGGTAGTGATGCTTACCTAGGAGGACAAACATAACCCTTCACTGGCTGTTGACATAATGAGTATTAGTTGCATGGATCGGGACAGGAGATAAATACACACCCCGCATTTTTTCTATGAATAGTCAGTGCTATGATAGACGCAGAAAGGAATGATCACTCCGGACATACTTCAATATTTTCGGTCATGATTTGAATATGAATTGGTCCTCCATCAAATTCCACAGGGACAGCGTATGCCACGGCGGCTAGGGCAAGAAGAGCGCTGAAGAGCTGCATGGCGGTAACTATGCGGAGTAAGACAAGAATAGACTTGGTTTTGTGGTATAGCCTTTTGATTTTGACTTCCAGTATGTTTCGATCTAACCATGAAGAGGTAAAAGTGGATGACTTTATACTTCAGCCATTAGATTTCAAGGGCAGGTCTATGATAAACCTAACGTCATCAATAGTCATCGTGACAGGACTTATGTGACGTACTTGTCTCTGATAAAGTGGGATCTGACACTGCATATACGAGAGGCATGATCGACCGGGAACAAATGCACTCGGGCCGTTTGGAATAGATTGTGATTGGGTCGTGCATAATCAGTAGCCTGTAATCCTACTCTAATGACACTTCTATGTCTCTACTCTTGGTCATGCCAGTGTGACAAATTATGCATTGAGTAAGGATTCTGACTCAATCTCCCTGGAGAACTGTGTGTCTGATTGACCAAGGAGCGTAGGGATCAGTTATCTGGGCCATATATGTGCCTACTTCGATGTCAGGAAGCTAGAAGCCCGAAGACAGGAGATCGTCGAGGGCGATAAGTTCAGCTCAGGTCGATTGTCTAAACACAGAAATTTACCGAAGCTTTACGACGTCCACATCCTCCATGCTACCAATTAACCTGAAAGGCATACAAAGATAGGGTTAAAGAGGAATGTTCAATCTTCTAAATAATGTTGGCGGCGTTCGTAGCCAAACCGTCACTGGAGCAATATTTGTCAAAAGTTAATCAGGACAATAAGCGGCGAAGCCTAGAGGCTCGTGCTCTACCAAAGCTGCAACCACAAGTGATTCAACGGTCAGATATTGATCGCTACTTTGAGGAAGGTGTAGTAACAATTGATTAATCTGTAACACAGGATGAGGGTTGGTTATTTGCCTGGTGGAGGACGCACAAGGATGAGTACCCGCGGATGACAGCCGCAGCCAGAGATTATCTTGCCATCCTGGCGGCTGAAGTCGCGGTAGAGTGATTTTTTAGCCGTGGTAGGGATCTGTTAGGGGTACGTAGTCATTCTCTGAAGGGTAAGACGATGCCGAAGGTGATGTTGTTGAGAGATATATATAGTCTGGAGAACACTAAGTGAAAACTTGTAGAGCATCTTGCAGGCATTGCCCAACAAGCTGCAGCTCTGTGGCAACCACGCCTCATGCGATTCGAAAGCCCTAAAATCCCATTCGGACTCGATATCGATATCACCGGCCGGAGATCCAGAAAAAGCAGCGGACACAAACACGAACACGAACACGGACTTAACCATCGACAAATCTGATAACAAAGATGACCGCCCATATTGTGTCTTTTCAGAAAGGACCAAAAACCTGACGATGTTGGGTGCCTCCTTCGCGGGCCTGGTCTCCCCAATGCCAACGAGCATCTACTATCCCGCTCTGCCAGCCCTAGCGGAGGATATGCACGTATTGAATACGTTGATCAACTTGACAGTCATGACATATCTGGTTCGATCCCTTGCCAATTCCATGCAGGTATCAAAGGCTAATCTAGTTAAACTAGATATTCCAAGGCATCGCACCCTCCTTCACCGGCTCCCTCTCCGACGCCTATGGTCGTCGTCCAGCATACATTATCTGCTTCACGATCTACGTCGGCGCAAATATCGGACTAGCGTTACAGAATAACTACGCGGCACTGATGGTGCTCCGATGTCTCCAGGCCTGTGGTAGTAGCGGGATTCTGCTACTTGCCCTTCGGCATTGGGAGTCTCACTTCAAGATGGACGGTCGGATTTGCTTTGGATTGGAACTTCAAGCGCGAGGCTAAGATGCAGGGACTGGAAATCGTGAAGAACAAGCAGCAAGACATTCGCGAGTTTGATATCGAAGCTGCAAGGCTAAAGGTGACACTTCCGCTGGTTTACGCTGCTTGTCTGTGTATTATCGGATACGGCTGGGTTATGGACTATCAAACCGCACTCGCTGGGCCGCTGGTGATGTTGATTTTCACTTGCCATTTGACGACGGGCGCGTTCACGACGCTCAGCACCCTGGTGGTGGATGTGCATCGACATGGGGCTGCAACAGCTGTTGCGGCAAATAACCTCGTGCGGTGTCTACTAGGTGCAGGCGCTGCAGCAGTTGGAACGCCGGAGATTGATCGCATTGGAATCGGATGGACGGCAACCCTTGTTGCTGGCATATGGGCTGTTTTTAGCCCGTTGCTGGTGATAATGTCTCGCTGGGGGCATGAATGGAGAGAGGAGATGAGAGTCAAAGGCGAGGCGGAAATGGACGTAAGGGGGGTGAACATTGGAGGACAAGAGTGGGGGTTGAATCTGCATCGAGCGAGCGATAAACTGGTCCTATTGGATTTTAAAAGCATGGTTATCTTCAGCGGATTGTCGATCTTGAGCCAGCACCAAATCTAAGCCCATGATTTGCTCCACCTCCGCTTTTGCCATAACCGATCTGCAATCGCGAGTCATGTGGTATTTGATTGGAATGATTGCCCTCATTGACGAAGAAGAGGGACTTTCTTTTTAGAATTTCGATTTTAGAGTCGGGCCCCCAATTCGAGACAGCTTTTATGACACACGCCAACATGGCACTCACTACCAAGGATGATAATTATAGGGCAAATTCCGAAAAGAAAGATGATCAGCACACCGATCGAAACTCGAGAAGCATCATGCAAGGCGAGATCTGCACACCAGAGGAAGAAAAGCGCGTTCTGCGCAAGATAGACATGGTCATTTTACCAATGGTGAGCATCACTAAGAGCATGCAATATGTCCCATGACTAACAGGCTTAGCTATGCTGTGTATTCTTCTTCCAATGTAGGCTCTGCTATGTGACCTTGTCGACTTACCGGCTGACGACTCAGACCTGGACAAACAGAGCCTCAGCTATGCTGCGGTGTTTGGCCTAATCACCGATCTTGACCTCGAAGGCAGCCAATATTCCTGGTGCTCTTCGATATTCTACTTCGGTCGGTCAATGTGAAAGCATCCCTATTGACCCCCAGCTTAATAGAAACTAGGTCAGCTCGTTGCTGAATACCCTTTCATCTATCTCATGAGCCGTCTTCCGTTGACAAAATTTGTTGGCGCAACGATGTATGGTTTAATTTACTATTATTGCCGATTAGGGGACCATGCTGATAGCCATAGAATTGTTTGGGGCGCGATTTGTATGTGCCTCGCCGCCCCAAAATCTTTTCCTGGCTTCGCAGCAGTTCGTTTTCTCCTCGGGTTCGCCGAAGGAGCAGTCTCCCCTGCGTTTGTAACCATCACTAGTATCTGGTATCAGAAGAAGGACCATGCAATGAGAATAGGGCACGATCTACCACTCTAATATTAATAAGTAAGCTATTGCGCTAACGTTATATAGCCTGTGGATAACAATGAACGGCCTCGCCCAAGTGATCGGCGCATTGCTGATGTACGGGATCGGTAAGAACACACAGTTGGGCCTGGCCCCGTGGCGTGTCCTATTCCTTGTCTGTGGCGCGTTGACGACCTTCTCGGGGATCTTATTTACTGTCTTGATGCCAAACGGCCCGCAAGATGCGTGGTTTCTGAATGCAAGAGAAAAGGAAGTTCTGAGAATGCGCATGGCAGCCGATAACGAAGGCGGAGACGCTAGACGGTTCTCAGGTCCTCAATTTAAGGAGGCAATGTTGGATGTGAAATCGTGGTTAGTGTTTGGCTTTGGACTGCTAGTTACAATGCAGAGTCCAGTCCTGACGGTATGGCTTCATTATGCTCTTTGGGCAGACTATTCTGGCTCCAGCGGATCACAGTTCACTAACTACCAAACGGTATAATAGTTTGCATCCCTCGTGATAAACAACATTGGTTACGATAAATACGATACTCTGCTTCATACAGCGCCGTCTGGGGCTGTTCAGATTGCTTTTATATGGATAGCAGTGATAGCATGCCTGATTTTCCCTGACAGGCGATCGCTCATCGTGATGTTGTTGATCATCCCCCCTTTAATAGGCAATATACTATTGTTGAAGCTATCGCTCTCAGCGCAATGGGGTCTAATTGTGGCCTCGTGGCTGGTATGCATCCCCTCTTCTAATTCTATCCATCAAAGTACACTAACCAGAACGAAATAGGCTTCGTGTATATCAGACGTTATGGCTATTCTCCTCAGTCTAAGCGCTTCGAATGTGAAAGGGAATACAAAGCGGGCTGTCGTTAACAGTCTGTTCTTCATCGGGTACTGCGTTGGATGTATCGCGGCGCCGCAGCTTTGGACAAAGAGACCGCGGTATTTCGAGGGAGTTGTGACTGCGATTGTGACATGGTGTTTATTATTTGTTGTCGTGGGCATCTATTGGGCCATTTGCGCTAAGGAGAATAAATTCAGAGATGAGAAGGAGAGACGTGGCGAGGTCGATGCAGGTGAGGCCGAAGCCGAGGACGGAGACGTTACTGATACGCAGGATAGAGGATTTAGATATAGTCTCTAAGGACCGTACAGCTTTATCAAGAAACAGAAATGACAAACACTGATGCTAAGAAACACATGGACCGACGTACAAGCCAGGGAATGTTTTGACTCAAAACAGGATTTCCATCGAGTGCTTCTTGTCCTTGAGACCTAAAGGAGCCATCAGATTGGCATTGCCCGCGGCATCGTCACTTGTATACTCCCTAAGGCCCAAGGAACCTCGTTTCAGGCTCGGTACCATCCCATTGATCACATCGTTGCTGAAATTGTCGATCCGCAACACATCTTCCATGCGCATCATTTGTCTAGCGCGAATGGCATTAAGGGTTTGGTGCTCCTCCGGCGAGAGCGACTTCTCGAGTACATCAATGCTCTTATCTTGGCTGATAAGTTCACGCAGCTTCTGCAAAAGCGAGATTTGTTCCTGAGTCGGCGCCATCTGAAAAGCGTGGGCGCAGAAGTCGATCGTATGTGCGATCTCAGCCTGAGTAAGCTTACTGTTGTTGTCTTTGACAGTGCCATGGATGACTATAATTTGTCCAAGGATGTAGTTAGTCAAAGATAAAAGGTGTGATGGTATGTGGAAGAGTACAAAATGGAACGTACCAGGCCTAAATAAAGCAAACGCTCGATCAAAACTCTTCTCGTCCCAGTCATGAATAACCGGTTCCTCGCGATTCTCAATCTGCTTGAGAACAACCATCACGACCAACAGAAATCGAGTGTATGCCTCAGAAACCTTGTCTGTGTGCCATTTGACTGAAGCATCTTCGTCACAGTCACCTCGCATAGATGCGCAAATAGTGACTGCCGCCGAGAGACCGCCTAGCATAGCCAAATGCACCCCTGACGAGAAGAAAGGGTCGATAAAGCAACCTGCATCGCCGGCAATTCGCAGATATGGGCTGGCGTATGCCGACGCGCTGTAGGACCAGTCCGAGGCGGACTTAACTTCTGAAATAAGACGTGCATTGGCGACTAGTGAACTGGTTGTAGGTGCTTCTTGAATGATCTTAGTGTATAGATCGGTGCTGTAGAGCAATCCTGTCTGCCTTTTGCGCTCAGCGTAACTGGCTTGGTTCATTACAACGCCGACCGAGGTGGTCCCATTGTGCAGAGGAATGGTCCAGATCCATCCACTACCGTCTTTTCAGGAGACCAAAACAAGTTGATCGGCGATCGTCAGCCATTGAAAGACAAAGCAAGAAACCCAACTATTCATGCATACCTGAAATTGCCTCGAAGAGAGGGTCTCCTTCCCCCTTGGTTCCCTCGCCATAGATGCTAGCTCCTTCCCAGTAGCCCCAGACTGCTTGGTTTTTCAGTCCTTGGTTGAAGTGTCGGTTCTTCATGTATTTGGTGCTTATAATACCAGCACGCCCGCTTGCGTCGAGGAGGTATTTGAACCGGATGTTTTCACTGCTGCCATCGTTTCTCGACCACGAGGCCGACACTGGCTTGCCTAACGGGCTGGACGCGTGCGGAACAAATTCAATGTCTTTCACCCTGACACCATCGAAGACGGTCGCGCCGCTCTCTCGAGCATGCTCGAAGAGAAGCTGATCTGCCTCGGAGCGGATGATGTTCCATGAGTGCCCGTCAGGACCTGCGGGTGCGAGGAAGTCGGTATCTAGATGATCGCCATGTTAGATATTTTATCTAATATTAAATCGCCTGGCTGAAGAGAAAGACGAAGGAGAAAGCAAAATTACATGTTGCGGGTTTAGAGTTCAACTTGAAAGTGGCGCCGTTCTATAAGATGTGTTAGACCCAATGTGATCCAAATATGTCAAGTACCCACCTTGACACGAAACCCATGATTACGGAACTTTTCGTCAAGGTCGACAAATCGCAAAAAATGGCGCATCGAAGGAAGCATGCTCTCTCCGATATGATAACGAGGAAATGTGTCAGCCTCCAGCATGACGGTGTGAATACCCTCACGTGCAAGTACGGATGAGGCGTATGACCCTGCAGGCCCTCCACCGACAACGAGTACGGTGCATTCTTCCGGAATAGCCATTTTTGTTGGCGGAGGATGATTGTGGTTTGGCTTGAAGACTAGATGGCGGACTCTTCGGTCGGTGCAGATTGCAAGGATCAAATAGAAAATGGGATGTAGTAATCGATTAACAACTCCCCACAGGGCGTGCAGTCCCTATTATTCATCGGAACATTTATAGGCGGCATAATCCGGGATTAGAGATTACGGAATAATAAATGGAAAGCTCAGCCAGACGAGGCTGACCTATAGTGTGTTCTAGACTTGGTAGGGAATTCTTCCCGAACACGATCGAGTTTTTAATATCTAGAACCAAGACTATTGGCGAAGTCGCGTATAGATGGCGATCTAACTGGTGGGACTCTGATGCCGAGCCTGCATGCGCATGACATAGACTCAAAACAACTCCTTTGAAAACCGGGGCTGGCAAATGAAGATGCGTTCTGACGTCGCACATATGCATAGTGAGAAGTAGTGCTTACCTTACCCAGCACCTCCCAGCTCTAGGGTCATGTTGATTGGGTTCAAGAACGATGGTGGTATGTCCAGCCTAGTTCAGGCAACCCAGCAAGGTGGGAAAGAGAGGAGGGTGCCATAATGCTCAGGGTCTGATTATTCTTACTGGTGTCATTTTGCAAAAGAATCTATCTGAAGTACTATTTCAAGGAACATGAAGCCCTCGGGGTGTGATCGGTGTAACCTTTCAAGCTCTACGAACGGTCCAATGCGCCATTACGTCAATGTAGATCGGACAAGCGTTTTTAAAGGAGGAATTTGAAACCTCCCGTCATAAAGAAAAGATGACATGTCAACTTTCTAAGGGGAGATAATGGATTCATCAACGGCAGCAGATAGAAGATTGATCTTGTTTGGTGATCAAACTAGAAACTTCGCACCTCGGTTGAGAGAGCTTCTGCAAGGTGCCACACGAAGCAACGCTCAGGTACGCTTCCTTGAGGAGACAAGTCGGTCATTAAAGCTTCAGGTCCGTCAATTACCCTCAGTTGAGCAAGACGGTCTATCTCTAAGCTTTAATACTATCCATGATTTGCTGCGAGAATACAACGAACGGGATGAACGGCACCATCCTGCCGTCTATAGCGCCTTGCTATATATCACTCAACTACTACATGTATTTTAGTAAGCTCTAAAAAATAGTTCACTCTTGTTTTCTGCGCTAACGATAGGAATCTCTGCGAAATCGGTTATTTTGAAGGAAGCGGCTGCCCTTCCATCGATGAAAACACCCACGTGGTAGGCCTTTGTACGGGCTCTATAGCCGCGGCTGTTTTCTCTTGCTGCTCAGGTCTTGATCAATTTATGCAGCTAGCAGTCCCGGGTATCTCTATCGCATTTCAGATCGGTGTGTATGTGGCTAGGTCTGGTCAGCTATCTTCCATTCCTTGAAATAAGATGCCGAGTTGGTCGATTTCATTGCTCAATACAACAATGTCTGTGATATCGCCTATCATGGAAAATTATAACAAAGAGCCAAATCTCTGCAAGAATCAAATGTGTTGGCCGGGCGTTGTTGGTCCTCGAGCTGTCACGGTTAGCGGACCACCTACAGATTTGAAACAATTCACTCAGTATCTATCCAGACAGGGTACTGAGAAAATTGTAAAACGGCTTCCAATTTTTGGGCCCTGTCATTTTCCTTATATGAAGTTGGACTGGAATTTCGCGCAATTTTTGCGTGGATGCAGTGTTAGCTCTAACCAGCTAGCGGATTTTCCAGTGTTGAGAAATGTGATATATGACAGCGGGTGGTCTGTCAAGGCGGATAATGCCCTTGACCTCCTCGATGAAACCGTCAAGAGCAGCATGTACAGCCCAATTCGGCTAAATATGTTCGTTGAGAAGTTCGCGTCCTGTAATCTGGCCAACAATACTTCATCTCTCACCATCACTGTCGTGTGTCCTTCCACTGGGGTGGAGGGCATTGAGGAGGCGTTCAGATCACGAACAAAAGCTGTTATCTATATTAATAAGCTGCATGATCTGGTGGGGAAGTGGGATCCATCTCCAGGATTTGTGGATGCCCCATTGGCTATTGTGGGTATGGGCTGTCGATTTCCCGGGGCAGACACGCCAGATCAACTTTGGGGCTGCTGGAAACAGGTCGGGATATGCATGAAACGGTAGTCAACCCAAGTCGCATGATTTTTATGTCGTTTTTCAATGTAAATGCGAGAGTTGGCCAACTTCTGCAGGTCCCTAAAAGTCGATTTGATATTGACAAACACCGACGGCCGACGCTAAGGAGAAAAAATACTTCAACACCCTATGGGTGTTTCATCGACCAACCAGGGCAATTTGACCCTCGATTCTTTAACATGTTTCCAAGTGAAGCTGCCTAGACAGATCCGATGCAACGGCTTGCTTTGATGACTGCATACGAGGCACTCGAGATGTCAGGCTTTGTGCCGAATCGGGGTCCTTCAACGGCCCTTGACCGCATGGGATCCTTTTATGGCCAAGCTAGTGATGACTATCGAGACACCAATGCAGCACAGAATATAGGGACATACTTCATTACAGAAAGGGAGTTTTTACTCATCTGATCGTTTTTGACCACTGGAGTGCCCCGGCGCCGGGTCTCCTCTATATAAACTCAAGCCACGGGGGTCATATATTTGGCACATTACCGGAGAGTACTAACAACTTTCATCGTAACCCTGACTGAGAACTATCCAACGGATCAATAAACTGCCCTGTGCAAGCGGCATCCACGCACTGCGCCAGGCTACCGAAATGAACGCCCCGATTGACCATTCCAGGCGCGTAATGGGCATATTTACCCGAGTTTGTTATGATGTTCCTGGCCGATTTCGGTACAACGGGCTCCCCGAGCATGCACCAGCATGTATCTGTGATGATTGTCGCGCCGAATTCTTTTAAAATGGTAATGATCCCGGCTGCGGAAGCTTGCTCATATGTGCTACGACTGGTGGTGATGATGAATTCGATAGATGGCAATTTCTTCCGTGACTTGCAAAGGTGGGATACGCGCTCGAATTCTTCGATAGCGAAATGAGGGTTTCCGAGAGAGACGAGGCCGACAGATGGGTCGGTGGCGGAGTTCAGGGCTCGTCGACATTCTTGGATCTCGGAGGCTGTGATTTCAAATTGGGGCAGATCAGACTCGAGGCTAGCGAATTGTCCAGATTCAGGAGTCACTCCCTTCATATGAAAGATTGCCGCAGAGGAAGTAGTGGCGAAGGCAGCGCTGAAGGCTTTGAGATCTATTCGATGCGGGGATAGGTGTTCAACTCCACAAACTAGAGGAATGCGATGTTGGGCAATCTTCCCGATCAAGTACCCCAGGACTGGATAGAAAGAATCATCGATCGCGCCTATGTCCGTATGTACTTGAACCAAAATGCTCGGACGACGCCCTTCGGTCGTATGACACCCGGCTGAAGGAGCTCGCCCGGTCAAAGCGATGCACACGTCAATGAAATCGGGATATTTCTGCGTGTGGGCCCCAAGAACGCTATTTGCAAAGACGACCGCATTTGATTCTGCCCAGCCAATATTTTCGCCTTCTTTCGGTGCATTGTCCAGAGTGTACGGCGCACATGTAAAACTGGGCTGTGCGCCCATGGAAAGATACACGTTGGCAAGTGTGCCGGCCTGACATGCTAGCTCAGGATCTATCCCGAGCTCCTTCCATCGGCGCTGGTCAATCGATATAGAATTCAACGTCGTCGGAACCACGAACTGAGCACCTAGGTTTTGAAAGGTCTGTGCGAATGTAAGGCTAGCTGGGCCGGTGTAGATGCAAGCGTCGATGTGAGCGCGCGAGACATCAATAAGACGGGTCGCACCTTGAATGACGGCAAATTGAAGGATTATACTGAGGGCCTTTTTCGCCGCCGCACCACCTTTTCCAGCAAGGACATTTTTGGCCGACTCAGAGAGGTCAACCTGGTTACCTATAGAATAGAGCTGCAATGCTGGAGTTGACAAAGGCACGTCACTAAGCTGAACCCGCCCCGTATCGATCGCTGCGAATTGCCAGTCACGTAGAGCATGAAAACCAGCAGATGAAAGTACCACGACAGGGATCGAGCGTTCAAAGAGAGCTTTCCCCACTAACACACCTAGTGTTAATATTTCCTCCGCCTGCTCGAATATCAAACCCGCCGGAGAACACTGGTTGAGCAGGAGCTCGAGCATCACAGTGCTGCCAGTACAGGATCCGCGACCACAGGGGATAACAAGGATCCGACCAGCTATGCATTCACCTCGCAAGGGATGGTGGTGATCCACAACGTCGCCCGTCTCGGGATTTACTCCGCCCCAGAAACTGAGGCTGGTCGAACTGTATAGTAGTTCGGCAGATGCTGATCCGTTGATCAAACATCGGCCTTGGAATGTGGTAACTGGTCTGGTGCGATTGGATGCCATACTAGCTGTAGTATTGAGCATCCAGTTATGTTGTAACGGTTGCGCTTGCGACAGCGCCTTAAATGACAGCTTTATCTCGGGAGGAGATACCGAAGCCCCGCACTCTATTGCCGGCTTATACTTAAATCTAAGGAGAGACTCGGGTTCCTCTTGCGCTTCCCCATAAGAGCTTGCTAGAAGTGCACGATTGTCTCTCGGTCCAGAAGAACAGTTGCATGGTCCCCAGGCGATGTGGATGCAAATTCTTGAATCGAGTAGCTTGCATGAGGGGTGGATTGGTTCAAGAGCGCCAATTATTCGGAGATATTCTCGGGGATATCTGAGCCAGGCAACAGCTGCCTAGTCGGCCCGACTAGATTGCTTGATCGCTGTTGATTTGAGACATATTCCCATATTCTACCCTCACTAGATTCGGCCCCCATGGCATGTTTGTATTCAATCTCGGTATCCGGTCTCTGAAAAGGCGAGGATTGACAAATGAGTCAGACGTGGTGGAGAGGAAGGAGTCGAGCGACGGACGATGATTGCCCGAGACGCTGTCCGAAGTGTTTGTCGTGTTTGTTCTGGAGGGTCCGCCAAACAGTGCAAACCGGCCAAACCCCTCCGGCTTCACCATTGAGAAACGCGTTGGAATCTGGTCAATTGTCTAGGTCCATCCCAGTTCTTCATTCTTCCTCATAATCCTGTGTAACTTCCCGAATTCTCTCCCATCGGCACCATGGCCACCTCGATTGTGAATCTCGACAAGTTCGCCAACTTCGATGTCATTCAGACCACATATAAGAAAGTCCATGACCATGAGATCCGAGCGGACTTTGTGATCCCCAAATTCAAGTCCACTGGAAAGCGACCGGTGATTGTCCGCTTCCACAGTGGTGGCTTGGTATGCGGGGATTCCCTCATGAAAGAATGGTTCCCCACGTGGCTACTGGAGCTGGCGGCGAAGCACAACGCGGTCATTGCTACCGCTAACCACCGACTGTTGCCAGAGTCCAGCTCCACGGAGATATGCGAGGATGTTGAGGAATACTGGACTTGGTTGCACTCGTCGACCGTGGCGGACCTGCTGTCTTCTTCCGTGAACCCGACAGAGCTTGATTTCACCCGAGTCCTCAGTACCGGTGAATCCGCCGGCGGTCTGCTGAGCATCAATCTTGCACTGTCGCATCCCGACGAATTCCGAGCCGCTATGGGCAGTTATCCTGCACTCGACATGGCGTCAGCACATTTTGGTGGACCGAGCCCGCCGCCGCTAGAGCCGCCTCTTCCGGCGACGTTGGTGCGTGATCATGAAAGCAAGATTCAACCGGGGGATGTCGTTTCGACTGGATTTTCACTTGAGCGTTTCCAGTTGATGATGGCTGCCATCCACTTTGGAGATCTCAAACGAATTTACGAGCGCGGGACGGAGGGCCAGCCACGGGGCCGCTTCTATCCCCTTGAAAAGCTAGATGAGCCAGATGTCAAGCTTCCCCGGGGTGGTATCACGATCATGCATGGGAGACAGGATACAATTGTTCCTGTAGACGGCGTGGAGAGGTTTGTGCAAAAGGCTCGCGAGGTGGCTCGGGGGCAGCAGGCAGAGGGTAAGATCGCTTTGACAGTGCGAGATGGAATCCATGGCTTCGATATTGAGACCCCCTTAGAAGAGCAGTGGCTGAGCGATCATGTGGCCGTACCTGTTAAGGCTTGGTTAGAGTGATAGGATTGTAATATACCCGATGGCAGATTTGTATATATTGAGAGAGAGAGAGAGAGATTGTTTAGACATACCCTTGCAATCAATATTTCTTGCAATCCTGCGCACAATTCCGAGTATTTGGACAAAGCGTCGTGATGCCGTAGTGAGGGAACTTTGCACGTGGGACGGTGATTGTCTCGGTACTTCTCTTGCCCGAAACACTCCCGGGGGTTCCTCCCTTCTCTCATCATGGCATCAAGTCACTCCCTTGAATCATTTCATCGGGACCCATTCGATCTACACCTAAAAACCGTCACTATAAATAAGGTGGCAAAAACGTGGTTTTTGCTCCTCGTGGCGTCGTGGCATCCACGGTCGATCAGGGAGTTCCTGGTTCCTGAACAACCATCAAAGTCCATCTTATCTTGAGATCAGATACATTTTCGCCATTTCCCACGGTCTATCCCAATTCCTCTCGCTCCTCTGGGCTGCTCTTTTTCCAACAAGTGGCATCTGACAAAAGTTGAAGCCCAGTCAACAGGATATCTGACTAGGTAATGCGACGGGAATCCTCAGTGGCAATAGGCAATACGGAGTACGTCTGTCACGCGATGTTATGGTTCCAAACCACGCCATTCGATCGAATCAAACCATATCCGGGGTAGTTCAACTCGGTTGGAATCGCAAATCGGCATTTCGACGTAGGAAAAGACGAATGTGGTAAGTCGGACTTCAGATCACCTGAACGGATGATATCAGTTGCCACCGAGACCTGCGTCTAGAACTTTCTCGCGCGGATGAACATCATCTGGATGCTCCAATTATATTTTGCGTTGCCAAGTCATCTGAGGAATGCTGCAATCGATTATTCGATGAGGGTGATATTTCCTCCCGCTCCCTCCGCCCGCTAAGACTCGGGAGTTCCACCAGCTCTATCCCGACGACAACTCCGCCCCCTTGTTATGCCGACTTGCATCTGGACAAGATTTGTATCAAAGGATATTCGTAACCCGACAGGATGTATGCACACAGAACATCTGAACTGGCGTCGATAGGCATTAGGAACATGGCGCCTCAATTAGTTCGCTCGATGCCCATTCAGCAGACAGAAAACCTGTCCACAGGTCAAAGATGACAGGTCGAATTGTCTGAACGGCCATAGCAGTGAGAATAGGATCTAGGGCCACATGAGATGGCTACCGGAGATCAGACAACATTTATCAAGCAGGCCCACGCAACGGCCATGGCCGCTTTCCGCCTGCCCGAGAAAAAATTTTGCCGTGCGTCGGCACCTTTAGTTATCGCGGATTACTCTGTTACATTACTTTACCAGGCCTTCAGAGATAGAACTCCCCACCTCGGAGACTAGTGATCTTCAATAATATGAAAGACGGGTTGGCATTTTCTCCCAACGAGCGCTCACTGGCCGAACCGACTCCCTGCTTTGATCTCTGGTGGCGACGGAGACGTCCGCCCCAATCAGAATTAGTTACTAATATTCAGCCTAATCCGGGAAAGGATAACTAGGGCTTGTGCCACCGGATGTTCCTTCCAGGCAATTAAACAACGTCCTGTCGTTTGCCTTTGCCCTGGAGAATGTGGCAGCCCAGGCCCAGTTTCACCCTGGCCGGAGCTAAGCCGCGGTCCCTGGAATTTTTCTCCCAGGAACAGCTTCTTTAAATCAAAGAGGACGAGAGAAGACGAAGAAAGGTCGAGTCGGAGGGCATAACTGCCCGATAGTAACAAGTCAGCCTCCCAGGATGTTTCGCAAAAGGTATTCGCGCCAGTTGTCACTTATCCCCTCTCCGAGACCCCCGGAGTCGCCTGCTAACTTTGGTTTTGGCTTCCACCATCAAAAGGAGCGGGCAGAAGCCAGATGAACTCTTGATCAGTGACTTCCAAAACAAATTCGGTCATGTTACCACCGCTTCGTGTATCCCTGAGACGGGGATTCAGCCCGACCAGACCGCTGCTTCCAGTGCCAGCGGGCAGGCCCTGCCGACTTTCGATTCCAGCCCAGCGTTATTCATACCGAACCCTGCCTTCGCGTCCTCCCCGTTGAGTCGGCAGAACTGTTCTTGCACCCTGTTCAAGAGTCGTATGTGTGCGGTACTCCATAGCCCTGCGGGAGATTTGCATACTCCGATGCGTGAGTGTGATTCTGTCCCCGCGACACTATCGCCTTGGGGGCGGATGCTTGGTGGGCAGCATGCCGACCCCCATGCACACGGTGCAGGTGCATACCAGAACGAATATTTTCACCGCCCCGTGTTTTCTTGGCGAAATTCCAATCCATTCTTTCAACAACCCTCTTTTTCACCCAGATCATTCATGCTACAGGACCCCAATGCCGGTCTCGGCCCTCTGGAGCCCGTCCCGAAGACGAGCGTTGCACATTCCGACACCTCGGCACCGTATTACTCTCCACTCCACTTCTTATCCCGCGAGGTAGATTCTAATGATCACCTTCTTAGTTATACCCAGTCGTCATCGTTTCGATACCAGGTAGTTCTGCATGCACCGACGGCCACCTATAACAAGGAATGCGAAATCCCCGTCACCTATCTGAATCGGCGCCAAGCATATAAGGTCTCAGTTGTCGACACGGCCCCCCCTCTGACTTCGTCTTCTGTCCGGTATAGAACGCATGTCCGAATTTCGTTCGACGATGATAAACAACGTGCTGACCCCGCAGCGGCCTGGAAGATTTGGATGGAGGGGCGCGGGCTAGCTGAGGCTCGTGAGGCTAACTCCAAGCTCGCGGCCGTAGAGTTTGTTGATGTGAAGCCCAACACCATGGGCTTTGCTGAGAATCGCATGGAGCTCGAGAGCTCTTCACTGGACGGATTCTGCGTTGCCTGGACCAGTCATCCGCAATCGGCCGGATTTGGCTGCGAACTACACGTTCTCTTCAACTTTCTATCTACCGACTTCAGCCTGTCCAAAGGAGTCAGAGGCTCACCTCTCCGGCTATGTGCGAAGACAGAAGTGGTCTCGACAGACTTGTTGCTTCATCATCCGCCCCATATCTCTGCGCCGGAGATGTCTTGTTGTAAGGTTAAGTTGTTCCGAGACCACGGATCGGAACGGAAGATAGCGAATGACATCGCACAGCTTAAGAAGGCAATCCAGCGCGTCGAAGAGTCTATCGCTCACTCTGGGACCGACGGTAACCGTGGCTCCAGTAAAAGAAGACGCGGGAAACTCCCCCTGGTCGCTCGAGGCTCCGAGGCTAGCGTACAGCAGCTCGCCCCGACCGACCTGCACAATACGCAAGACCCCCCTGGCACTGACACTCTTGCCACCGATGAGGACCCTCAGAAGGTATTGTTCGTTCTCAAGATGATGCTTTCATCTTCCCAGCCATATAGCCTGCTCTCGCTGCCATGTGACGAACGTGACGATCCTGATCGGTTCCCTGTTCTGTTGTCGAATCCCCTACTCGGCCCTCTGCAGGAAGTGCGTTCTCTTACCGGCACAGGGCTATCCTCGAAGCTAAGCACCGATGGTCAGTGGGGAGTATTACAGCAGCATGCGGAAAATGACCCCAACGCTTCCGGCGTCGCACCTACTCATCTCGTGACACCTCAACAGGCCAGCTCCATGAACCCGAATGTCGACAGCTCCCCCAACCGACCACTAACAACACTCGACATACCGATGCGTAGCCGTGTAGGCAACCATCAACGTGCCGGTGAGTACCGTAGACGCACCGTATGTGAAATGGACCCTTAACATTTCCTTCTCATAGTTGCCTGCTTTTATGTTATTCGACGTACCGACGGTCAAATCGAGGCTTACCACCATGCCGTGTACCTACTCCAACGAACTCTAGCGGATTTCATTAAGCGACTTTCTCGAATTCAGAAGATCCCGCCAGAAAATATCATCCGGGTAGTTCGCGTCAACTCGGCGGGCTTGCGCATCCTGGTCGATGATAATGTGGTCCGAGAAACGCCTGAAGGCCAGGACATGATCGGGGAGTTTGTGCAGATAGAGGATTCTGCGACCCCCTTGTCCAGCTGGCAGGTCAACCTGTTCTATTAAAGTTGGTCCTGGCTGGCTTGACACACATCCGAGAGAGCGTCTCCGCAGCCTATGTTGCCAGCGGCCGCGTGGCAAATGTACCGGGGCTAAAGCGCATCAACCAGTCATCGCTACGGAGAGGTCTGATCGCCGTGTTGGAGCCGGACCAAAGGAGTTCTCGGCCATGTCACCGGCGGTGTATGCACCGTCCCAGTCCATAGTGAAAAGTGGGAAGGATATCACGACATTAGAGCTGGTTCCCTATGCCATTGAGATAGTCCCCTCAGTGTGCATTGGTCATTGAAAGCATCAGACTCGTATGTAGTTATCCAATTGACTACTGGCTGGGGTAGCTTGATAATTAGGGCCCTGGTTAAATGCGGTCAATCGGGGCCAATGCACCCTAACATCATGAACCACGCACCAAAACCATTCAAAATTGGGTGCTCAGTGGTAGGTTATCTTCTTCTAGTTTCATTAAGACCACGCAAAAGTTGTATCCGTAGCCGCACAGCATGATATCATGATGACCAGGGGATGGGTAGGACTTGAAATGTTGCGCATGATAAGGCAGTGACGTAGAACAAGAGTTGGAACATCAGCAGCGATACGATATCATCCCAAATCGAACTGTTTTCCAACATTCTACACAGTAGAGTACGGAGTACTTTAATATATCCCGCAGTGCCCCATAGTGGCCAGGGTGAATGACGTGCCACTGACATGAATGGCGCGCGCTAACAGACCAAGTGGAGGCCCAATTTGGCCACCCCGAATAGTTTCGCTAATGACTAGAGGAGAATACAATTGGATGGAAAACGCAGCCGATAACGTGGACTGAGTCCGAGGTGTCATTGATCGTTCATCTTGGAGGACAGCATCATGGCCTGAGAAGGGGGAAAACGCAGGCAGCAAGGCACCCCCTCACATGGCGCGGGGCTTCGCTCTTTTCCTCCCCGACCGCCGCTCTTCCGCTTCACCCTCATCATCCTCCATCTCATCATCCTCCGCCAGAATGACCTACTCCTTGCGACAAATATCCCAGCATAACCTCAAGACCTTCCGTCGAAATTATGTATCCGAGATATCCGGCTCCCTGGGGGATCTGGGGACGTTCCTCCCCATCGCCATTGCTCTCGCCGTCAATGGCACCGTCTCGCTGTCCAGCACCCTAATCTTCTCTGGCATCTTTAACATCCTGACGGGTTTGTTGTTCGGGATCCCACTGCCGGTGCAGCCCATGAAGGCCATTGCCGCCGTCGCTCTCGCCCAGTCCTTTAGTAACGGATCCATCGCCGCAGCCGGCATCTTCGTCGGCGCCTGTGTTGGGGTGTTCAGCGTCACCGGTCTCCTGCAGTGGTTCGCCGATGTCATCCCCATCCCCGTCATCAAGGGCATCCAGGTCGGCGCCGGACTGTCCCTGATTATCGCGTCGGGCACGAGTCTCCTCTCGTCACTCTCCTGGGTCCATCCGTCCTGGGCCGATAACCTGATCTGGGCAATCGCGGCCTTTATCTTCCTCCTCGTGACCAACGTGTACCGCACCACCCCCTACGCCTTGATCGTCTTCATCCTAGGCCTTATCTTTGCCATTATCCGTAGCGCCATAGCAGCTAGCCTCCCTTCGCTAGAGATCTGGCATCCGTTCGTTTTCGTCCCGACCGGGCCGGAATGGGTGCGTGGCGCTATCAACGCCGGCATCGGCCAAATTCCCCTGACGACGCTGAACTCCGTCGTGGCGGTCGTGCATCTCGCCAGCGATTTACTGCCCAGCGTGCACACGCCATCCATCACGTCGATTGGACTCAGCGTCGCGGTTATGAATCTCGTCGGGTGCTGGTTCGCCGCGATGCCGGTGTGTCACGGGTCCGGAGGGTTGGCGGCGCAGTATCGCTTCGGCGCGCGGTCGGGATCCAGCGTTGTGTTCCTGGGTGCGTTGAAACTCATCATTGGAATTTTCTTCGGCGAGTCGCTGGTCGAGTTGCTGAAGCGTTTCCCGTCCGCGTTGTTGGGTGTCATGGTCATCGCTGCGGGACTGGAGTTGGCGAGTGTCGGCGAGAGCCTGAATACAACTGGGGCCCGAGACATCGGGAAAACGTATCATGGCTTGCTCGGCGCCGATGCAATGCAGGATGTGTCGCCGATGTTGAGTGATGCGGATCGCAAGCAACGGTGGACGGTCATGCTGGTGACGGTGGGATTGTTAGTTGGGTTCAAAAACGATGCGATCGGGTTCTTGGCAGGCATGCTGTGTCATTGGATGTATCGAGTTCCGGTGGTTATTGAGAAGGTGAAGGAACGGTGGCAGGAGAGACGGGGACGTGTTCGGTTGGAGTGAGAACATGCATATACGACCTACATACATTACTTATCAACGGACAGGCGGGAATAAACGAAGACCACGATATAGCGAGCTCAAGTGGGATATCCTAGCAACAAGGCTAATATACAATCAATTCATACATTCATGATGACTTCATCTCCTAATCATACATCAAATTCCCATCATATTATCACGCATCAAGGTTATCCCAACCTCGTCTCCGATCTGATAAAATTTTACATCCTGATCAAGAACCAACTAGTTAGCTTCATAACTTTACCAAACACTATCTCCAAAAAATATAAACTCACCATTACTTCAACATCAAACATTAAAATAATTACTCCTCATCAGCATTCTCGATCCTCCGGGCCCCACCATGTCCACCGGTAGTAGAATCTCCGACCAGTCGTTCCTGGCCATCACCATCAAACCGACGTTCCTCGAAGACGGCTGGCTGGCCGAGATCCTGCTCAGCGGTGCGCACGACCTTCGATCCGTCGGGCGCGGTGTGCGAGGAGGTAGCGGTGCGGTAGCCCTGCTCCTGGCCGTTCGAGTTCGAGCTCGAGCTAGAGGAAAAGAAGGAGGACGAGGAGGTAGAGGAGTAGTATTCGGACATCGTGGTTGTTTTTTTGGTTCGGAAAAAGGTGTTTAGATTATTATCTTGGAAGGTGGTGTTTGCTCGTTTGAAGGACTCGAGGTGTGAGCGTAGAATAAAATAAGATCTGATGTAAAAAAAACTAAGCCCAGGTATATGTAAGACCAGAATCGCAGAATTAAATACCCCCTCGGAGCATAAAAGTGGCGAATGACTTTGTTTGATGTCATATAACCAGTTGTAACTGGGCATTTGCAGCTGTGGAATATCATTGGGCAGGGAAACAGTTAGAATGGAGACTGGTTCGAGGGATGTTCTCATTCCTGGAGCTTGCGGTGACTTCACTCGTCTGCGAGTAAATTGGGTCGGTGACGTCATCTGTCTGGGTTTTTATATCATTTTCTTTCGAGGGTTGCAGGAATAGATTGTTTAGGTATTGGGATTGTTATGTCGGTTTCAAGTAGGTTTCACATTTTATTATCGTGTCAGGGAGGTCATTGTTTGACCTTATCGATCCCAATAAATGTGCTTGTTCATTTTTGTACTGGAGTTGGCTATGAGACAGAATATCACAATGAAGAACTAAGTAACTCTGATTCACGCGGTAAATTTATCAATCTGACAAAACTGGACTTTTAATCAAACAGCAATGGCATGCTGCTCCTGATACGACGGAACACCTCTGCTGGCGCCGGTACTATTCGCCATGATCAAATCATCCGCGGCCTCAGCGCGCCCGGACCCGAAATTCTTCAAATTCCACTTCTCCACGCCCTCCACGCCGTCTAGATCCTGCTTATACGCCTTGAACACGTCCGAGCTCAGCCGCTCATACTCCGAGTACTCCTTCGGCCACTCGCCCAGTCGCTCCACGGCCAACTTCAACAGGTGCAGATGCTGGCGCACGTATTTGCCCTCGTCGTCTTCGCTGCCGGGGCTTGGAGAGCGACCGGGGGACGCGAATCCCGACTCGAACCCCTCGTCTAGGTCAGCGGAGATGGTTGGGTCGACGAACACTCGGAGAGCGTTTTCATGCAGCGATGCGGCTTTCTTGTAGTAGCGGAAGGCCATCTCGCGGCTCTCCTTGTGGCCTTGGTAGCCCTGTGCCACGCTGGTGTACATCTGGGATAGGAGGACGGTCATTTCGATGGTCGCCGGGTGGCGGGGGCCGTGGACTCGGGCGCAGTTGTAGACGATGTCTTCCGCGAGGCGGATTGCGCCGGAGTAATCGCCGACCAGGTAGCGGGTGATGATCAACATGCGGCCGAGAGCAAGGACATACTTCGGCTGGGAGGTGCTGTGGGTGTCGCGGTTGTTCCAGAGAGAGGTGAGCACCCAAGCGAGGTTCTGGTAGTCGTGTTGGTCGTCGAGCAGGCCGATGAGGTTGTTGAGGTTGGTCAGGTCGAGTTGTGTCAGGTCGATCTGCCGGGCCTTGAACAGAGACATGATCTCGTGCATGATGGTCGACGAGCTGTTGAGCATGGTTTGCTGGGTTGAGCGGTCGAGGGACGATGAGATGTCGCGACCGGAGATGGCTAGACCAAGCTTGAAGCCGAGCTTCATCATCGTGGTGGAGGCGAAGCCATCGTGGGATTGGAGGTAGTGGAATGCAGTGAGTGCTTCGTCGCAGGCTGCTTGGTATTGCTGCTTGAAGAGAAGCTGGATGACCTGCTCATAGCTGGCGATGGCGACGGAGCGGAGGAAGTCATATGACCAACGCGTAGTGAAATAGGTCAGCAAAGTGGTTATGAAGGCGTTCGCCTGCGTCGCAGTGGCGTAACTCTTGCCCTCGGTGGACAGGAAGTATGCGGTGCATTGGTCAACAACTCGGGACGCGCTCCACTGACGGCCTCGGGATAGAAGAAATCCGTAGAGGCGAGATCCACAGGTGACCACGCTTTGAACGGTGCTGGACTTGGAAGACAACTCAGTGCGGAATTGTTCGTAGTAGAGATACTCTGTAGCCAGGGACGAAAATATCTCGTTGAACGTGACCGAAGAATCATCACGCAGGCTATATTCCATCTGAGCGAGGAACACAAGGCTCTCGCGTTGCTTGGACGACAAGTCGAAGCTCACAGACCTGGCGTTGCTCGTATCTTTGGCAATGATCTGCCGGTACAGCTCCTGAGTGAGCTCCCGTGCCTGTTGAACCTGACCCGAGGCGATATAGCTGGACGCAATGCTCTTTGCCGCGTCTGTCAATCTGGTTGATGACTTCTCGGTAGACAGTGTCTGCACAGTACCCTCACGGAGCAATGAAAGGACTGCCTGAGATTGCCCTCTCTTGGAATAGAGAGAAACCAAATCCTGCATCTCAGAAAGGGATTCTTCATGGGCCCACCCGTAGTTCGAACGAACCGATGACAGACGTCTGTTTCGGATAGAGACCACCCGAGCCATCTGCTCAGAGCTGACGGTCTCGGCTTTCGTGGCTACAGCGGCCGCCTGTTCCTCGTAAATCGCTTCCAATGTGGCTCTGACATCGTGGTGATCCACTTCATCAGATTTGATCTGGAGAAGCTCTTCGTAAAGACGAACGGCCTCAGTCTCGTATCGCTTGGACTCTTGACAAATATTGGCGAATGTCATGGTTGCCTGAACGCTAATGGATGCCGACGAGCCAAACAAAGACCTACAGGCATGATGATACTGTGAAGCAACATCATGGAGGACGCTGGAATTGGCTTGAGTCGCACGTAGACATTGGACGTAGCGACTGAACATGGTCCGCACAAAGACCTGATCATGAAGCTTCGGGCTAATCTTGGAATTGCGTAGGGCACTGAACATGACCTTAAAGTGCGGCACTGCTTCCGTATACCGCCCGTGGTTCCAGAGTTCGTTGGACACTAGAAGGAGGGGTTCGAAAGCATCTGGGTGACATGTATCTGAGTCCTTATTGAGTGCTTGCACAATGCGTCGGTAGTACTCAACGGAAGTCGGGCTGGGGCTAAGCTCCGCCAAGGTCCAGAGCTTCTTGATGACTGTCGGATGATCACCGCCGTAGCTTTTGGTATAGTCATCTAGCAATTCTTTGTGTAGCTCGATCTGCTTCTCCGCCTGAGAAGTACGCTCATAAACGCGGAGCAGGGCGGTCGTCGTCCGGTCAAGCATCTTATCGCCCGGTTGACGGTCGTGTCGCACCGCGTGGTAAAGCCGATGTCGGCTGTCTTCCTCCTTTGCGGGTCGCCGTCTGGAACGATAGCAGTCGCCCAATCGTTCTGCTAGCGCGACGCAATGATCAACCTGGGAAGCCGGCAGTACGACATCCTGCAGAGACGGGGCAAAGAATGCCGGCCAGATGACCTGTAGCACCTTTTTCAAAGTCTTGGTAGCATCGTGCCATCTGTGCTGAGAAATATAGGTCTCAACAAGGGTGTTGGCCGCCGATACGGACGATTGATCAAATGAATCGCTGTAGACAATCTCTTTTAAGGTCCTCTCGGAAATTGTTGACTTGGACGAACCTGCCAGCTGCATCACATCCTTGGATGTGGACTGAATGTTCTGTTGGATGCTCTTGTAGGTGGCATTCTGATAGTTGCCGGAGCTCCGGTAGAACTGGGAACAGCTCTTGAAGACATCAAGAGCCAACACGGACAGGCCGACCGACTTCATGACTTTTGCGACCTCGACAAACTGCGAGACCACGGCCTCTGAGTTCGATGTGGTTCGGTCATATTCCTGCCAGAATCCCGAAAGAACAGACGCAACTTCGTTGCTCCTGCCCTGAGACTGCAAGAATTTGGAAAATGCCAGCACCGCCTGGGCATTCTTCAGCTCCCATTCGGCAGAGCGATGTCGTCGATACTGAGCACTGGTTTGCTGCCATGTTTCGACGTATGTGCGCTCAGCGGCTGGAACATTGCCTTCCGAAACCTGCCTCTCCGCATGGGCGATCCGAGATTTGAGGTCATACTGAGCAGAGGATTCGATCAACTCATCCTCTTCTATGTCATTCAAATCAAGCGCTACGCCCGTGACAGTGTGCTTGGCATGGCGACCGTGCAGATGCACACGCAGAGAGTCGTCGGACTGTCGGGAGGCGCTCCAGTGGGAGTCGGCCACGGTGGAAGCTTTTTGGACCTCCTTGGTGATCTCCTGCGCTTTCTTCTCGTCCTTGATGAGCTGGTAGTGCTCTGCTAACTCATTCATCGTGGTGAGAGTGATTTCACTCGTGGATCCATAATGGATCTTGTAGCACTCAACCAGGACCTGGATGATCTCCACACGCTTGACCATGATCTCTGTTTTCGAGTCTGTTATTTGCTCCGCGGTAATGTCCAGAAAGCTTTTAGCAATCTGCATTGTGACGAGGTGGCTGACCGACAGAACATCTTGACTGATCTTGGTGGCATAGTAGAAGAGCCAGGTGGTTTTGGACGGAGCGGATTCATAGATGTCTCGGTAGAAGAGAGCCTGACACAAGATCGCTTGCAGGGTGGTGGGATGGTTTGGGGTGAGAATGTGCTGATACAGGCGAGTTTGAACGTCATGCAAGGACATCAGGACTGGCGTTGGTTTCGTCTCCCAGACCGTCGTCTCCAACAGAGGAATAGCCGTGCAAGTAGGAATAACATTACGAAGTTCTTTTGCTGCACTTGTGATCTCGCTCTCGGTGTTGCAAGTAAGAGCATTCTTCGTGAGGTCAATCCAGTAGCGCAAGGCGAAATCAAGCAAGGGATGCTTTTCCAGCAGACCTCGAGTGAGATGAGAATCCAAAGAGGCCAAAGACGGCTCCTGGTTCCTGGTGACCTGATTCTTGGTATACACCAGCAACCGTTGCGCCAAGTCAAGGTTTCGATCTTTCACGCCCTGCGAGGGTTTGCCATGAGCCAGAACCTCTACAATAGCCGCTTTGATTTCGGCGTGTCGCAGATACACAAGATCGTTTTGGAAGAACACCAATGAGCTGACAGGTTTGAGGATCTGAGACATGTCCGTGCTCTGTTCTCTAATGATGCCCTTGTCAACTTGAATGGCCAGAAGGGATGAGAGCTCTTCTTGGGAAAGAGGACGAGCAGCAGAAGCGAGCCAGCCCAGAACGTTCCTTCCATCCTCGCTCAACGTCTTAGACGACAGGCTGGGAGATACAAGATCTGTGATAGTCTGTCCCGGCTTGGAAAGGCTTTCTACAGCCTTCGAAAAAGCCTGCGCATTGTGGGGGCTCTCTCCAACCACCCGTTTGGCGACAAGCTTCGCCCACAGGAATGAACCATCGGCAGCTTGAGTGATTCGGTTCACACCAATTTCTTGCTTGGCCTCTGACATTTGCGTGAAAGCATGACTGCGTCGGAGCACACTCCGGACCACTGCCGCCACATCGTCAAAAACAAGGTCTGGCGTGACGCGAAGGCCAGTTTGATCCGGAGTTGTAGTGTGCTGCTGGGAGCCGAGTGTAATAAGCTTGACATTGCTTGCTGTGGCCTCGTTCAGGCGCTGAGACAGGACTTGCTCCCCACAGGACGCTTCATCCAAGCCGTCAATAACGAGTACCAGATCTTTGGCACCTTTCAGGCTTGATTCAAGGGCATGACCAAGAGCGGTCCAGAGAATATTGTCGTATGTCTCTTCATCCGTCGTCTTCTGACAACGTTCATGCGCTTCCGCAAGAATCTGATAAAGACGAACATTTCCGATACGCTTATTGAATATCTGGAGGAGAATAGTTTCGACAATCGCGCGTGATGATGTTCTTGCAGAAACACGTCCATCTGATTGATGTTAGACGCAGCAATCAGAGAGACCCATTTACAACTTACTGATTGGCACGTAAACTGACGTATATCTGACTCCTCCAATAGGATACTGCAGGTTATCGGCAATGACGGAGGAGGCTATGGTCTTGCCGGATCCGGTCTTGCCACTGATCGCAAGTTTCCTTTGATCGCCCTTCATAAATCGAGTCAAATAGGGCGTCAACCAGAGGCAAGTTAGTTCCTCTCGTTCCTGAGCGAGGTGTGCCATGGAATCCACCATGTTGGCAAGAACAGGGTCTTCAGGTTCGAGCCAGTGTTGGATAGATTTTACGTTGGACACTATGAGCTTTTCATCAGCATACATTTAAACTGGAGGTCCCATGGAAGTTGGAATACCTTTATCTCCCCCAAGGCCTTCGCGAGTGAGTTGATGTCTCCACATCGACTCCGAAACATGCTGGCAGCGATTGCGAAAGCTTTCGATTGGACCAGGGAATGTGCCATATATATCAATAGACACAGTTTCCGAGGTAAGGGTCTTGATTGACTTATGGAAGTGGGTCGCAACGGATACTACCAAGGTGACCAGGTCGGCCAACGCGAGTACGAGCTGGTCCTTGATATCCTGGGAAACGGAGAACAACTCGACGCGGTCCAGAAGATTCACCAGGCTCGTTGAGCAACTGCAAAAGAATCCAAACAGGAGCATAAGTGCCGAAGCATTTTCTTCTCCAAGCTGTAAACCTTGTTAAACCATGAGAACTAGCCCAAATCAATGACGTGCTTACCTCCAGCAAAACTGCACAATGCCCATAAGCGAGCTGTGCAGCCATGGGACTATCTCCGGCAAATTCCTCGATAGCTAATTCGAAGGAATGGAGGCGTTCCACGAACAAGGACGCCCATACCAGGACCCTATCGTAACTACTTCCTTCGGGGGGTAGCTTACTCATTCGTTCAGTGCGAATGAAGTCCAAGAGGACTGGGTAAGTGGCATTCATGAGCTTTGTTGAGAGAACAGCATCCATTCCATCCGTAGTTTGACGAGTGAGGGAATCAACAACATTCGCAAGTTGCGAAACCTCTCCAGAACTCGACTTCCTCGAGCTTCTTCTGGATGGAGGAGACTGAATAGGTCCGTTAGGCCCATTGTTGTGTTCTAGGATGCTTGACACGCGGCGAGGGCCAAATAGTGAGTTAGGGGAGAGGGGAGAGCCAAAGGTGTAGTGCACATTGGGTTGGAAGGAGGTAGCCATTGTGACTGATTTTCGTTTAGTATGGATTATCGTAGACAGCGTTAGTTGTGATATGATTTGTATTTAACTTGGCGTATGAGAAGGGGTCTCTGTCCAGCCGAGCCTCCTTCGATAATTAAGTAGCATTCAATGGAGGATATAAGGTGATATGAGATTCAGGAGGATGATTGCAAGTCAACCTCTCTCTAATTGTTCATGAAAGAGGTCACTATTTATGGCCATCACCGCATTCGGATGGGTCCACGCCAAGTGATTGACTGGCATCGTGATATCAATGAGGCACGTCAAGATGAGGTCTACGATTTCAGCCCGGACAAACTCAATGTGCGGAATATCGCGTTGATTGGCGAGTAAGAATCGAGTGGAGATGAAGAGGAATGGAAGGTTGGAGGTTGAACTTTGGCGCGTTTGTTACGCTCGTTACATCCTTGCTGAGTCATCGGTCTCCCCGTCGTATCGACACTCCCTTCCGTCTATCTGCACGCACCCTTCCAAACGTTTTCTCGACCTTCATTTCCATCAAATTTCCATCATCAACAGGCATCAGGTCAACAATTTCATCTTGGCATTCAATGTCTCAATGGATCTTTCGAATTCCTGACGGGACAGAAATAGATTCTCGCTAGCCCACTGCCGTTTAGCTCAAACCGCCGACAAGACTCCATCGGCCACTCATGTCGAAACAGCAGGCATTAGAGCCTTGGCGCGCCTCTCCACCATTGCGTTGCGTCAGATGCAACATCGAGTCCGAGAATCATGCTTCGTCAAGAAACGAAGACGGAAAGACAGCATGTCCAGGCCGGACTCAAGTGGCAACGCCAATCCCGCAGCCATTCCAGACCGGAATGTTTTCCTCAACAAACTACGACTAGATGTTGATACGCTCTACCAGCTATCGTCTCGCCTGGCGTCGTTGTATCGGAAAATAGCCTCAACTCCATCCAAGCAGTTCCTCCCTACGGCGATCACCCGGCTTCCTACCGGCCATGAAACCGGTCGCTATCTCGCGGTCTACGTTGGGTTGTTCTACTTGAAAGTGGCCTTCATTGATCTTCTGAAAGATCAACCTGGTCAGGGACAGTCTCGTGTCAGAAGAACCCTGGAGAAAGCGTGGCCCATCGAGGAGCACCTGCGACGAGATGACGCCTTCAACCTGTTTGCGTGGATTGGGGATTGTATCGCTGAAGTGGTAGCCGATAGTCTCGATAATCCCATGGAGAGGTTGCCGAGCGAGTTGACTACAGGAATCTCATTGTGTATGCCTCTTGAGTATGGTTATATCTTGATTCATTCGTCAAATTCTGTCATTCTCGCCCTTCTCATTACTAATTTTTACTAGACAAAAGTCACTCGACGAAGCAATTTTGATGCCTACCGGGAAAGGCTTCGTCTTGAATTCAGATTTAAACCTTCGTCAGGCTTTGCTTCGTGGGTATGAACGCCACACGCGAAGCTTCGATGAGGATCGCGACAGGCCAGGCCCGGCCAAAAAGCGGAAGCTTTACAGTCTACCTACGTTGAAAATTGCAGCAATGACCAACGATACTGGCGCCACCCTTGCTTCGCTGGCGTACTCGATCCCTTCTCTGCCTAACACCCGCGTTGTCATGGGCTTAATTGTCGGGGCAGGATGTAACGCGACCGTCCCCTTTCCCATCGCAGACCTTCATGAGTCCAAAACCCGGCATATCCTCTCTCAGGACCCGGATGCTGTCGAAACGCTGGTATCTACAGAATGGACACTCTCAACCTCGGCGGCTCCTTTATATGAGCTGGGTATCCTTACCTCTTGGGACGAACAACTAGACAAACAATCCCAACGGCCAGGATTTCAACCCTTTGAGTATATGGTTGGCGGAGCCTATATTGGCGAGCTGGTTCGAATCATCTCCTATGACTGGTTTCATCGGATTCGAGGAGTCCCGGCAGCCGAACTTCCTCTGAAGCTTGTCGGGCAACGGACCCTTCAAACGGATTTTCTATCTTTGGAGGTGGCTTCAACTCACAGCAATGAACGATTAGCAACCAAATTATCAATACATCTTCCTCCTCCGGAAAAGAGCAGTTGGACATGGACGCCAGAGTCGGCAAGCGATCTCCGTGCAATCGCAGCAGCAGTGCAGGACCGAGCAGCCGCATTAGTGGCTTCCGCGGTGATTGGACTTCTGGTCAGTATTCGTGAGATCCGGTTCCAAGATATCGAGTCTTCCAGCGCCTCGAGTAGCAACGAACAACCCATAAGCAGCAATGCTCCCAGTGATTCCAGTTGGAAACATGGGCCCGAAGAACTAGCGGTCGCAGTCTCAGGTGGTGTTATCCAGCACTATCCGAGCTATAAAGCGACTGTTCAAAGATATATCGACCGACTCATATTACGCGCAGGTCCGCAGGAAGGAGGAAAAAGTGTCTTTCTTCGTGAGGTCAGCGATGGCGGAATTGTTGGGGTCGGTGTTTTGGCGGGAATGGCCTCGGGTGAGATAGGAGAAATCATCTGCGGGTCATTAGATCGAGACAACGATGCAGGTGGTGAAAAAGATGCATAAACCCACCTAGTTTCTTGATTCCGCACTTATCTATCTCTCTCCATTATTCATTGTGTCTCTCTTGCTTTTTCAATTGATATAACTTTCATCTGGGTTGACTCCATTCACTTTATTGGATCCTATAATCATGAAGATAGCCAATTTTCAACTACAAAGAACTCTAAGTACACTAGTCGTTGTAGTCTGTTAAGCACACTTCAAGGCCAGATAATCCTTTGCTTCCGTCAACAAACTGCAGCAGAAGTCTGGTTCCAACAATGCCAGATCATCCACCTTATAACTCCCCGTAGCGACCGCAACAACAGAACAGCCCGTCTGCTTCGCACATTCGATATCCAGCGGCGTATCACCCACAATTACAATGTCATGAGCCGCGACTCCGCGACTGTACCGAGTCTGCAGACGCTTCAAAGAGTCCTGGAATAGTGACTGTCGATCCGGGTGGACATCCCCGAACGATGAGATCTCCAGATCAAAGATACTAGTGTCGATCCCTGCTGCACGGATCTTCAGCAGAGCATTGGGACGCGAGTTACCCGTTAACAGGCCAACCCGGAGAGGCGGATCGCATCGGTCTCGTTGATACTCGGTTAGCCAACCAAGGATCTCCTTGACGCCGGGACAAGGAATGACAGGGAAGCCCTTGGCGTGGGATTCCTCGAGATATCTCGGATGCAGCGCGAAGAATTCCGCTGTAGCCTGGTCTTTATCCTGTACGCCGTGGAAGTCCAAGATGGCATGAAGTAGACTAAGGTCGGTGCGGCCGTGCAAGCTCACAGGGGTATTGGCGTGGGTGATCGTCTTGCCCACGACGGCGCTCACGCAGGAGAAATAAGCATCAATGCTGAGATCTTCCGAGCGGCAAAGTGTGCCGTCAATATCGAACAATACGATCATCTCGCGACGAGGAGGATGAGGCGTGACCAAGACGCGGAGGAGCTCTCGAGAACCAGAGAAAGAGGCCCGGCCGTGAAGAAACCGGTGGTTATTCAAGATGTAGCCCTGACCAGGCTGGAGACACACGACGAGTGCGTTCTTGTAGATAATTTCCTGAAGTCTAGCAAAGCCGGACACCATGGACGCAGAAAGCTGGATATTGTCGTCGAAGCGGAAACGGAAGATCTGGTCTTCAGTGTCGAAGATGGCCCTCGGCACAAACACGCCGTCGTCCGAGTAGAAGCTAGTATGCTTGGCGTTAGTCACAAGCCTGTACAGCTCCTCGTCCTCTTCCTTGATGATCTCGAGAATACGATGGCTGTCTGCCAGTAGAGATTCTCCACCGGTTTCGGATCGACTTTTTAGAGTGGACATCAAAATTCCAGGCGGATTTTGCCAACCACTGCGGTCAGTGTGGAAGAAAAGCTCTATAAAGATCGTTAGGTAATTAACAGCCGGCGGGAATAGAATCCTGGACATACCTTCAGAGCTGTATCCCTTGCCAGTCAAGTTAGGTGCGAACCGGATATGACTGACACCGCTGCCGTGGAGCTTCTCATTCCGCGGTCTATTGATCTCCCCCAATTGGTTGGCCACGTCGACCAGTGAATCCTCATCACATCCTTCGATAAAGGCGATGCCTTTTGTGAAGAGATCTTGCCTGACTCCATCAATGTCAGATGGGGTGTGGAACTCTGGGGCTTTGAGCTTGTTAGTTTTAGAAGTCTATGTTAGACATCGATCATAACCTACTAAATGGCCCCAAACCGCACTTCGTAACATCCATCGTCTTGGGATTGTGGATCAAAAAAGATATTATAGCCGTGAGCAAAGAAAAAAGATTGCTCTAAACACAAATAGAAAAAACGGAAACCTAGACTCTTTTATATATTTATCCCCAATACTTGAAGGGGGCCCTTGGAAATATTGCTGCCCCGAAAGCTGTGATTAATTCTCAGAGCATCGTACTTTCGCTCTTCATCCGCGGAGCTATAGACCGATGATCATGATTAGTCCGGCTTATTTGTCTCGCATCATATCCAATCATTAAATCATCTTATGGTGCCTTGCGACTTCTACTGGCCCGATGCCGTCTTTGCGTCTTTAGAAAGTATCTTTAGCGTGTCTGAACCCGAGTCAGAGCCACTGAGTGAACTGGAAAAAATGCCAGGAGTGGCATTCATGTTACGTAAACTGATTGCATGCATGGTTCTGCCACTAGTCAACTGGGATGTCACAAAGAACACGGACCAAGTATATCTTCAGTTCTATGGTACAGGATGTAATAAGAAGAACTAAACCACAGGAATAGAGAGAGTTTGCACTGGAGAGCTACGCGGCCTAAGATCCACAAGAAATTCCTCCGACCTGCATCCCGTCGTCGCATCGCATACCAAGAACGGTCAAAATCCTGCAATCTCTTCAGCCTTCTTGATCTGATATTCAGATCTGATGTTGCACATGCTTGCCGACTATCCGGGTTTCAGATGGAAGTGGAACAGTTGACAAATGGAAATGTGTCAACTTAATCAGATAACACGTCATGAACATGCATACTCACATCGCTGAATCCACTAAGTCCCTATGCTGCGCGTAATTGCAAGTAGCGTACACCCTACTGCATGTTTATTCACATTGCAGAGAGTGAGATTGAAGATCCACATTCAGTGCTAGTCCTAGGAACTGCAACGTCCTGCAGTCATGCCAGCCGTCGGCCTCCGAGCGTGAAGGATTATCCAATTTTCTATAAAACCAACAAGGAAAACCTCATCTCATTGGAATTGAAGAAGACCTCATGGCTGACCCAGTAGCCACAGTCCCCGTTACATCTAGCTGAAGTAGCATTTTAAGTTCTAACATACAGCCCAGAAGTGCAGATATTTCAAAAATACTACACAATTCCAGGATCAGAATCCTTAATCTTAGGTTAACCAGCATCGCAAAATCTAGAAGAGCCTACTACTGCATCCCATGTCACTTCAACCAAGCCCCGAGAATCAAAAGCCCCTCGCTTAGCTTACGAACCGTCCCTCTTATGCGCCACGCTACCGTAGTTCGCCCCCAGCGGAAGTTATTTCTTTGACCTACCAGCGTACGAGTTGACAAAGATGACGGCAGAGGACTGTCGATCTCTTCATGCAGCTTACTGTGCCCCGCTGGGTGCGCATTTAATAAAAGTCAACTGTGTCTTTAGCATTCGGACAAAGCGACGAATAGAGGGTCTAGAACTGGCTTCTGCAAGAGTATTTCCGTTCCTAGTTTCACTATGTTAAGATGCATAATAGAAAGAGGAGGTCTCACCTGAACTCAGTTGAGTTGGTGCCATTTGCGGCAGGTAGTACATACATTAGAATTCTATATCGATCAGTGTATTCTTAGTTCTTACTCCTGAAATTAGGATCGGCGATTTCTAGCAAGTGCGGTTTCGCCACCTTAACGGGCCGGACCGTTGACCTGTGCCCCTGTCACCTCGGTATTGAATTTAATTGTTGGGAAGAGGGGAAGAGAGCCCGTGTTTTATGCGGCCGATTAGTTTCTCCAAGGAAGTGAAGACTTGTACTACTAAGTCTATCTGATAATTTTTTACAGGTGTACATGCTGGGAAGAATGCTGGGACTTTTTTTTGTATTACCAACTTATTCCTATAGACTGGGCACAACCATATGTCTGAGACAGTCTGTTCTTCCGATTAGTCGAGGGACCAGGATCTTCGTTTTAGCTCGTATCTCTAGTAGCAGAATCTATGATCTGTTCATACTGACTTCCTCCTCACCGTCCCTTCTTTTCTCGAACAAATGCTCGATGTTCTCCAGACTACGGCCCTTTGTCTCCGGCATCAAAAAGCAAACGACCACGGCCACAATCGTAGAGAATCCATACAAAAAGTACGGTCCACTAGGCGATGATCGCAAAAATAGTGGCGCCGTAAGTGTCACGACGAAATTCATGATCCAGTTTGCCACCAGCTCCAAAGCGCATACCTTTGCTCGGAGCCTGGTGGGAATGATCTCCGAGGCGTAGATCTTGCCAACCTAGAATGATATTAGCATGCGAAATGGATTTATAAAAACGAAAGAGGCGAAGACCCACCACAGCCCAGGACCAGGAGAAATTGGCCACAAATATGTAGATCAAGACAATAACGACCCATTGTGCTGCCTTCGATGAAAGGCTGACTGCATCATCAGCTACTTGCCCATATCTAGCATACAGCGAGCCAGTCACTATAAAGCAAATGGACATGATGAGGCCCCCAATAACTAGAGGCATGCGACGACCCCATCGGTCAATCCAGATCTGAGCTGGTATTGTGCAAACCAGCATCACAATACCAGTGACCCCTGACGAGAGAAACGACGCCTTCTCGGATGTGAATCCTGCTTGTCGGAAGAGGATAGGAGCGTAATAGAGCACCACGTCAATCTAAAATTCGTTAGCAAGCACCCACGGTCAAGGAATAGAGTGCGACCGCAGCCATGTATAATATTAACTCACACCAGTCAACTGCTGGAAGGACATCAGGAATATTCCCAGCGCTGTCCGACCGACGTATTTCCGACCGAAGATCTCGCCCCAAGTCGCAAGAGCCTTGTGTCGATCGGATTGCAAACTTTGCTGAATCTCTGCCAACTCGGAGTCCACAACTGACGGCGCGCGTAGCTTTCCCAAGACTCGCTTCGCATCCTCATTTCGACCAGCTTGAACAAGCCATCGTGGTGAAAAAGGTGTAAGCAGTAACCCAAGAGCAAGCACTGTAGCTACAGCCGCCTGCACTATGAACGGGACTCTCCATGCCATACTTCCTGCTAAGTCGTGCGATCCATACGCAATGAAATATCCAGTCATGATACCGATAACCACGTTAAGCTGGAGGAGGCAAGCAGTCACTCCCCGAATATCAGCAGTCGCAATCTCAATTAGATATACCGTAGCGACAGAAATCGCCTGTCCCATGCCCATGCCCGTGATCAGACGAGCGACAATGAGAGCCGCGAAATTCGGCGACGCTGCTGAGATGATGGTGCCAATGAGAAACAGAATGCTGCCGATAAAGATGCCCCATTTTCGTGAGATACGGTCGGAGATGTGCCCGCTTGCTAGGGAGGATACCGAGGAGGAGAGGAGAATGGAGGAAACGTATATGCCCTGCTGCATGGAGGTCAAGTGGCCAATGTAGTGGGAAAACTGCTCCATCTGGGTGATGACACCGATTGAACCTGTCCATTGTAAACAGTGAGATACGTCTAATTCTAAATTGTATTCCAATGTGAGTGACGAACCTGTGTCCAAGCCATAGCAGAGACCAGAAAGCGAGACATGGCTAGCAATGAGAAATATTTTCAGCTTTGGTGAAAACATTAGAACAAGTCGATTCAAAAAGGATTTTATTGAGAACAGAAACGGCTCGACAAACGACCTAGAGAAACGACAAATCGTCCCCTGTTGTTGGGCGCGGCAGTCAGCGTTACAGGAGTTAATGCGTTGGGAACACACATCATGGGACCATTAAAAAATCCATGCGCACTGCCTTTAGTGAATGAAATATAATACATGGATAGACCCCAGACCGCCTCTGTAGCTGCTGCACCGTGCCAATCGCAGCCCGATGGCTGGAGTGATCAGCGCTATCAGCATTTAGGGCGATGTAACCACAAGCGCAAGCACCCTGCCCTTTAAATCTCACTAGGGACTAAACAAAGCTAGACGGATGCCACTCAGCCGTCCCGATATGAGCTAACGGAATTCTTGTCTTATGTACTCCACCGATAGATTGATTGGGATTGGGGCCATTGAGGAGCATTCTTTATTCCCAATTTGGGTAGCCGAGCCTGCTCCGAATATTACTTCCAGATTTTTAAACCAGCCGGATGTAACGCTGCGTACTTGTGCAAACCAGGTTTTCCTTTGATTTTCTCTCTTCCAAAAAGGTACTGCTAGGAAGTGAATTCTCAACCCCTCAATGACCACGTCGAAAGAATTTATCATATTATAAACAAATGTTGCAACTAGATTATAGATAACAACCCCTGAAGGCTTGGACAATTCTAGTGCACAATTCGTGCTTCGTAGATGAGGTTGATTCTTGGTCGAATATTCGGAACTTAAGCTGACAGAGTTGTCACCATTCGCACCTTGAATAACCTCATAGTATAAACTGAAGACGGCTTATATAGGAAAAAGACTAAAATCGAAGTAGGATGTGTGGAAATAGCCATATTCTGTACATAAGCTCTATGTTTAGCGTGTCCAGTAATAAAGAATACATTCATGGTAATAGCTATGTATCATGCATTTATTTCATTGTGACAAAACAAAGTAAAGCAAACAGCCCCATGGTTCAGAGCAGAAGCTCCAGCTGTGGTCTCGAGACGGATAACTCCGAAGTTCTAAGGCCTCGCAAACCCGTGGGACGATAGGAGATCAGGTTTTTACAATTGAATTTGTTCCATTAAACTGCTTCACCGCCATCGAGATAACCTTCTATAAGCGGAGAGCTTTATACAGAAGAGTGCTATTAATTATATGTTAGGAGATCTTTACAAACATCTTGTGTTTTCCCAAAAGCTCTTCTATTACCATGAATATGCCGATAGAACTGAAGACAAAACTCGAAGCCACACCGAAGATCAGTATCAAGGTCGGCATTCACAGCCGACAAAGAGCCGGACCTAACGTCATAGTCATGTTATATTTATTTTGAGTATCGAATAGGCACAGCACGGAAGCCGTTAGGATTAGGGTTTTGTGGGGATTTCCGCATGCGGAAGTGTCCCAAGTCTCGACCGACCCCAGTTCATACAATGCAAATATTCCCATGGAACGGTCCTCATTTCATCATAGACATGTTATCGACGACACAATAAAACTCTACTGTTGTTTGGTTCTGCATTGCTAGGGGGCTCTCATGAGCTCAAATGGACAACCAACTGACATGACTGCTGCGGGGAAAGTAAAGACCACGAGTCAATTCTATGATTAAGAACGTAATAAAATATAGCTCATAGAGGTATCCAGGTGCCTGATTATCTCTATCTCGACTTGAACCATGTAGTTTACGCCTAATCTGCAAGAGCTTCATTACCACCCAAGTCAAGTTAACCTTTTCGGCGTATACATTTTGAATTGGATGTTAAACATCAAGTGTACACTTTTTCGCATTTGATGGTACTAGGAGAATGGTAGATTCGCTATTCAATGGATAACAGTAACAAAGTCAATGAAGGATGAGCGACTATATACTTCGACTGACACGTGAATATTGGCCGAGAATTCGGATCGGCTGGGAAGGGTGTCAAGTTAATCGCCGTTTACCTATTGTTTCAGAAAAGCTCGGAATGCCTGTCAAAGGTTCTTTATAACAGAAAATGACGCCACTCAAAAACCGAAAAGACGAAGGGAAATGTGGAAGATTTGGTGGATTGAATTCTGAATCTAAGTTGTGTCGCGTGACCACAGAAATGAGGTATTATAGGTCACATTTAGGAATACCAAGGTTGAGGGGCTAAGTGTTGCGGGTCTATATCTATTATCAACATGGGATATGCGATTTTTTTATATAACAGATTCGTTTTCTAGTACTCGCCTATACGTCTCCAACGCCTGTCCAATCATCCGTAACACATTCCAAACGGCATCTCCGCTCTGAAGGTTCGCCCAAATCTTAATGACTCCAGCAGATAGATCAGGACCGTGTGGTATCGTCCCAGCAGTATCTACAGGACGAAATCCCGGGTCTGCCTCCTGCAACTTGTCGCTTATGTACGCCAACAGTCAGACTTAGTTTCATCTGCATCGACAGGCGTCCCAGGGGTACGATCTTGCACTGCAGTTAACCATTTACTCAGTACAAACGTGCACTCAAGAGCACATAGAGAATGCTACAGAGACCACGTAAAACGCTTGATTCCGCGCCACTATGTTAATGCCGATTTTGACTGGGATGCTGAGTGCATGCGCAGAATACCGGACAGCGCGCGTAAGCTTATGCGAAGGCCGTAAGGGAGGACTTCGGTGAATCGACCGGGCAATTTTCAGCGGGTCATGGGTATTTAAAGAACGCCAGGGGCCCACGTCCACGTTGAGCCGGATATACGCCATTCGAAGCAAGGCAGTTGAGTTGGAAGAGATCGGGCCGAGTGATGATTCTGGGTTCAGATACCATCCCTTTTGCCAGTTTCTCAGTGCTTGTTCCACGTCGGCCACGTCTGTTGATGACAGGCTTTGATCGGAGCCGGGCTTAGATTTTCTTATTGCTCGTAAGAGGTATTTGTATTGAATCAAGGCGAGAATAAGTGTGTATCCTCCTAGTGAGGAACCTCCTTTTGGGTTCTCATTCCTTCTCGCTTCGGGCGGCCCAATCTGCTTCATGCGAGGGGAGATATATATCAAGCTCCACGTTGAGAATAGGTGGCGGTGTGTCGTAGACGATTGTGTGGAATATGAAAAAGCAGAAGATGATGGCGAGCGTTCTTTTGAAACCTTCCGCCTGAATCCACTGAGACCAAGTCATCTCTTGGGTGGTCTAGGTCTGCATTTTCAAAAATCCTTCATCGCGAACTAGGTTCGTTAAAGTATTTTGCAGACCCACGGACTCGTTGTAAATGGCCTTGGAGTTTCCCCATGTTGCCATTGCCATAAGCAGCAACAATGTTTGTGCAGCAGCTGATGGCTCGAACTTACCTGGAAGCGATCCAAAGGTGGAGGTGAAAATTTTCACTCTATACCCGGCTAAAAATTGCGGAACAGCCAACGAGCCATCTTCGGCAAATGTTGTTTCGCAAAGCCCGGCCTTGCGGTGACGAAGCCGCTCCAAAATGACGCCGTGGGCTATTTTGAAGAGCATAACTGCAGTATCATTATCGAAGCTAAATTGCGCTCAAATTGCAGCCATTGCTCAGATCAGCTCGAACGGGAACTTAACAGGTGAGAACGTTGGAATGTGTAGGAATGGCAAATGTCGGTGGAAACCAGAGAAGTATGTCGCGATATACCTGGTGAGAGTGTGGCGAGAGGGGAGCGTGAATCCAGTAAGAAGAACGGAGATAAAATCTTGTATCTCGGTATGCAAACTGTTCCAGTCTTGTTGACTGAGATCCCAAGGTTCTCTTTTCGATATTGAAGATGTTTCAAATGACAGAAATGTTGATGAGAATTCATCATATAAATGCGGTCCTGAGGCATCAGCCTGTGGTATATTAGGCTGGATACTGGAATCAAAACCTCCCCATTCACCGTGGGAATCCTGGTTTTCAAGCGATGTGAAAAGGGGTGAAGGGGATAGAGGTAGAATTTGATGGTCAAGTAGCACAGCGTAGACAAACTATCTGTATATGGCATGCTAATACTGTCGATGAACATAGAGAAATCGCCAAAGTTGTGACCAGGTTGAGAAGCAGCGAATGTGCCTTGATGGTAGTGCTGAGTCAGGCAGGAGTCATGCCATTCTCTCAACCTAATTTTGTCTACTCCATACATTGCCCCAGAATTAACTAAAGCTGTATTTGTTCTATAAAGAAGATGAAAATAGAGAACCTGATCAGAAAAGCTGCTTCGGAGCTCCACAGCTCAGTAGTACATTACGTAGTTGGAGGTGGTTCGTACATGCTCACTCTCGTACACTTTATATAAACCCAGCACATCGATCACAAAAATCAGTTAAATGAGTAGAGATTGCCATTGCCGATAATGCACTATGGAATATTGATCAAGACAGTTTTGGAAAAGTAAGGGCACATTGCATGATTCAGACGAATGAAGAATTGGCATCCATCCACCTTGGTGATTTTCATTCACGAAGATTCCTATCGATCTTGGATAGGCAGCTTCTTAATTCGACAACCTTAGTTAGATCTGGGCATATAAACACTCATCTCAAATCCATTGGTGAAAGGCAAAGTCATGTTTTGGAACTCATTCTCAGGGTTTCGCAGAAATGCTAGTAGGTCTGCGTAGCCCTTAGCACCCGAAATCGTGTTGTCAGTAAGCACAACTGCGCCTGGGCGAAAACGAGGCAAAACACTCTTGAGTGTCGGGAGAGCAAGCGGGGACCAGACTATAGGGATACGTTAGCCAATCCAAGCGGATGAGTGAGGCTTGGTAGGATCAAACTTACTGTCGAGCAGAAGGAGGTCGATCTGTGGTAGTGCATCTTTCAGGGTCTCAAGCAGGTCACCCTCCCTCAGATCAATCTGCTGCTCAACTTCGGGACCACATTGCGCCCAGTAATTCCGCGCAATCTCTGCCTTCTCCGGCTCTTTCTCCGTTGCAATCACGGTTCCGGACTTCCCGGTAAGGGCTCTCGTTTTGGCAACAGCAAGAGCAAGATATATGGTGCTGACACCAAAGCTGGTTCCCGCTTCGACGATATTGGTGGCTCCCATGGAGTTGATCAACTGATAGGTGAACTGGCATTTATCCTCGTCCAGAGCGATGAACTTGTCGAGCATGAGGCGGTCAAATTCCTCTTTCGGGTCGGTAGCGGGTTGCTGATCTTTCAGATCGCCCAGAACATCTGCTGAGAAAACCTTTCCTTTCTTTGAAATGAGGGCTTCCTGCTCCAAGGATTTCTGATGAAGTTCCTTAAGGAGTTGCAGTACATGCTGTGGGGCATCGACGGGGGAGGGGCCCAGCATCTTGTCTCATTTGCGCTGATGCTGGAATATGGGGAAGTTTCGTTGTTTGTAGATCTGGTGGATGGTATTGAGCGACCAAATGGTATAAAATAAGAAAGACTTCAACCCTAAGCTTTATAGTTTCCATCAGGAGGTCGAGGGGTGTATCTGGTCTTGGCATTTGGGGGAATTCGAACCAAGGCTGAGTCATCGCCCAGGTGGGGAATCGCGGTTATAACTTTACCCGTCTCTGTTTCATATGCTTCGTACATGAGGAAGCTGTTTGTGATTTTTTATCTCCAGGGAGAAGAAGTCCCCGAACACCACATGATCCATTACCTCGACTTGTTCATTCTATCAAGCATCAGACCGGTTGCATTTGCCCTTCCGGGGCCGTTACCACTGTATTAGAAGCATTACAAACCAGGTGAAACTTCTCATCCCATACCTGACAAGGATGCGAATGGGGAGTCGAACATAAATACCAACAACCGTGGGACGTCAGCGAAAATCGCCTACCTTCAAAGTCATTAGAAAATTGCCTACAAGTTTGTGCACGGTTACATTATCCGTGAAAAATAGCCCCCTCAGCCTTGCGCCAGCGGTGTTTATAGTTCCTGTGTCGGCGGTTAGTGACAGAAATGACATGTATGTAACTCATCTCGAAAGTATACCCCAAGATATTCACCACCATGAAATACATCAGCCTTATCCTCTCTCTGACCGGTCTTTCCATGGCAAAGCTGCCAAAGGGTGTGTAAATCGATAAACAAACACAATCACACACTCAACCAATATACTAACCCACCCATCGCAGTCTTCGGTAACATCACTGTATCCAGTCAGCTCGACATCGACACTCAAGGAGCGACCGACTGCACCGTCATCAACGGGGATCTCGAAATCACGTCCGACTTCCCCGGCTACCTCGATCTCAATGTTATCGCCGTCACCGGGAACGTGATCGGAAGAAACCTGAACTCCGTCTCGGCGTTCTCGATTCCTGCGATGACGGCCGTCGGCGGGAATCTGGAATTGATGGGTAGTTTTTATACGTATTTTCTCCCTTATTTTCAGATAATGCTAAGGTATTAGATATGCGTGTATGGAATTACTAGTTGAGTTTGGTATCTACAGTCCCTCTTTCCCCTCGCTGCAGAGCGTCAATGGGGACTTCAAGGTCCTTTCGACCAACCCGATTTGGTGCCCGAATTTTGATGATCTGGTGGCAGGCGTGCGTGGCACGTTTGAGTGTCGCGAGGCGAAGGATGTTTCTCCTGCTGAGGTCGGTATTAGAGTCGCTCTGGTATTGATGGAGTTGACTAGCTGGTTGCTGTCGTGTTGCGTTCGGTTCTATTTTCTTGCTGAGTTCTGTGGGGAAACTTCTCTGCATGTAGATTATTGTAGCAGAGAGGTAATCCTATCTTGATATGCAAACCTCGTGTACTTCGATCTTTCTATATGCTCATCTTTTCCCTCGCTCCACATCCCCAGTATAAAACTTAATTTTTCATTAACCCTATGTTTAGTGATTACTTTAGGCTGCTTAAGCTGTACCTAGGGCGTGCTTTGGTCTATTTATTGAGTAGAAAGCGGCGAGGGGTGAGCATTAAAAAAGATAGGGAAAACCATCGGCATGGCTAGAAAGTTTAATACATATGCATAGGAAACTATAGGTATCATGGACAATTGAAGAGTGAGCCAGGTGCAGAGACATTTCTTTCCCAAAGATATTCCCGTATCCAGTGTCTCAAGCAGCAGCCACCCTCGTCGCAACATCATGAATCACATCAGCGACCGCTTGCGACTGACCCAGCATTGCACAGTGTCCTCCGTCAACCTCGTACTTGCGTACAACGCCTTCCCCAGGGGAATCAGCCATCCTTTTTTGCGCAACAGCCTGGAAAACTGCATCCCTGGTACATATGATATAACTAGTGGATACATCCCGGTAGGCCTCATAGGTTAACGGGGTGCGCATTGACTCTGGCGCATGGGGTATCAACGCAGCAAGGTGCTTGGCAGCAGTTTCATCTCCGAGATCGCTGTAGAAAGTCTCTCTCGGATTTTTGGGTTGCATCATGTCTCCCTAGACCATGTATTAGTATTTACATGGCTAGGGAAGGAACCATAATCAAGAACTGGGATCCATTAATTGAACTTACTACCAATGTCATGAGAGGGTCCAAACCTCCAGGCACAATAGTCTCGACGCTTGCTCCCGCAGGAATGAGGAATGCAGCTAGATATACAAGACCCACAACGCCGCCCTTCTTGCCCTGCGCGACGAGGTCTTTACGGGCATGACCTTTGACGCTCTCGGTGCCCGGAACCCCGGCATATGAGTGCAGGACCAGAATGACTTCTTTTCCTTGAGACACGAGCTCATCTAGATACGATTTTTGAATGTATTCAGCGTCATCATGGACAGTCGTTGATGCAGGCCCACCAGCTGATAGTAATGTTATGGTCTTTGCTTGGTATCCTTGTTGTCGAAGGATGGTGGCGACAGGCTCAAAGGCGCTTCCTTGATGATAAGCACCCGGAATGAGCAGAATGGTTGGTTTCTCTCTATTTTCCATCATAGTAAAGCTGTGCTCTGGTCAATAAATCGATCTTCGGGGATCGCAAGGTCATAAATATATGTCCGTTTGAGTGGTGGGGACAAGCGGGGTTCGGAGATCAGCAAAATATCGATTCGGATTTGAGCCTGATTCCCTTCCGGGCATCTGATTGCTGTGATTTTGGGGGCCAAACTTGTCAATAATAGAAACCCTGTGGAGACGATTTAGTCGAATAGCTGATCGTACCCGCGCATTAGAATCAGGCCATCCCATCTACACTGTAGGGTTACCCGAATTCTCATGACATCGCCAAATGAAACACCCGAAAAATCAAATAAGTCTGCCAGATTTGTTTTGGTACAACACCAAATTCTTCTCACCCCAGCTCAAGAAATGAAGTGGATTGATTGGACAGGTCAGGGCGATCAGCGCGCAATGCCCCCTCGTTTCAGCCTCGGCGGCTAACTTTCCCTTGCTCCGTCGTCTTGCGATGATAAGGTCCCTAGAATGTGGAAAATGAAATATTAGAAGGCTCATCCGCTTGTTTACAGAATATTTTCACAGAGTCAGCCAATTTTTGTCTGTGAAATACAGGAAGCAATACTTGTCTTGTCCTCATCCGAAGCGGCCTAGCATTGACGGCAACCCGTGTATCTGATTTTATTAGCAATTAGAGGACAAAAACGCGCCGTATCTACCGATACTACTATCGATATAACAGGTCCTGTTGTCAGAAGGCGACTCTCTTACCCAGTCATTCAGAATCCTTCTGATGCAGCACAACTGGGCGGACTGACTACACAAGGAGGGACCTGTGATTTGATTCCGACCAACAATCAAGACCATTCCAAATCTCAGTCTCGGGAAAATCGATGCACAGAAGCCCTTTACCCTTCCCGGTCGAATTCCTCAAATAGCACATACACTATCGGCTCAATGTTGTCATAGCTTTGATGCCGGACCAGCAAGACGGTCTATCGTCTGCAACATCTGGTGCGAGAGACATGCTGCACACATTTCCAAGTGTCCGAATTGGGCTGATGGTCGGCATCGCTGGTGGTGTGCCAAGTGAAAGTAATGATATTCGTCTGGGTGACATCGTGGTAAGCGCAAGGCATGATGCAAAGGGTGGTGTTTTCCAGTGCGAAATCGGCAAGCGCATACAAGGCAAGGGCTTTCAGCCAACAGGGTTTCTAAATCAGTCGCCAACTCTTCCACGGAATGGGGTGAATGGCCTCCGTGCAGATTTTGAAAGAAAAGGAAACCGTTTCCAACAGGTGATAAATGGAATACTTGCGCGCAATCCAAGACTGTGGGAGAAATATCATCGACCGGAGTCAAATACGGACAAGCTTTTCAAGTCCGATATTATTCACAAAACAAGCTGTTCAAATGTATGCAACAACAATTTACCGTCACTGGTATAGTGAGCTGAGCGTGCCGACGAAGATAACCCGGTGATCCACCCCGGATTGATAGCCTCTGGAAACCAAGTTGTACAAGATGCTACTACCCGAGACGCATGGAGTACGTCTAGAAGTATTTTGTGTGTGGAGACCAACGCATCAGGACTTATGAACCATTTCCCCTGTCTCGTCATTTGTGGAATATGCAATTATGCTGATACGCACAGCAACAAGCAGTGGCATGGATACGCGGCAATGGTAGCGGCAGCTTATGCAAAGAGTCTTCTTTACAGAATAGGCCTGCGCAAATAGTTTTCTCAAGTGATTATATTGACCGATTACTATTCGTGGATAGCTGCGAAGAAAGATGATCCCATATTCAAACTACCCTGCTGCGCTTTCCCCCCATTGACCACAAGAATTGCTTTATGTATATGTCTTTCCCTCGTCACATACTCGTTCAAACACCTCATTTGTATGCTGGATCACCTTCTCAACCGCTCCCTGTTCCCTTGTTTTCTCCAATTTCCTGTTCGCAGGGAATACTTCGCCATTCCAACTCACCCAGTAACTACCACTCCCCATGATCCCATCGCTACCGACTGCCACATCATCAGTCCCTTTCACCGTCTTTCCCTCAGCATTTGATGAAAACTTTGGACTGGTGGCAGCAAATAAATGCCTTTCTCCGCTCTCTTTAATCGGCACCATGAAAGGCCAGAAAAATGGTCTCAACACCGCGGCCAATGCCCGTCCGCCTGTCAATTCGCGGAAAATGCCAGTATCCACGCCGGACGGGTACGCGTGCACAAACGACGTATGCACATGCTGCTGCGCCATGCCCTCTAGGAAGAAATTTCCCATAAGGCTAGCATGTGCGCCGCACCTCTGTAAAGTGAAAGTCTTTGTCAAACTCAGATCCGAGTAATCGAGCGCACCAGAACCACCGAGACGAACGGCAACATGCGGATCTAGTACGGAGACAACACGCGACAGTTGTGCACAGGCAGTGTCCTGATCACTCGTCCCGACCGAGGGCGTAGCAGCAGCTTCCAACAGTGGCATCAATTGCATGACGAAACGCATGCGGGCGTAATAATGCAGGGCGAACTTGCGGTCCAGGCCTTCCGCCGTCTCGTCACGGCCTTTCAGCGTCATGTACCCCGGTGTCATGAAGAGAAGGTTGACCTTTCGTTCGGACGCAGCTATCTGGGCGCAGACGCGATCAACATTCTTGAGCAGAGAAATGTCTGACTGTAGGAATGTCGTTTTGGCGGAAGGGTTAATGCTTCTTATGGAGGTTATGGCGTCGTCTGCAGCTGACTGGCTACGGCCTATGAGGTAGATCTTCGGCGACAGGCTATACCGGGCGAAAGCGAGTGCTGTAGACAAAGAGATTCCGGAGGTGCCTCCCACTGTTACAGTATACATGAGCGTCCATCGATTTGGGGCAAATTGAGAAAGCGTTACCAAATACCCCGACTAGACCCGCTCCCAGGGACTTGAGGGTTGCGTTGTGAGCTTGGACTATTTTCAAGCTCACCATCGTTATTTCGGTTCTCGGTTGATTGTTATTAGAATTGATAGCAGAATAGAGATTAGGAGACGGAGAAGCTCAAGGGTTTCCTCGCTGCGGTGAATGCTCTTTTAGCTTGCGGTGGCTGACGTGAGCCACCCACTAGGTAGTGTACAGTACAGCACGTGGATCCAAGAGACAGAACAAAGGAAAGTTGTAATGTGTCATAATTTTTACCAATGTTACAACTTACATGGTAATGCAATAGACATTTTTCAGCTGTTTGATAAGTACAGAGTTATATTGAAGATAAATATTTGAAAAACTTCGCCGGTTTTGCCAGAGGCCCAGCTACACGCTTAGGCTCGAAGAAAACTAGCTCAAACTAAAGATAACTCTTGTGACGTTCTGAGCATGCAGCAACGCGCTACCCTAGGGTGTTTGCATAGTTTGCACTGTTTGGTTCGTTTGTCTTATATAGTGGGTTTGTTTACTGCTTCATGCAGTAAATCGCTGTTTTCTTCTTCTTCTTTCCTCAACCTAGTGTTTCGTAACTAGCCTACAATAAAGAATATTTCTTCGTTACTGAGGTTATCACAAAACAGAACTAACGATTCTGCCCAGAAGCTTGCATTATCATATCTGAACTACTTTTCTATTAAGCAATAGGCTCTGCGGTTAACCTGGCGAGGGGCTGGCTAGTCAAGCTTGCCTCGCCCTGTCTCGGTGTCTCATCTCATCCCTGGTTCCCGAGTGTAAGGTGCAGGAATAAACTACGGATCCAATCACCGTACTACATTATTGCAAGGACGGGGTCCTTGCACTAAGTAAACCAACGTTGCATGCCGCTGTTATCGAGCATTAGGGGAGGTCTTAATGGTCTGACGCCAAGTCAGCTCACACGGGATCCTTACTTTGTTGATGCATTCAGGCGATTGGTATATATGAACTGAGGCTCATTCCTTTGTATATGTGGCTGCTTTATAGTCAGCGTCCTCGGATTTTTTCCAGTGAAATTTGCCAGGCTTCGCTCAGCTGCAATTAGATAAACCTTTTTTACGAGGCAAAGTTGCCCCGTTGGTAGCCAAGAACTTTCATATTGACTGCGAATGCAACCTACCAAATATAGGACTCCACTGCTAATCCTCATGTAACCATCTCGAATAGACAGAGCCTCAACTCATGCATTTGACAAGATGGAATTCAAATTATACGTTTGAAACCAGCTCATCTGAAGGCAAATTACCTTAGCGACATTGACGTAACTCTTTCTTGAGCTCCACATCTTGATCCCTATAATGACATTTCATCCAGGTTGATTACGGCAATGAGAAGTCCAACAAGCCCTCCGATGCCATTTGGGTCGTCGACGCCAACAACGGTGACATCAATTCCGGCTATGGCGGAGAGTACGTTATAAATTTTAATCTTCATTAAACTTTCCAGTGATCCCTGTACTGATTGTTGAAGATTCGTATGGCTCGTCCCCAAGTGGACTTCGCAGCGTGACAACTCCGTCACCAGCGTCCGCATCATCATCCAGGGAGACGCCGACGGTAACTTCAAAGATCTTGCCAAAGGAGCCGGCGGCAAATACCGATACCTCCGTCTGGCGTCTGGAGCGGAGCGGCAATGAGAAAATCACTGATATCCGTATTCTTCGTCGCGACCACGAAGTCAACTACGATACTGTCAGGTCCTTGGGCTTTGAGGGCATCAGCACCGATATCAACGATGGACGAGGCAAAAGCTTCCTTTACTTGGTCTGGAAGAGCGAGTAGGTGGGAGTGGGAGGTTTCTAGGTAGCCAAATGCTTGCCGGGCTGAGCCAATGTTCTTTTCGGTGTTACTTTGGGCTTCTTGATGTTTCTTGTTTTACAGACTGATCTTAATGTGCTGTTCTTTCAAACTGGGGATTTATTGTCCGAGAGGTTCTCGCATCAGTTCATCTTCCACATTGTAGTAGAGTCTTTCTTTGGTCTATAACACTGGCTAAGATGCGCAGACTGGGAATGATTCCATTCGCGCCTGATGATCCATCTATCATCATCTATATACAGCCCCGTGACCTATCTAATTATCGAAGTATCTCTATTTCCCAGTCTCGACCATAACATCATATCTCCCTTTAGCCAACGCGTATACAGTCTCCAACTTCGGCATTTCCACCCCCATTCTTCGCCCCAACCGCACTGCATTACCCACAATCGCCTCTACCTCAAACGGTCTTCCCATTCTCACATCCTGCAACATACTCAATGCTCTCCCCGTTCCTAGTTCTGCCCGTTTCTTCGAGATAGCAAACAACTTCTCCGCCTCTTCTTCATTCACCCCTGTCACACCAACCTTTCTCGCCAACGCCACCACTTCCATCATAACACCCCACACTAGGTCTTTCGCAAACGGCGAAGTGACTAAAAACCCACCATCCGTGCACATGGATAGGGCACCAGTTGGATTACACGCCGCATTTAGCATGAGCTTCTTCCACCTTGCTTGCTGAATATCCTCGAACACACTGGCCTCGCCTCCTCCGGCCCGCATGGTCTCCGCAAGCTTCGTGGCAGCATCGATGTGACCCTGCGGTGCGGTGGCGGGATACGTGCCCAGTTCAATCCTATTCAACGGTTCCGGGTGTTGAATGACCCCCGGCTCGGTCTGTGTAGCCGGGAGGTAGATAGCCCCGCTAATGAGCGGATTGTCGGGGTAGGCAGCAGCAATGGGTGCTTCGATATCAATGCCGTTTTGCGCCAGCACAATGGCCGTGGTGGAGCGAGACGGGTTTGTCAGCGCGGGGCGGAGCTGCTCCGCGAGGGAGGGTGTGCTGTCAGGGAAGCATTTCGCTGTGACGATGATGTAGTCGTAGGTTTTGTCGCGGGGAAGGTCGTTGACGCTCCGGTAGACGTGATCTGGTCGGTAGGTGACTGTGCCGAAGAGTGCGCTGGTCAGGGTGAAGCCGGATGTGCGCACAGCGTCGTGGTTGGAGCGGCAGATGGCGGTTACGGTACAGCCAGCGCGTTGCAGTTGGTGCAGGTAAATGGCACCGACACTGCCGACGCCATAGAGGAGGATGTTTAGCGGCATGGTTGGGCGGTGTTTAGTGTGATACAATGTGTATTAGGGTAGGGACAGGGAGCGTGGTTATTTATCTTACTTTGGGGGTAGCTTATTTGTTCGTTAGTTCAATCAATGGTCTACTTCTGTGATTGCCCTCTAATTGGTCGATATACAGTTGGAGATAAAAATGACTCATCAGATCACTATCTGTTTGTCACCAAGGCTGCAGAGAAGACTAGCTTTGCCTACCTATATATCATCTTATTCAAGCTTAGATTTAGGCTAGTTTGGAGGTCTTATTACGAGGTTAGTCCCATCGTTGAATCCATACCAAAGAATGTTTCTTAAAGTTTGGTTTGAGGGTCTTCGGGAACTGATCCCGCAACGGCTTCACCACCCGAATATAGAATCAGTTGCAAAATGTCAAAGAATGGAAGAAACAGAGAATTCTGAAAGGCTGAAGTCCACTATTGGCTCTTCCAGTATTTATAATCAATAGAAACATATTGGGATTGGTTTCAATACCATCATAGTCCACAAAACAACCTGACTAGCAAATCCCTACTACTTCAGCTCAAGCTGGAATTTTCGGCCCATCCCCAATGTCCTCATTATTTTGCTCTCCCTCTTTCAAAATTTCGTTTTTTTCACGAGTTTGACGCTCTAGACGGCTCTCGCTTGCAGGATCCAAGTAAGCTATTATTAATTAGTTCAAGCGAGATTTCATCATGTCATCAGTCAATAGTCGACTTACGCTTCTCCCCAAACACTGTTGTCCGTATTCCCCGTCTAGCTCCTTTATACGTACCGGGGATCACTCTGTGAAGACTGCATCTACACAAGTTGTGCCACATTAGCTGTTTTCTTGGCACCGTTATCAAAAACAACATACCTATTATCCCACATCGCGACACTTCCAATCGCCCATTTCCATCGAACATAGTGATCGTCAGCGGCGTGGATATGATATGACAGAAAGTCCAATAGCTTGTCTAATCAATGTCAACACCATCCATTTTGGTAATAATGCCATAAATGCCTACCTGACTCGAGCTTCTTCAGTTCAGCAAATCCCGTCACGAAACCGGGGTTGACATTTAGGGCTTTCAGTCCCGTGACTGGGTGGGTGCGGACCGCAGGGTGATGCGTGTCAATTGGGGGGCGGTTGGGTCCCACGCCCCAGAGGTCCAGAATAGTGTCATCTTTGATGATTTAGTATTTCTTCCCTCCAGAGAGTCTGAAACGGAAAACTGACATTGCAGTCTAGATGTGTGTACGGCGTGCAGGCCGTCAAGGAATCTTCTGTACGCTGTGCTAAGAGCGTCATAGAGTCCGTATTGGGATACCCACGCGGTATCTCCGCCTACATCAGGATGTTCTTCCATCCGAAGAAGAGAGTATGATGGCGCTATCTGACATAAGTAGATTTCGAAATTGCGAGAATGGCCGAACTTACGATTCACTTCGAAAGATGTATCTGCGTGGAACTCGCCGCTCGGCTTCGCGGATTAGACGGTACTCATCGCTGCTATCGATGATGGGACTCACCCATGGAGTATAGTTTGCAATCTCTCGGTGATCCTCTCGACTACCATGGATGTTCACGAACTGCTTTGGTCAATTATGTGTCCCCTAATCTACCTTGGAAATGAATTACTTTCTGGTCCTGTCTCGTTGTTAGATATGACCTGGAAAAGGAATGGCGATTGATACCTTCTGCGCAGGATGTTTATCCAATACCCCTTTGTCCTTCCATTAGCTCCACCATATTGTTCAAAGAAGTATCTCACCGTAGTGCTCAAACAGCTCGACCTGCTTCTCTGTTGTCAGGTCCTGATCCCGGAAAAACACCACTCCACGCTCATTCACAAGCAAAGCTAGTTCATCTAGTTGTTGCCCGCTCAGTTGCGACAGCTGCACATTTTCAAGTACAGTGCCAATTGATTCAGTTAGATCTACGTGTTTCGCGATAGAAAACAAAGCCTTCTTTTTCTTGTCGGCAAGAAAGGCCCGATCCTTCGGCGGGGTGAACGGGTCGCGAATGGGGTCAGGAGGGACATGGTCTCTGATCTTGGCGTTGAACTTAGGATGAAGTGTTACTGGAAAACCCGAATCTGGAGAAATATGTTTGCGAGATTCCAAGTGGGCCATGATGTTGTCGATGTCGCTCTTCGGGGAACTATGTTGGGTCGCATGGCTCATCTCGGGCCTAGGAGGACGAATTTATAACCCGCAATATTTACAAACGTTATGGCACAATGAAAGATTCAATGGAGTGAATCGCTATGTTCTAGACCCAAGTCATTTAATTATGGTCAGAGTGTCAGCTACTACTAAGCAGGTACCTTATCAGCCGGAAATGCCAATATCGACGATCAATGGTACAATACTCGCTTATGAATGGTACAGTATTGATGGCGTTAGCAGGACCAACCATTTAACATGACACATGCACAACATTGGTTTAATAAAACATCGTGGTTGGCTAAGGCTGCAAATTGTATATATTAAGTTGTTATGATACCATCAGCCCAAACCACATAGGGAAGGTGGCTTTCAGAATGACACCATCATTCTCGGCAATCACTCCATCCCACCCGAGAACAAATTGACATTTCTATGAAGCAGGTGTATGCTGCTTGGCATAACGCCAATTTGTTCGCTAAAATGTTTGTCTCTTTCTTTGGAACGGGGATTCTGTCATAGTGGAGGCAATGCCGGACATGTGCCGAACATGATGTCCCGATTGAATCCCTTACTTCTAAAAAGTAACGGGGGCATATAAATATTCATTTTTCGATTCCAAATTCACTCAGGATACACGACACTACGTGCTTTCCGATATGGATCAATCAAAAGAGCTCAGCACTAATACCCATGAGTTATCGGCGGAGGTGCCCACGCACGAAGGGCCATGGATCCGATTCTTGACTTTCGTGCGATGGTATCCAACTGATATGACTTATTTGGAAAAACGATTGGTGATGAAACTCGACCTTCTAATCTTAACATTTGGATGTTTGTCTTTCTTCACAAAGTATCTTGATCAACAGGCCATCACCAACGCTTATGTGTCGTATGTCGCATTCTTTCTCCATGCCGGATTATCACTGATGGATAACGCAGTGGAATGAAAGAGGATCTCGGACTCCAGGGAAATGAAATCAATTATATCACCACCGCATTCTGGGTAGCGTACTGCGTATCCATGATTCCGGCATGCTATTTCCTTACTCGGAGTCCGATCAATATTATTCTGCCAACGCTCGAGGCAGGATGGGGACTGTTTACTTTTGGCTGCGCGTGGGCTCAAAACCTAACGACAATCTACGCAATGAGAGTCCTTATCGGTATTTGCGAGTCCTGCTCCTTTACTGGTGTTATATACGTGATTGGATCGTGGTACAAACCTCAGGAGATTGGGAGACGGGTCTCCTTGTTCTTCATCGCCTCACCCCTGGGGACTATGTTCGCTGGGTATCTACAAGCGGCGGCGTATACTAATTTAAACAACACGCATGGCTTAGCTGGGTGGAGGTGCGTTTTGAAATCAACATCTTGAATGAACAGGACTCATTTGACTTTTCTAGATGGCTATTTATTGTTTGCACCGTTATCACCATACCCATATGCATTCTGTATGTCTTCGACTAAGTTCTTTGGCTTTATCTATATACTAACCAAAGCAGAGGTTATGTCGCCTTCCTCGATGTTCCTCACCGCGCAAAACCACGCTTCCTCACAGAGAAAGAGCACGAGCTAGCCAATTCTCGTCTCGTTGGTCTTACAGCTCCCAGTCAACTTACTGTTTCAGTCGATCTTTTCAAAAGAGTACTCGGTCGCTGGCACTGGTATGTATTTGTTGCGCAGTGGATTCTAGTCGACCAAAATTTTCTCGCTTCGTCGACTCCATTCAACCTTTATCTGAAAGCTAAGCCGGAGATCTATTCCGTCTCGAGGGTGAACACTTTACCGACTATCGCGACGGCCGTTTCAATTGTCGCTGCTTTAATCGCCGGTACTGTTGCCGACAAGACGAGAAACATTTGGCTCCTTTGTATTGTTGTCTCGCTGCCGGTGATGTTGGGTCTAATCTTGCTGGTTGTCTGGGATGTTGGGGAAGCTGGGCGCCTTGCGGGTTTTATTCTCACTGGTGCCGAGGGTGGTAAGTTCTCCTTTCTCCTATCATTTCAAGATGCTATCTGACGCCAATCTCTATAGCAATGAGTCCACTTACTATGAGCTGGGCGACCCTAACCATGGCCAATGATGCCGAGGAACGCGCCATTGTAACGGCTAGTATGAACGCAATCGGTCAGGCCATGTCTGCTTGGACGCAGCTACTTCAGTATCCTGCAGTAGAGGCACCGAACTTTCGCAGGGGATTTATTTCGAATTTAGCGACGACCGTGGCGCAATTGGGTGTAGTGGCGGTTATCGCAGTACTTACTCGGCATGATCGACGGCACAAGGGAAGGCAGGTGTTTGAGACTAGCTAGCGCAGTCACCCTCTCACTAATATTGATTAACTTTAGGTTCTCCTCGGGGTTGCTTTTATCAGGTCCTGATAACTATGTAAAATAGATGTATCATATTTTATTTACTTTAGCTGTGTGCGCGGTAAGAGTTTTTTTTTAGGAGCAATTAATTTTTTAGTATGGCCAGTATAGTCCGCCCTAATTCTGTGCCTTAAGACGTGTCCCCGGATAGCGTCCGACAGCAAAGCTCATTCTAGCGCGGATCACGTCAACAACGCATCCCCAATGAGAGTTCAGATCAATGTCTCCTCTCCGGAGTTTAGAGTAGCTTCCTCTTACTATGTTGAGGTTGAATCATGTCGACAGGGTGGGGTAGCTTTGCGCAAGGGTTTCCTATAAATTGCTGATGCGTTGTTGCGGGCGCTCTAAACAACGACGAATCTCCAAACATTTCATCGATTAATATCTTATCCTACATTCCGGCTCCCAGTAATAAACAATGGGCCCTCGATATCGTCGTGTCGCTGTTATTGGAACCGGCCCCTCCGGTCTCTCCGCCGTCAAGGCTCTCAGCGACGAGAATGTGTTCGACACAATCCGCGTTTTTGAACGGCGAGATCAGGTCGGTGGACTATGGCACTACGATCCTACACCTGATCCATTCCCAAGTCCAACCGCATCTCTACCCATTCGCAATGAGATTCCCTCCAAATTACCTCAATTCACGCCCCCTGTGTCTGAAGACACTACCGCCCGTACAGCTATCTACGACACCCTAGACAGCAATGTCGGCGCAGCCGCAATGGCCTTTACGCACACCTCCTTCCCGCCCGTCAATTCAGCCCTCTCTATCAAACAATTCGGCCATAACAACCCTTCGAGGCCCTTCCGTGTAGTCGCAGGGTACCTAGAGGATCTTTTCCGCGAGTATCTACCACTTGTATCTTTCAACACGACCGTCGAGCGGGTCGAGAAACAAGGATCTAAATGGGCCGTCACGCTGCGCAAATCAGACCAGTTGTATCGGGGCGTGCCGCGCGATTACTGGTGGCAGGAGCATTTTGACGCCGTGGTTGTCGCATCGGGTCATTACAACGTCCCCTTGATCCCAGATATCCCGGGCCTCGATGTCGCCTTTAAGGTGCACCCCGGCAACTTCGAACACTCGAAGGCGTTCCGTTCGCAGAATGACTACGTCGAGAAGAAAGTCGTCGTGGTAGGCGGGAATATCTCGTCCGCTGATATCGTGGCGGATCTGCATCGCGTCGTGAAGGGACCGCTTTATCTATCCCAGCGAGGCTATAACGAGGCGCTGGAATCCGTTTGGAAGATTCCCGGGGTCGAGCAAAAGTCCACGATCTCGGGCATCGAGACCACAGCGTCCGGGATTACCGTGAAATTCTCCGATGGCTCCACCGTCCCCGACGTGGACAAGATCATCTTCGCGACCGGGTACAAACTCTCGTACCCGTTCTTGACGCCAGACCCTGTGACGCCGAATAACCGCGTCGCGGGCTTCTACAAGCATGTCTTCAAGATCGGAGACCCCTCGCTCGCACTAGTCGGCCAGGTCCGCGCGGCTATCAGTTTCCGAGTATACGAGTACCAAGCCGTCGCGGTGGCGCGGTACTTCGCCGGCACAAACGCCAAGACACTACCGAGTGAGAAGGAACAGGACCTGTGGGAGCTGGAGCATTTGAAGTATAAAGGTCCGACGGCATTGTTCCATGAGATCAAGCCGGATTTCAAAGACTATTTTGACTTCCTGCGTGATTTGGCTGGCCCGCCGGCAGAGGGAAGCAAGGGGTATGATCTGCTTCCGTGGGATGATTCGTGGGCTGAAAAGGGATTCGCCATCTTGCAGCATAAGGATGCTTATTGGAAGTCGTTAGCAAGGGATGCGGAGTTGTCAGCAAAGGTGAGGGCGAGGTTGTAAAATTGTCATGTTAATATGGAATAGCGTATTAGTAACAAGAAATGTGAAGATATGGGTTTGGTGCGATCCAGATTATAAATTTACAACGTTTGCCCTGGAGAACACTGATCGAAGATTTGATCGATTTAATAATATTCTCCTAGTCTCTCTGTTCTTAAGTTGAATACACACTAGAATATACCACCAGCCCTTGGAATGCGTGTGTCATAGTCGCAAGGTTCCTGAGGCGTCACCTTAAATAAGATAGGTCGACAGATACACTCCAAAATGAGAGCTTCTGAAGATCAAACTCTCCTAAGCCTAGCAACTTAGTTAACATATATGCCTGTACAACATCCCACTAGGTTCTAAGCACGTCGCCTCGGCCGAGCCAAGAGAGCCACTCAGCAGCTTAAAAGAATGCCTAGACTCAGAAAATCAATTCTCTTATCGCAGGCAGGAACTGACGTCACTGGTTTGAATTCTCTAGCCAAATAGGCTACGATGTTTGTATGTGGATGTTCCCGTTAAGTCGGGAGTTCTGGCCAGATGATCGAATTATATCCTGGGAATTGCGCCAAACTATCGTATACCTACATCCATTTGCTTAGGAGTGAGTGATTTGCCAGAACCTCCGATTTAATGTGGTATCGACTAATCCTACTTGGTACTGAGTTGATTAGGGGACCGTGGAGGGGATAACTAGTCTGTATCACCTTCACTGCTGCCCAATTCTCTTGTAGGAACTCAGGACATGGCCTCTCTGTGATACTTTACCTATGCAGGATTGACTCAGCCATGACTCTGTGCAACGTTCAGGCTCTGAGCGCAGGTCTCCAGGTTGCATTTTACCCCTCCGTTTATGTCTACCTGTTCATGTCACATTTTTGATCTTTGACCCCATGGTTGGTGGGCAGGTGATTGACCTGAGACATTCCCTACTAGGATGCACAACCATTATCAATGTTCATTCGGATTCCCAGGCGTCGCTATGGTCGATTGGTGGTTGTCGCAACACTTTTGATCATATTCTCCTTGCTATTCCCAAGAACCGAAACTCAACCTGACATCCACGAGCTGAGTGAGAGATATCCTCTTCTATGGCATCACGTTCACTCATCTAATGGGACAGGGGGGTAAGTCTCAATGTAGCCTAATCTTATCATGAGCAGAAAAGCTAACAATATACAAATCAAGCGTGGTACGTCCCACCACACTGGATCCAACCTACGTCGCCACCTCCTTCCACGATCGTTGACGCTGCGCGCCTTGCCTCCCAATATGCAATCTCGAATAACGACACTATACGCTCTCGGAAATTCCGCTACTCGTGCATCAGCAATGGTCGGATATCAATATCACACACTGGCCGGACAGCATCCGTCAAGGCGCAGAGACCTGGCTGAAAACAGCTATATCGGACAATATGGCATACTTTCTCTGGGTTGATGAAGGAAAGCAGTTGCTCTTGGATACATATGAGCCTTCCTTCATCGGTAATTTTCACTCCCTGCCAAGGGATATAGAGCGCAGCGACGTCTTTCGGGTCCTGGCTATTAAGTGGTTTGGTGGCATCGTATGTTCCCGTTTCTCATTTGCTACTCATCATCTAACTCAAGTCATGCGATGAACAATATGCAGATATTGACACACATCTCCTCCGTCGCCCAATTTCATGGCTAGAGCCATCAGACCTTACCCCCTGGGTTGAACCATCCACAAACAAGACCCACCCTTCTCTTTTCGATAGTGACAAACACAACCCAATCCGTGCCATATTCGGCCTCGAAGCAGACTGCAACCCGAACGAACACCTACTGGCGAAGCGGCTACTACTTTCCTGTTCAGTTAACGCAGTGGGCATTCGCCGCTGCACCAGATCATCCCGTCCTCTCGCTCTTCGCGAATCAAACATCAGAGGTGCTGCGTGCCGTGTCAGTCCGGCATCAAGGAAATCTAAATTCTCCTGCAGCAAAACAGGAGCTGATGGCGTTTGATCCATTGGTTCTGACGGGGCCCGCGGCAATTACGGGGACCGTTAAGAATTGGTTGGAACAGACAGAAGGTGTAGATTGGAACTCTTTGACTGGACTGATAGATGGAGGTAGGAGCAAGAGAGTCGGGGATGTGGTGGTGCTGCCCATCACGTTTAGGTGAGCGACAAACGTCCATTCCTATCGTTTTACATATTCGTTTCTTCTATTTTGAACCGCACCAGGATTCAAAATGTATCACGGCTAATGATGTGAGTAATATTAGTCCAGGACCACCGAAACGACCCAATAAAGACAGGAAGCCGGTTACAGATCCTTCTGCGAGGTTGTCGCATGAGGCGCTGGGGAGCTGGAAAAAGTTTCATCTAATTGTGGAATATGGAAAGTTTTGTCGAACAGTGTTTGGAATGTGCAGGGATTGGAGTAGAGCATAATATCTCCTACAGTTAACAGGTAAAGGCGGTTCCTATCTTCATGTTATTGGACAGAGTTGACGGGTTAGGATACGGCCTAGTTTGGATCACATGTACTACTTCATGATAAGGACCATTTTCTAAACTTCAATGCCTTCCAGGCAGCTTGGATCACTAGGGATTACCTCCAGGCGCTTATCAATCAACCAACAGGGATGAATGACAAATTTCCGCCCAACGCCGGACAAGCGCCGAAACGGCTTCAACTTTCCGCATCGGGAAATCAGGGCTGGCGATCCCCCTGTAGCCCAGACCTATATTTAATCTGCCTTGCACGTTGGCCAATTCAAAGGGGAGGCAGTGCCAACACCTAATTTAGTGCTACCCCATTCTTTTCCAAAAACAGATCGCTTGTGGTGACGGGAGAATTGTGATGCAGGGATGTGACCGGGGTTAAAACATCGACTTATGCAAAGTCACTACGCCGCAGCTCTAGCGGCCCCCAGCCTCGCAACTTCGCATCTGTAGCACCTTCGCAGTAGGCATAAAGGTTGATCATGTTCCCCCTATTCCGAGCTGTGCATTTCTGTTCATTTCCTCCTTCCACATCTCTTATCATCTTACTCACATCATGTCTTCCGCAGCGCAAGATGCTGCCCTGCACCAATTGCAGTCAGAGCAGTCCAAGCTCCTTGATCGCATTGATGAGCTCCGCACAATTGGCGTTGGGGGCCTTGTGGAGCTCCCACAGCTGATCGTCTGTGGGAATCAGTCCAGCGGAAAGAGCTCGGTCCTTGAAGCTATCTCGCGCGTTCAGTTCCCAACCAAAACCAGCCTTTGCACTCGCATTGCAACAGAGGTCATTCTCCGACGTAGCGAGTCTATGAGCATCAAGGTATCAATCGAGCCCGGACCCTCAAGAACCGATGAAAAGAGAAAAAAGCACTTGCGATCTTTTTCCCCTGAATCGATTCCGGACAGCAACAACTTGGGGAAATTAATTGAGGAGGCTCAAGCGCACATGGGAGTCGATAGCTCTGAGGATTCAGAGGACTCAGGCTTCAGCGATGATGTGCTGCGAGTGGAGGTTTCAGGACCCGACAAACCCGAACTGACGCTCGTTGACCTCCCTGGGCTCTACTACTCCATCAGCAAGGACCAGGGTGCAGTAGGGCGAGACATTGTCCATGCTTTGACCGAGAGATACATGAAAAATACTCGAAGCATCATTCTCGCCGTCATCTCGTGCAAACAAGATTATCATCTGCAACAAGTCCTAAATATTGCTGAGCGATTCGATCCCCGCCGCGAACGCACTATGGGAATTATCACACACCCCGACAGTGCCTCTTCTGGCTCTGAAGAGGAGGAAATTTGGCTGAAGTTTGTCCGGAATGAAAAGATTCGCCTCCAATTGGGATGGCACGCACTACGGAACCGCGATTACGGCACGCGCGAATCTTCGCACAAGGAGAGAGACGATAAGGAAAAAGAGTTCTTCAGCAAAGGGAGGTGGTCGTCTATTCCTCGAGACTCTGTCGGCATCGACAGCTTACGCAGTCGTCTCAGCGATGTTCTTCTGAAACACATCCGTCGCAATTTGCCAGCACTCATTGCGGACATCAAAGAGAAGGTCGCGGAGCGTCAGCTAAACCTACGGAAGCTCGGTACTCCCCGTGCGACCATCCAAGAACAAAAGGGGTTCTTGCTTCACATCAGTAGCGCCTTCGAGCGAATCACCGGTCAAGCCCTCAATGGCATGTATGACGATGATTTCTTCGGTGGCTTTGATCCGGAATCGGATGAGCAGGATTTCCGACGTCTTCGCGCGATTATTCGCGGACGCAATGAGTACTTCGCAGAAGCTATGGAGGTCGCAGGATACCGTCGAGAGATTGTTTATTCCCACTCAAGGACCAAACGAGAAGATCTTTCGTCTAATCCTTACCTGCAGGACTGGAAGCCGACTTTGGTGGATCGAAAGACATTAGAGCTCGAAGTCAGTAAGCAGGCACGCAAGAATCGGGGACTTGAAATGCCCGGAAGCGCCAATCAGTTTCTTGTCGGTGATCTATTTCGCGATCAGTCCAAGCCATGGGAAGAGATTGCGAGAAGCCATTTGATGGCGACTTGGGAATCAGTTCGATACTTTGTTTCCCTCGTGCTAAAGCATCTGACCGACGAACACACATCTTCACTGGTTTTTAGGGATCTATTAGAGCCTGAACTAGAGAAGACTAGAGAGAGTCTGCTGGACAAGCTCGACGAATTGACTTTCTATCTCAAACGAGGTCATCCACTACCAGTCGGAAAGAGTTTCCTTGTCCGGATCCAGCAGGCGAGGAGAGATCGTGAGCTCCAGAGATTCAGATCAGCACTAGGAAAACCCATTGATCCAGCCACTGAGCTTGCTTTCAGTGAGCTCGAGGATGCCTTTGCGAACCTCAGAATTCGCGCCGACGAGCATGCAGCCGCTGAGATCATTGACGAGATGGAAGCTTACTATGAGGTGTGTCGGCATCTATCTCATTGGTCCTATCACAGTTCTAACATCTAACCCCTTCTTTAGACCGCTATCGTGACGTTCGTGGATAACGTAGCCACACTGGCGATTGAAAATTGTCTTCTTCGCCCTCTGGATCGAATACTCACCAGCCAGACGATCAATAATATGAAAGACGAGGAGGTCCAGCAATTTGCCGCCGAGCCTTCCCATATCCTGGAAGAGCGCGACCGTTTAAGTGGCGAGCTGGCGAAACTTCAAGCGGGTTTGCGGGCATTTGGTCCATTCAACATTCACCCTCCATCAATGCCGCCCTTTGGTAAGCCCTTCCTCTCTCTAATATGATGGATCGCGATCTAATAAGGCTACTCCCGTAGGCTCCAAGGCAAAATTGCCTTCTACTTCCTCAGACTCGATCTCTTCAGGTAATTAGCTCTCTGCCATGTAGCAATCCCATGTTAACACTCACTCTAGGCCAAGGGTCCTCCACTTCACCGAGGCCTTCATTTTCGTCGCAAAGTCCCACTGTGACATCATCAGGTGAGCTCTACATCCTATCTCTCCGCGCGGCACAAACTAACAAACCCTCAAGCCTCGGAGCCCTTGTCTGAGTCCGAAACTGCTCCTGGGCCCTTGTCCAGAAACTCGAAATGTGAGCAATCATGAACTTTGAGTCTATGCACTGCTGACAACTCTTCCAGTCTCTCAAGATAAATTCCAGCCATCCTTCTCGAGTACCTTCTCTAAACCCACCGCCACGCCTACTCCGTTCACGTTCAAGTCCATTGGAACCGGTCCTTTTAATGCAGCACTAAATCCGAGCACCAAAGGCTTCAACTCGTAGGGACAGCCAATTCTTCTTTCTCTTGCCGTTTCAAAATCTATTGCTCTATTGCGTCGGCCTCCGAAACAATTTTTGTGTTGATCTTTTCTCTATTTTTGTCAAGGCGATCAGCTTATGCTTCTTAATGTTCTAGTTCCGTATTCAGTTAGTTAACTATATGTTCATCAATTCTAGTGAGCTTTGCCATAAAGCGCTCGATGCAAAAACTAGACAGTGGAACTATTGGCGTCATATTTGCTGTAGAGCGCCCTTTGATGAGTATTCCCCTGAGGTGCGGCATTCCACGTCTATAGGTTCTGCCTTTGGCTTACCGTGTTCATTTGACATGTAGGAATTGAGGCTAGGCGATTATCAACGAATGAAACAATAAACCAACCCTGGATTGTGCTTTGCGAAAGTCGATCATGAGTATGGAAACGTGAAGTCAACAGCCCGAAACTACTGGAACACTCCCCAACTCCCTCATGAACAAAGTCGCTGTGATAAAACCGACCACTAGGTTGGTCACTTCGAGCTGGTGGTGGACATCGGAGGCGAAGCGTCAAGAGAAGATGACAAAAGGACTAGGTATCCCGATCTGGGGAGTGATGGTAGACTTGAGGATCATCGCATAAGAATATTCATCAAGCTCCAAGAATATGGATTTCAGAGAAAGCATAGCATATGCAGTTTGTTCGGCACGAATACACTAAGTTCCATTGACACATCTACTATCGACAGTGTCACATCCTAAGCACAAAAGACTTTACATACATTAACCATCACCTAGGCTTCTAAGCATCTGAGCGGTATCTTTCTAGTAGATACCCCATTTAATTGGTTGGTCTTTAATATTGCCGGTGCAATTCATCTCTCCCCTCGCTCCCACCTTGCTATCCCTACTGAACCTCTTGATAGAGTCTCTGATAATATCAATGGCATTCTGTCCACCGATGACGAAGTTCACGTTGCCATGAACCTTGGTAGCTTCCACACCAAAAGAACAAGACCCGAACGAGAGAATCTCTCGATGTCTCTTGCCAACCACCTGGTGGGTATAGTCGGTGCTGGCATCACCCTCGATATTCTTGATAATGGTAAGACAATCATCAATGCTAGGCGATGCGTCACTGGTTTGGTCCTCGAAAGTCGACTCACGACATGTGTTCTTGCCTGGCGGGATATCGCAGGGATAAAAGTAGTTGGAGCCCTTCTTGCCTATCTTCCAGGATTGAATTGCGCGTTCAGCGCTGCAGACGGGGATACGGATGAAACCCGGTGCCATGATGTCGGCATCTATCAAATTTTCCATGGTGACTTTGTCAATCGGTTCCCCAAAGCCGCCGCGATTCTCCTTGCCATTGTGAATCCACGTACGGACAGATCCCTTGACCAGGTCTTCTTTGGGGAGTGATTCCAGGCCCTGGGGCGTCGAGAATTTATTTCCTTTGTTCGGATACACGAGGTAGTAGCGTTTTTCTTCAAGGCAGACACCAGTGGCGTTCATTGTGTTGTCGTCGAGGTAATTGCTGAGCGGTCTATCTTCATCACACCCATAGCCCGAGTCAATGATGAATGTGTAAGTTTGAGAGACCTTCCAAAGCGCAGGAATTACAAAGCCGAAGAATTTCTTTTGAACATTGGGCCTTATTTCATTATGGGCATTACCGAACTGGGGCCCCCCTGTTTCGAATGCACCGTCGGCGAGCTTTCCGTTAGATATCGTGCTCCAAAGAGTCTCTAGCCCTTCTTCTGTTCCGCTGAACAACTCCGCGAGTGCATGAGAAGCAACATGGCCCCAGCCAAAGGTTACCTGACCCATATAATCCGAGAAGTTAGCCGGTGATAGTACCCACGAAGGTTTATCCCCGTCTAGCATGTCATGGGCGATGCTGGGGTTATTTCCGATTAATATTATAGTAATGTCCTTAGGATTCTCAAGTAAGCTACTTTTCTGAAAGAAGTATGGTCTCTCTTTGAGATCGGTCTTGATGAATGGTCCGGCGGTGGAAAGGGTTCCGAGGGAGAAGAGGTCCGTAAGCACGAAGAGCCATTTTTCAGTATCCTGTTCCGGTGAGATTGGCGCAAATTCTTTCTCCAGTTCTTCAAGTACGGTGCTCGAAATCCGAGTGAACACGTCAAAAGCGTTATAGTACATTTCGTAGTAGTGATGAACCTCCACCAGCGAGTTCCAGATAAGCTGCGCCGCAGGTCCAGAAAACGATCCGTCTGCACCTCTTGGACAGTCTTGTGGGAGGCAGCTTCCGGTCCCTATTTCCCCACAGTTGGAATCCAGGACCTTGAGAGTGTCTGTGACTGACTCTATGAAACTCATATGGCCCTTTTCGGTCTCTTTCCAGATCCTGACCACGTCTCTCCATGCTGCATCCGCATTCAACTGCTTCCACTGTTCGGAGGGCGTGTAGTAAGAGAAGTCTACAAATACTGGATGAGTGCAATCGAACTCGGTCCAGTTGCCACTTCGTGTGTGATCCGCCCTTTTTGCACACTCGCTCAATACGCCCGAGTACTTTGTCGGTCCTGGGCGATCGTGGTAGTTATGCAGATCATGACTCGGAGTGGAAGGGAATGGGTGTTCTGGCGTGCCTACAGCTTCATTGGTGGTAATAATGAAGCCAACAACCCCAAGTGCTGCCGCAAACCATGACGAAGTCACCATTCTTGTACAATACGTCTGAGGGAGAGCATGATGGTAAGCATATAAGTATTTAAAATGAGAATGAGAAATTATTCTCGGAAAGTGGTCTTAGTACTGTTTGGAAACCTCTTCCCCTTTCATAGGGTCCTCGCGTCGAGTCATTGAACTTTCTCTCATATGCTCTGCCGAGACGTCGCATCGCTTCAACTTGGCTGAAAACCCTGGGACACACCCTGGTCAAGGCCTTGGCAATTTCATAGCGATTTGGAGAGAGCTAATTTCCGACCAAACTTGGCAGACTATCGCTAAAGCTCAGTGCCCTTGTGAGAGGGGACTACTGGCGGAGATCTCTAGCCTTGGAGTAATCAGTAGCGTTCAGTCCAGTCGGCCAATGGGTGAACCAGCCGCCACTAAAATAGGTACTTTCTAGGTGCATACTGTGTACATACAGGGGCCCTGTCCGCTGTGCACGGTTATAGAATAGTTGATATCTAATTGCGGCCGTAGGGCCGTCCTCGGTGCCCTTTTGCTGAGACGCTTGTTCTGTAGTGCGAAAACTCCTGACAGGCTTCCCGGTTAGCCAGTGGCTCATCTCAGGTGATATCTTTCTTGTCTAATCTAGCATTAGATTACTAGGGGAAATTGTGTGCAATCTGCTCTTAATCACTTAGCTTTTTCCGATGAGGACAGAGAGATGATGCCCATCGAAGTTGCGGCGTGGACGGAGCATAAGCGCATGCGCGATTGAAACAAACTAGATACACAATATCCTCGGGGGTGGATTGTCAGAGACGAAAGTATCATTATGAGATCTGCTCTATCTAATAATACGCGGAATGAGTACAGGTTTAAATTCATATCAAAACGAAACCAATCGCTCCCAAAGCAGTTAGCAAACAAGATACGCCGATGGCCATCAGTTTCTCGGCGGCATTCTCTTTCTTCGGGCAATCGGATGGCGGTTTGATACCCTTGCAAAGCCGTGCCTTCCAGGAGGCCGACATACTCCCAGCAATATTCGAGTCGATCTTGACCCGGCAAGGATCTGGGGTGGGAGTCGGGGTGGATGAGGCCACCACGGCACATGTCTCACCTCCATCCCACTCCAATTCGGCAGGGACTCTCATAGTATGACTGGTAACATTTATAGCTAGCCCTAGTTATCCGGGGCATGTCTTGTTGGCTGTAGCAGCAACAAGGTCCATCTTCGGTGCGGAATTCTTGATGGTGAATGGGACAGGCAAACTTGAGATATTGTAAATCATATCATCGGGCCAATCTGGAACAAAGATATCTTCACCGCAACTGTCCCAATGCACAGTCCAGACCGGTACCCAACGACCTTCGGTCTTGAAGTTGTCCTTGTAGAAATCGTACGCAAAGTAGGGTTCGTGGTCAGACCAGTTTGTCTGTCTCAAATCGTGACACCAGCTAACGGTGTCGTTTCCCCCCATGTTTTCCCGATTCCATATGTTTTAAGAAATGTAAAAATTGAGGAATTTCGCGCGCTCGGCATTTTGTACAGCAAAGACAACAGGGAAGTCTTCGGTAGGCGCATATGTCTCGTTGCGCGGGAAAAACCAGGTCAACCTCGACCACATTAGATGCTTTGACAATGGTGGTCGAGCAGAGGACGAGCAACCAGGAGAAGCGCATGGTGAGGAAAGGCAAATATTTCAAAGTGCGATGCAGAGTACATTTTCTAACACCTTCTACCCATAGACTAATCTATCGAAATGCCCCTAGCAAGCATTCGATAGGCCGGGGGATTGGCACAATTAATAGTGGAGGGCGCTAAGCCCACAGGGTGTGTGCCCCGAGGAAAATCGATTATCTATTGGAGTCCACCCTAGTTCCGGCTAACTGGAAATGGTTCTTAGGGTACACCGCAGCGTTACAGTGCCTTATTTCTGGGTTGGGGCAGGGCTGCGGTATCTCCTGATGCTCATATCGTGCCCTGTGAGGCTGGAACTGACCCCTTTTCCACGGACCTCTGGCTTGCATCGAATCGGTCTCACCTATACTGATTTACTTGGCCACAGGTGAACATGGCTAGCCACCTATCTCAGGCACAGGACAGACCAATAGACCAGGGTGCTAAGTGTGAGAGCTTTGCAAATAGCACAGAACAGTATCAAAAAAACTGGCCCCTGATATCATCTGCCCTACCCTCAACTGCCTGTTCTGGATTGCGAGTTTATCTAGGCACTGGATTTAGGAAGACGGAGGATCCGATCTACCTACGGGACCCCGCAGCGCAAGTCTGCCATGCCCTAATCATATCAATCGACAATACATTTAAGTATGCTTAAATCCTTTGAATTACGGTCATTGTACGAGTTTGATTCGGAGAGTACATGCCTTAACGAACACGAAGAGCCGGGTAATAGCACAATTCCAGCTTTTCGTAGGTGACTGTCATTGCACGCATCAGGATCTATTGTGTTTTTATGATTCCTGTTGATCCAGATGGACTAATCTTTTGCTCCAGAAAAACAACAAGGAAGCAGACGTAAATTTATAAAACAATTAACCAATTCCTGTGTATTTCAGCTGTTACTTTTGGTAGATACAAAGCGTTCGACAAAAGTTAGAAAAGCCGCGAACAAAGTACAGGTATATATTCTATAGCAGTTTACCACGAAAGCCCCAACCAGAATATATCAACTTAAAGCTCTTGCAGAAAAGACTACCGTATCTCATGATGGCTCGACATAAATCACTGAAGTAGGAAAACCCCATAAAGAATCACGCACTCTACCATTGAAAACCCAGACCATCTATGTACAGCCCAACATAACTCCAATCCAAGACCTTATACACAATGACTAAGTTTATGCAAGCATAACTCCTATCTTATCGCACTTCTCAAACAACTACACCACATCACCCGCAACCATCTCCAGCTCTCCGCAATCCCCAAGTCTCCCTTCTTCCCCGAGAATTACACCACGAAGGGCAAAAACAATGGACCCGGACACCTCCCCCTCCCCCGCCGACGAACCGCCCGTGTTCAACTACATCCTCTCCTTCCTCCTCGTCGGCGTAGCATGGGGCTTCACGACCCCTTTCATCCGCCGCGCCGCAGCAGACTTCAACGCGCGCCAGGAACTCCATCAGCAATCGCATGACGAATCTTCCTCCTCCCCATCCAACCCACAGGACCCTGACGCAACAGAAGAACGAGAACTCCAATCTCGCCGTCAACGCCGCCATCGCGACGAAGCGCACTCGGAGCAGGAAACGGCGCCGCTGCGCGAAGGCGGAGGGTCGGAATCGGATTCAGATGAAGACGAGGATCATCCGCCACCGGAGGCGCGTCCGGCTTGGATGAACCAGAACCAGAACCAGGGTCGAAGCCAGACTTCTTCGTCCGTGAAAACGAACGGGAAATCGAGTTGGTTGAAGACGAAAATCATCGGTGTCTTTTGGACGGTGGTGAATTTGTTGCGGACACCCGCGTATGCGATTCCCCTGATCGTTAACTTGACGGGGAGTGTGTGGTTTTTCTTGCTGGTTGGAAAACATGGTATGTCTTCCCCCTTCTCTCTCTTTTCCGACCTTGTCGTTTCATCTCATCATATTCCATGAGGAATGGCAACTTGCGACGATCTGTACAATACAGTTGGAACTAACATTCAACCTTTGTCCGATAGAACTATCCCTCACCGTTCCCCTGGCCAATTCAAGCGCATTCCTATTCACCGTGCTAGGAGAATGGTATGTTGAGCGCAAGGTCATCGAAAAGGAAACGTGGTTGGGCATGGCGCTTGTGTTGGGGGGAATTGCGATTTGCGTGAAATCGAAGGGATCTTGAACACACTCTTTCTTGCCCAGTGTCTCTCCAACAGTTCTTTGTGGATTTGCAACGTATATATAATTGGGTATCTAGCTGGCTAGTGCATAGTTGTTGATTAGATTTGTTGGATAGGTAGTGCATTGATTTGGTGTTCGGTTTCGGGCTCGGTGGTGTTTAGTCGGACGAAGACTTAGATGTGGAGATAATGACCTTGGATCAATGGGTTGGAAAGGGCTAAAAACAATCGCTGCAATTAGAAGAGCCATGAGGAAGGGAGACCAGATGAAAAGAGCAAAAAAAAATGCATCATCCGTGAATCGAACACGGGCCTCGTCGATGGCAACGACGAATTCTACCACTAGACCAATGATGCTAGTGACTTGTTAAGTGCTTCAATCTTTGACCTCATGAGCCAAGCTCAAGCCCACATATCAAACAAGTCTTCAAAAATCGTAGGTAGACTCGACCCCGAAAATGTCCAAATCATAGTGTACATCATTGCATTGTATCTCGCGTTATCAATATTTATAACAAAACATAAGTCACTGGGTATGTTCGCCATGCCATCAGCATCATGAGACATCGTCAACGGAATACCACATGAGCCTGCAGTGGTAATCAAGATCAAAACAGAAGCCATCTATCTATCAATCAAAAAGGAAAAATTCATCGCATGCAGACATATATCATAGTACACGCGCCGGAAGGGATTAAACACCCCGGAACTATTAGACATTATTAGTATACCATTGCTATGATATGGGTAAAAGGTTAGGCTTACCATTCGCACGACCAAGTACCACATAGCACCCATGAACTTGAAAATCGACAGACCGGCCACACTCCACAGCACGACGGCCATGTAGATCTCGGCACGCTCGTTGTCGTTCGAGTCGCTGTCCTTGCTGTTGTCAAGGTTTTCCAGTCCCGCCGCGCTCAGCACAACGGCTGCCAGGGCAAAATTGCAGAACACCCAAGCCAAAACGACGGCACTTCGGAATCCCTTGTAATAGTCTGCCTGTTTCTCTTCTTCCGGGACGTTCTCAACTTCCTTGGGTGGTTTCTGTGCGAATTTGGACAGCTCGGAATCGTACTGCGCGTTCAAGTCGCCATCGTCCTGAGGAATGTTGACGTCCACCTTACCACCGGGCTTGAGGTTGGCCGAGGGCAGCTTCTCTGCTTTGTCGTCACCTTTGGTACCCCAGGTGATATCGTGCGTATTACAGAAAGCGTAGATGTTCAGCACGTTGATGTAGGTCGGAGTGAGCAGGATGTATTGAATGAACTGGTGACTGATTAGCAAGACGATTACATGGTCCCCAAAGAAGTAACCACGCAGACTTACCGAAGTGAACATGTGCCACGGATCGAGGAAGATGAACGACGCAATAAACCACATGACATAGGTTGACCCTAGTGAGACAATGATGGAGAAGAACGTCGTGTTGGTGAACAGCGTCGAGAAAGTAAAGTCGCCCTTTTCTACCTCCTTCTGGATGGATTTCACCGTAACAAATACTGCTGCAAATGCGAGGTAAATCATGATTCCAATCCAGAAGTAGACCATCGTCATGTAGAACTTATTGGACCCGCCTGGTCGGTTACCCAAGGCCAGTACGAAACACGTGACGAGAGTTGCGAGATAGAGCCATTCGAATACAACTCCAAGCACCTTACCAACGGTGTTGAGAAGATCCTCGGAGCCGAGATACGTTGTAAGGATGTGGAAAACCAAGAAAAAGTTGCCCTAAAAGATGGGTTAGTAAATCGTCATTGACAGTAGACAAGGGCGCGCTTACAATTCCAAACCAAGCAAACAGCATGTTGATAGTCTGGTAAACAAATTCGATCAGGAGCATTAACTTGCGCAGATGACTGTGATCGCTTCTCCAGATCTGGTAGAAATGCGCGATCGCATAGACCGCCGCGAAGAAACTACCGTTCAACCATCGTCGACGCTGCAGAATGAATTCGGCCATGCGGTCAGGCACATCGGTTTCACCAGTCGAGGACTTCACGTATTGAAGCAGCCAGCGGCAGTTTCGCTTGGTCACAATTTCGAAACACAGAATTCGATCCTCGGCAAGATACATATTGGCCGTGAAGATACCGGCATTGGCACCATGCATCTTTTCACCCATGAAGTATCGCTCCAGAGGTCCCTGGCCGTTCTTATCGTTCTGCAGTGCGACGTATCGGTAGGCGGAGAAAGCACCGGGAAGCACAGTAATGAACCCGAAAGACGACTCCAGTGGCTTATCCAGGATGTTACTGAGCTTATACTCGAAGTTCTGTCCAGCCACCAGCGGGTTCAGCAACTTCTTTCCGTGCGACAACATGACCTTAATTTCACCACAAGCACCTCCGCACATCGGCTCAACGTCGAACGCCTTCCACAAATGGTAGATCGAGTCCTTTCCAGGCTTCGTTCCGGCATCCAGAAGCACACAAATGTTGGGATCTAGCACCCGCCCGAAAGCCTGGAAGAACCAACGATGCGAGTTGATCTTCTTCTGGTTCTTTTCCTTCAGACAGAAAAGCATCTGCACGGGAACCCCAGAGCGCTGCTTCATGTGAACTTGAGTACCCTTCAGCTCGAGACCCACCTGGGTGGTGTACTCGTAAATATGCGCCGTGACGTCTTTGCCGTTAACCTGCTGCTTAGCGATTCCGTCCTGATAGACACCCAAACCAGCCAGCACCGCACGTGTGCGGGGGTTGATTTTGGCACGACCATCGCTAATCACGCAGACCACGATCTTTTTCCACGCGTCCTTGCCCCAAGTCTTGCTGTTGTTCCTCGAACACATGTGCTCAATGTTCTTGAACACACCAATCAAGGTACGCGCAAAGAGAAAGTCATCTTCGTTGTACATGGTGATCACGATGAAGAGTTCGGTGTGTCGGGGTTTAGCGAACAGCTTCTGTCGCAGCGTGAAGCGCTCTTCGAAAAAGTCCGCCGGGTCACAAGTGGCTGCGGAGTAACGCATATGTGTGAACTCGTCACGGCCCGGGGGTTCGGCATGGGGAACCTGGTTGAGCAGCTTCGGCGCGATGGGACAATCGAGAACGAGGTTTCCGTTGAACAACTGCACTTCCTTCACAGTCTTCCACCGGCGGATCGGAGCAGGACTCGGGGAGGGCTCGATCGGCGGCTCGTCCTGATACTCATCGCTGTAAGGATCGGGTCCAAATGGGTTCTCAGGCTGGATCATCGGAACCCGGTCATCATGGTAAGCATTCTGGTGCTCGGGGTATTGGCCCAGGTCGTAATCGTCTTCCGGCGTAACGGCGGGATGGTAGGGTTGGGTGTAATAGGCATCGTGGTGAGCCTCGGGGTTTACGGAATATTCGTAGCCCGGATAGGTGCCCGCCGGATGGTGGTCGTCGTAATGTTCGTTATGGCCGTAAGAGTTAGGGAGTCGTTCCACAGAATACTATTATGCCAAATCTGTCAGTCGACCTCTATTTTTTTATTTGCTCCGTCGAAAAGAGTTTTTGAGCTCACGGTAGGTTGTTCCACCAATCGGTCACTGGAAGGCATAGGCAGATGCCCTCCCGGGGCGTAAGGGTTGTCGGACAGCTGGTAGCCGTTCAACGGCCGACCCGGCGAGGGAGATCGAGCAGAGAGTTGACTAGGATTCATCATAGGGGAGCGACCGTCGTCTTCCCCGTAGGGGTCTCCTAAAGGTCAATTGTAAGTATACAAACGATGGACCGAGCGCGTGGGACGCAGGGCGAAAAAGCGACGACAGAAAACCCAAGGTGAAACAGAAGATCAGGTCAAATGCACGGGAACAGAAGTTGCCAGCATTTGAACGACGTTCACCGTTCACCCTGAGAATCAATAACCCCTTGGTCGGAGAATTTCCCGCCAACTAGAGTTTCAGGCAGACGTGATGCGGAGAATGGGGGATTAATGCGCGACAATCCACGGCGGCGTCGACCCAGAAAGCTTGATGCGCACGACGGAAACGAAAGGGATAACGGGACTAAACTAACCCAAGCGATTGTAGGACATGGTGATGGGGAGTTATTCCAATGGGAGGCCCCTGGAGAATTCCTGGGCGAGGGACCGGCTTGCGGAGGGAGATTGCGCCAGGAGCGCGGGTGGAATGTGAGGACAAGCGTTCAGGTCGCTTCCAGCTCCGTTTTTCTCGGCAGAAGTTTCGGAGGTAATGATAGGCAGACGGGGAGAGAAGGAAGAAAGGGAATCAGGGGCCGGGGTGGGCACGAGACGGAGATGGAGATTGACCACAATTATGAGGGAGGATTAATATCCGCGGGAAGGGGAAGAATCGGGAGAGGAAAATAAAAGAATCTAATATTTTGGTGGAGCTCTTTTTTGGGGGGAAGAAAGGGAAACAGTGGCGCTGGGACTACAAAGTAACCGTGGACACAGAACACGAAAACGAGCGGCAGTGTAGTGGCTTCGTTGACCAAGGAACCGGGGAGAGGAGGGGGACGATCAGATACGGTGGATTCCCGATAGATTAAAGATTTAGAGGGATTAATTATGACGATGGCCCTGGGAAAGGGCCAAAGTGGAGGAAAGAAAAGGTGGTCACGTCGTCGTCATGTGCCCGCATAACAAACAAGGGACCCACTCGGTTTGTCGTTGCTTTCGTTGCTCCTTCGGCTGGCTTTACTTCGTGCTCTCTGTTCTACCGGAGAGAGATTCTCATTGACTATTCTACAGGATAATGATCATGTCGATACACCTTCCAGCTACCCCAGACTCCCCCCAGTGACCACGATGGAAGCCAAAACCCAATGCACATTCTTCTGAAAGGCTGAAACACAGCCGTGCCAAACCCACCCGTGGTTAGAGTTGCGTTGCTCCATGGACCGTCGCAGTCTCCACCGGCCATCACTGGGCCAACAGCGGCTGTCCGTCCCTGTTCACTGCCACAAGGATTGTGGCGGTTCCCTGGGTTGAGAGTAAAGGTTTGCAGTGGCATTCTTTTTATATCTTTGCCGGGAGCCTAATGATGACTGAGGTGAAGGATGGACCGAGT